TGAAACTGTGAAAAAAAAAGCAATGGTCTTGGAACGTTAGTAGTATAGTATGCTTATATTTCATAGAGAACACATTCTACCCTTCTATATAGCCTATATGCCCATCTTCAGTCTCGGAGGAGATAAAATAAACCTTTGAAGCTGAATTTCATCTGTCAATGTAATGACCTGAAAACAGCCTCAGTTTTGGATGTGATCCAAAGGCTGATGTAAATACTAGCATCAATGTCAAACATAGAGGCACAAAAAGCCATTTGGACAATCCTTGAGAGGTTTCTGAGTTACGGTTGTACTCAACAGGGTCTCTCTTTGGATTTCATTGGCCTTTGGGGAGGGGAAACCCGATTACTAGGTTTGTGACAAGTGTTGCTATCCAGTGAGTCAGAGTAACCATTACAATCAGGAGAACATCCTTGATCCATTCTGAAGTGGAAATTGTTTTGATGAGGACTGAAGGTTGGTTGACCCTGGCCTTCCTGTAGAACCTTTAGATTTAACAGTTCTGTAAATGGATCAAGGAGGTAGTTTCAGCTGTTAAGGGCCTTTACACCATTTTTCTAGATGCACAATTTTTTTGCAATGTACCTTTGGATTCTTACCAATTGAATAAATTCTCCCTGACATGCAGCAGCTAAAGGAATGGTTCTTTAAGGGTGTCACTACAATTGGCTTCATTAATAATAATTCTTGCATTTAATAGTGTTGAGACGTTGTTGACACTCTTTGAGACGTTTGAAACAACGCTTTTAGCCTTTTTGAGACATCTCAAAGCGCTTCACAGAATATACAATAAAGTGAATTGACTGCATATTTTGTGGGTAAAACCCGGCAGCCAATTGAGCACAGCAGTGGATTGAATGACCAAATAATTTTTAAGGGAATATTACCCCAGCAAAACGGTCTGTTGATCGACTAACAACCGGGTTCCCACTTACTGCTAGGTCAACAAGAAACACGTGTACGTAGGAAACTTACCGAAGGTTTCACCCTGCCTGGGAATCGAATCCGGGTCCCCTCGCTTGCGAGGCGAGTGCTCTGACCAAAACTCTTGTTTGGGGAAAGTGGATCACACTCCTGCCAACAATAACTTGCATTCATATAGCACCATTCAGGTAGGAGAGCTGCACAAGTGATGCCGAGCAAGGAAGAAGGCGCAGGGTGAGGTGACCATAGGCGCAGTCGAAATAGTGGATCTTAAGGTGGGCTTTAAAGATGAAGAGGAGGCAAGGGGTTCCGGAGGTTATTGGTATAGTGGCTGAAGGTTTGGCCACTAATAGTGGTCAGTCACAGGGGGAGGCACAACAGACCTGTGCCACTGAGCAAAGGGAACAGATATCCATTGGGCCATGATTGTTGGATGCACAACTCAGTTTCACATCAATCAGCATTGTGAACAGGGTCGCAAGCCGCTCCGACGTATCCGGAGAATTCCTCTTCAATCATTTCTAAATTTAAACTGCGTCTAGGATGCAACTGTTACACGTTATATAACTTTTAAAAAGGTTTTGCGTGAGAAAGGAGGGAGGGGAAAGGGTCTTTCGAAACGCTGTGGGTGCGTCCTGACTTCTCCAGAGTGGTCACTTGTAAATATGTCTTGTAGACCGGCAATTAATTGCGAGTACAGCCAGATCAAATGTTGGGTGTGAAGGTCGTGGGTTCATTCTACATGTTTGGGACTTACGCTCATTTTCTAAGCTGACACCCCACTTTACTAGTGAATCAGATGCCATCTAATGGATGCACTGAGGTGATACGATTTCCAGATCAACACATAGCTGTAGTGTACCGACTTACTCAAAATACCAAACACAAAAAATAACTTACTATTATGACATACTGATGAAAATCAACAAATGCAACTTGTGAAGCTTTCACTGCCAATGGTCTACTTTTGAGATTGTTTATTTAGTTTTAACAAAAAAAACAAAACTGAGTGGTCAGGAGAAAGGGGTCAACAAAAATATCAGTCAATTACCGTTAACATCACCTTCCTTCCTGGGTAGAATGCTAATAAGGGGGCAATCATTTTGGATATCCATCATAAAACTTGCTAACACACACACACACGAAAATGAGAACAGTTTGCATATCTTAAAGCAACGCTCGAGGCTGAGGTTACAAAAGGTCCATTTGTTGGCCTAAATACATGTAACTGCAACTGTGAAAACAGTTGCAACTGTAACTGTCTGTGAAAACCTACAACCCCAGCAATTTTGAAAGGAAAACAAATGAAATGACTAATTTTACCATCGGTTTAGCTCTGGGCTGCACTCTCATTCTGCGTCAGGAGGTTCTGGGTTCATGCTACATGTATGGGACTAGAGCTAATTTTCTAGATTGGCATTCCACTTTGTAGTGAGTTTCTAGACTGACACTCCCCTTTGTACTGACACTCCACTTTGGTTTAATGGCTTAAGACAAAGATTACACCTCTGACACATTCTTCGGCTAAGCCATTAAACCAAGATCTTTAAAGGTCTTGCGACACCATTCGAAAGAGATAGGAATTTTCTTTGGAAGTCCTGCCAACAATGAATTGGTCATTCATCTCGTGGTTACAATAATAATCCTTGCATTTGATACAGCGCCTTATCACATTGTCGAGACATCTCAGAGCGCTTCACAGAATATACTGCAAAGTGAATTGACTGTATGTTTTGTGGGCGAAACCAACTGCGGCAGCCAATTACACACAGCAGTGTCTTACAAACAGTTGTGGTTTGAACAACCAAAGGGATTATTACCTGCAAAAAAAAACGATCCACCAGTCAACTAATAACTTTCCTACTTACTGCTACGTAAACAGTGGCAGGGAGAGTAAGGAAACTTGCGTAAGGTTTCACCCTGCCGGGAATCTAACCCGGGTCCTCTCGCTTGCGAGGAAAGCAGCTAACCACTGTGCTACAGGGGCCTGCAATGGTGCAGATGGTTACTGAGTTTGCCCAGAAAAAGTCACTAAATAATCATCAATTTCAAAGTGATAAAATCCTATAAAAATGCAAACTCTTATTACCAATTTGTAGGCAGGACCATATTCAACAACAGATTATCCTGATTATTGGCTGAGTGTGTCTTTGCTCATTGAGGCATCGAACTGACAGCTGATGAATGTGATTAGGTCAATTTCAGATCTGACGTTGGGGTGTCAAACACTCGAGCTCTACACCGGATGTATTGTCATGCCTATCACAGACGTGTCATTACCATGCCTGTCAAACTAGGGTGAGGTAGCTCATGTGCAGTACATTTTATAACATGTTCCACAAGGAGTTTGTTACACAACAGAGCCTACACAGAACTCCTTAAATAATAAATGATAATACATTGATATCCTGGCTTCCATGTCAGAAGGTCACAAAGTACTTCACAGGGTATACTGAAACGTGAACTGACTGTATTTTGTAAGTGAACGCGGCAGTCAATTTGCACCCACCGATGTTCCATTAACAACCGAGAATTTGAGGAAACACTACCCCCCAAAAAACAGGAGAAATTCCCTTCTTTTCGAATACTGCGGAATACTTCAGATGAGACATTAAACCGAGGTCCCGTCTGCCTGTTCAGGTGGATGTTCAAGATCCAATGGCACTATTCGAAAAGAGAAGGAAGTTTCTCACGGTGTCCTGGCCAACAAAACTCCAAATAAAATTGGTCACTCGCTTCACAGCTGTTTGTGCGACATTGGCTGCTGTGTTTCATCCACAAAATACAGTGAATCCACTGAACAGGATATCCTGTGAAGAGCTTTTAATTATTAATTAAGATTAGATCTTCCATCTCTCCACACCCCCAGCTACCATGTTTAACGCTTCTTTCCTTCTGCCCTGCTTGAATCTGCTGCTCCAGAGTTAGATTGTCAGTGTACGAGAATTGATTCAGCAGTTTTCCTCTTCTAAAAGTATTGAAATATCGAGTGCCAACATTAAAATAGTGTTGAAGATTGTGCTGGGCCATGGGAGAGCAGAGTAACTCGGTACCAATTTTAAACTATTTTAACACTAAAAAATTGAAATTTCAACATTGTAGAAAAAGAAATCAACTGAATGAAGTCAGTCTCTTCTCTTGCAGTGACAAGACACTCTGGAATGGCACATTTGAGCAGATAAGGAGAGAGCAAACAATGGCAGATGGGATTAACATACGTGAGGCGATGGTACAGTCACTAACTTTAATTAGGAAACAGCAAGAAATTTGCCATTTATTTTTGGACATGTCCGTTGCGTTAATTATCACACAGAACAAGTTTATGATATGGTTGTGAAGTTATCCCTGTAGCTCAGGGGTTAGAGCACTTGCCTTGCAAGCGAGACACCTGGGTTCAATTCCAGGCAGGTCAGGGCGAGACCTTGGGCAAGTTTTCTTACTCCACACATCTAATAATAATCCCTCCAAAACAAAACAATAATAAATTGGTCATTCTCAATCCACGACTGTTTGTGGGGACGCTGCTGTGCGCAATTGGCTGCCGCGTTTCACCCACAAATATACAGTCAATTCACTTTACAGTCTATTCTGTGAAGCGCTTTGAGACGTCGAGAAGACGTAAAAAGCACTGTATCAAATGCAAGGATTATCATTATTATTATTATTGCCTTGCTTATACCAGTTCAAATACCTCTTCCTTCCTAATTTCTTTCACAAACCATGCAACTCTGCATTGAAGAACATTTGGCAGATGCCTGCTTCCACGCTGATGTCAACATTCACTACCTTTGACTGGCTGTCATGGAAGAACCCAACGGCAGTCAATTTGGGAGATTTCAATTTTTTTCTTTCGTTTGAGAGAACTCTTCCAGTTTCCAGTGTACCTTTCCCTTTACAGGCCCTGCAGCTGATCCCAGGAACTCAGCAGAATGGGGTCTCAAACCAGTTACAGCCAAGACCTTACAGGCTGTTGTCACGAGCATCAGAAAAGTACTTTTGAGAGTCTTCTTTTTCGTACTCCTTTAAATGCAAACTTTTCTTTCAATGTAACCAAAGAAAGCTAAATCATGAGGAGGCTGGAGTATTGAAATCTAGAGAGTTGATTTTCTGAATCCTTCACTTCAGTGGTACACAAACACATGGCTGACATTCTGGATTGTCACATTAAGACTCTTGCCTTATCTGCGAAATTTCACTTGGCTTACTAATGAGACATTAAACCGAGGGTTTACTAATGGGTTGTTTTTGCCTTGAAATACAAATTGTTGGTGAGAGCAGCTTCAGCACCTTAAAAAAAAACCCTGGATATGTTTTATAAGATTGATCCAATTCTCTTTCTGTGCAGAGGAGAGAGAGAAAAAAAGGGACTGGTTATATTTAAGAGGGGAAGAAGACTTTTGGTGCTCAAATGTGCTGCTCTATGCAGCAGTAGAACACAAGTTTACACATCTTATTCCATACATTACCATCTCACCAAATTGTGCTACTTTCAGGTGATGTCAAGTAGAGATTGGGCTTTTCGACATAGCCAAGATGTGGCTAGTGGGCTACAATCTGTCGCTTGAGAAGTCGCCTTTTGAACACACCAAACCATACATTTATTTTCCAGTAAACGAATGAAGGTGCATTCTGGTCCTCGAGGCAACAAGTACACCACTTGTTAGGTCATGAAAAAAAAATTAGCCTCTGATGCAAGATTCAAATCTCCCGTGTCAAAGCATGTAGACAAACCACAATACACGTACTCACTTTCAGGTGCGGTAATATTTAGTGTGCACAAGGCAATTGTTGATTTCTTATGAAAGACACACAAATGTTTGGAATCTTCAGTTATCAATCCCTTAAGGCATACTCTGCAGCACTGCTGGTAAATCCTGTAATAATGCAAGACTGCACTACTAAACTACATACAATATGTACAAGAACACATTTCGAAGATCCAATAAGTAAGTTGGCTGGCACTCAATACTTGGAACCTATCTAGTCATTACTATTTTACTTCTGTAGTATTTTACAGCAAGTAATAATGAGTAATGTTTTCAGAAAGTTCTTTATAATTTGTTCACTGAACACTAACGTGCCATGCTTTGTGTATATTAAAAAAAATCCTAGAAAAAAAAAGGAATGATTTAGCTACTAATAGTTCTAGGTAGGAACACTCCAGAGCTGACACCCTCAAGCTTCTTTCTGTTCCTTTTTTTTAAACTACTTCTGTTGAAGGCCATTTTCTTTTGCAGATGAACAGAGAGAAACCAGGATTTGAAACAAACAATCCTGGTCTTCACATATGGAACTGTTCATCATTTGGATTCTTTACTAGCCAAATACCAAATCCATGCTGTTCCAAGGATGATTTCAGCAATGTTTTTCCTTCTTGATACGATTTTGCCATCATCTGGAAGGAATGAAAACAAATTGCATTTTAAAAACTGATTAGACATTTTAATTGGGCAGCATTTTCAGTGTAGAGTTAAGCAGGAAGTGAGCTTTACCTTTGCTACATGATACGTTGCAACTGTGGACAAATCTTCTCGATTCGCTTCTTTAGCAACAAGATAGAAGCGACTCAGCATGGCAGCTTTGCATAAACGACTAGTCATGGAGGCGCCACTTTTAAATGGTGAACTGTAAAGCAAAAAACAAATCGCTTTTTTGAAATGGATAATAATGACTTCATCCACACATCTGTTTAGAATTACAATACTGAAAGACCGAAAGGCTGAGCAAAGGGATTAAATAGCTTCAGTATCAGTGATAAAGGGTCTTAATTATCAGGTCCCAGGATTTATATAATTTCCTTCTAATACAAACGTAAGAATCATTATTTGCTATTATAATAAAGGTCGGTGTAGCTAGAGGTTAAAATACTTCATTATGGACACTTATCCACCACAACTACTGTATTTAATGATCAGCAGAATACAAAGTCCAGAAGTTACGCAGAATTTTGATGTGAATAGGTCAACAGTTGATAGCTTGTGAAGATTCTCACATTCTGAATGGAGTGATATTGTAGGATAAATAGATGGAATACAAAGACAACGGTAAGTGAGACAATATTACATGTTGAGAGCACCTTACCTTTCAGCAATCTTTCCAGTCACACCATTCACAATTTCTAATAAACCATCTGACTGAGACCAATTCAGACTGAGCATTTTATTGACCGTATTTGCCTGTGAGGGATACGCAACTTCTGTCAGGCAAATATGAGGTTTGTTGACAATGTACAAGTTAGGGAGCTTTGAAGTTAGTGAGTCATCTACACGCTGTTTAATCGCTATATCCATTCCTCGTGTGTCAATGCAATTTACATCACCTAGAAGATCAAATGAAAGTTACAAAGTGATTTTGCAAGTTTTTGAATGGGTATTTTTAAATTCCATTTTTCAATACAAATATTTAAGTAAAACACATGATAAGAGCAGATCTGTAAGTTGTATATTGGCCAGAGTGCAATCATGTGTTGAACGAGCATCACAAATCATCAATCATCACAAATCATCAATCATCACAAATCATCAATCATCACAAATCATCAATCATCACAAATCATCAATCATCACAAACCGCCATTAGACAGCCTCTCCTATTTCCATTCAGTCCAGACTGAAAGGTACAGTCCTGGCAGAGTATTTAGTTTTAAGATCTACCCTCTATGTCGCCATTATTCCACAAGAAAGCTGCTATTGTAAATACAAGTGGCTGTTTGATAAAATATTTGGGAACATAATGATTTTTTTTCCACAGCTTGAGATATTAGATCACATACCAATCAGGATGCTGCTGATGTAGATGGGTTCAATGAAATGACTGAGAAGAGCACCTTGGACTCCAAGTACTTCCCAACGGGTGAGTTTGTCACTGGCAGACATACTACATACTCTGGTTGCAGTTACTTCAGAACTACAGTGGCTAACGGAGTACACGTTGCCATCCAAAACAATATGAAGCTCCATTTCTTTATTTGTGTGAAACGCAGATATTGAGTGAGGGGCCAGATGTCTGTGTAAAGAAAGACATTCGGTGTTAAAGCAACTTGATTCTACGTTTGATTTATTTTATCACAGTGGGAAACAGTTTTGTTAAATCAAAAACACTGAACTGTAAAATATTTAATTTCTAATGAGGAATCAAGGGTTTGGGTCGAAACATCTCAAAGCATTTCATAAAGTTTTCTCTAAAGTGTAGCAACTATTTTTGGTGACACAACGTCCTACTAACAGGAATGACTTTTTTTAATAAATCTGGGGGATTATTGACCAGTAACACTGCGAGAAACTCGCTTCTCTTTTCAGATAGCAGCATGTTAAGACTATTTTGTAATTGTTTTTAATGTGCATCTCAAAAAGCAGAGAGACCTTGGTTTGCTGTCTCATCCAAACAATGTTATGGGACTAATGCCAGAGTTAAATAATCCTTTCACATCATGTATCATACACAAAGCCTAGAATTACTCCCACTTACAGCCGTTTGATCTGAGCAGCACCTTTTGGTAGTTGATTCAGATAAAGGTGAAAGTTAGTCCGATCCTTGAGGGTAAGAACTTTTCCTTCAGAGTTGGTGCAAAAAATAGACTGCTTCACCACTTCAGGATTTTTGTTATAAAACATAAGAAGGTGTCTGTAAAGATACCTGGAAAGTATAAAAGTGCACATCAGATATATAATAATAATTCTTACATTTGATATCAACATATTGTAAAGTGGATTAACTGCATAGACACCATTACTCCTCATTAAAAAATACAAGCATCAATTGCTGGCAGACTGGTCTGCACATTAGGAATCATATTAAGTAATGCCAGATCAGAAACCATATGAAACAACCCGTTAACGTTGTTTCTATGGTTCCAAAGTCTTGTAGAAGAGTAACGCAGCTCAGAGATGGTTACGTGGGTCTTCAGAGCACATGTGCTGTGCCCGCCCGCCAGCGATAGTAAAGCTGACACTCCACCTACCTCGGCCAGACACCTTGCCGGACAGAGATCATGATTATTATAAGATTATAACTTATTTTCCCCAAGTAATGAACCGCAGCTTGAAACGCTGCACAGCAGGCATCTTCCAAAACAGTTGGTAAATTTCAATGCCAACAAGAGCACAAGCCCCCACTGTTGGTGGGCAAAGCAAGCAGGCGACAAATTGAGAACAGGACCTTTGGTACAATACATAACGGAAGATTTTCCAGTTATAGAAATCTACCTTAGCTATGGCCGGGGTCAATGGGAAATTGCGGTAATGTTTGCCGAAAATTGCGCACCAGGCATGAGCGTCTGGAGGAGCCACTCATCCCAGTGGGTGCGTGGAGTAAACAGCCGGCAGCAGCACGAGAGGCCCGGGCGCTGAGGAAGCTTCATTTTTTTTTTGCAGGTTTGTCGCGGATTCTGGTGTTTGCTTCCTTGACAAAACTGCAGCCGCACTTTTATATCGGCCCAGGGTACGGGGATATGGATAACAACCGAGTCAAAAGTACATTTGGAAATGTTTGTAGCTGGTCGTTAAAATGAAAAACTGCAGCTTTTACACTTTTCATTAAAACTCATCTGGTTTGCTAATGTAGAAGACACTTTACCTCAACAGTGAGCGCCTCGCAGTCACCACAGCGTGGGAATCGTGCACTATTCGGCCTTCGGGATAAGAAGGGCCATTGTAACTTATCTCCCCAGTTCCAACTGCAACAACTTCACAGGGCTGTCCAACTAAAACAAACATTTTAAATGGTCGCTTGAATTTTCCTGGCAATTTAAAGCCTGATTTTCTAAAGCACTTGAGGCAAAATGAGTAAAGAGCAATTGGCCTCCACTATCGGCCAGAAGCTATCGACGACTGCACCATACGTGATGCAGAACACAAATCTATTGCAGTGATTTCGCTAATTCCTTTGCTTGAGAAAATACAAACTTTTTTTGTAAATATATAGGAAAATTGCAGGGCTAAGATTTCTCCTTATTTACCAGTAATGAGCAGAACATTATATAACTGAATGATCACATTGATCTTAAAAATGTAGTTTTCGCAATTTTCTACTCACATTTTTCAACTACAAAAGCAGCCAGGGAATTCCCACAATTTTGGTGTTCCTGGTGGTTAGCAGTCAGCTTGCTGAACACCTCCTTACAGGCAACAGAAATCGCCATGTAATAAGAATTCCTTCCTTCTACAAGAAAAAAAAACAAAACATTTAAAAAGGAGAAATGGCTATTTATCAACGAATTCATCCACAGTGTTGCTAAATGGGCAAACATAACACAAGGTTATAGTAACTAAAGTCCAGAAGGAAAAACCTGACCAAATGATGAGCTGTGCGTCAGCCGAGCTCAGTTGGTAGCATTCTCGTCTCAGAGTCAGGTTATAGTAACAGTAATAAAAACTAGCCATTCACTCCACGACTGTTTGCGGTATGTTGGTGTGTGCAAATTGGCTGCCGTGTTCGCCCACAAAATAGTTACTACACTTCAGTGTATTTTCTTAAGTGCTTTCAGACATTCTCCTGATATGAAAAGCACCTCATTAAATGTGATGCATTATTAGTATTATCATCGTCGTCACACTGTGTGGTAGCAATTGTCAAGACAAATTTAACACGGTTCATTTTAGGATGAGACGTGAATCGGAAGCATCTGCACTACTCGAAAGAGAAGGGAGTTTCTTTTGGTGTTGTGGTCAACAGGTCCCCGATAAAACTTGTCATTCACTTCATTGCTGTTTTGTGGGGCAGTGCTGTGCGCAAATACGCACTCACTACACTTCACAAACTTGTGAAGCGCTTTGAGACGCCTTTATGTGATAAGGCTGTACAATCAAATGCAAGGATTATTATTATTTACTGAGTTTACACCCCCCATTTTCTGGGTTATGTCTTTAGTTCTTCATAGAGATGGGGTTGAGATGCCAAACAAATCCAAATCTTCTTGCTCACCATAGCCTAACTTTGAAGGTTGATTCCTTGAAGGGAGACTTGGTGCAGGAACGACCTTTCGTTCAGCAGGGATCGGAGTTGGACCGATAACTGAAATTAAATGTTCAACATATTGATGTGAAACAATGAAATGATCATCTTAAAAGCATCCCAACAGCAACAACAACTTACTTATACAGCGCCCTCCAAGTGCGGCAGTGTCTGAACGCTTAAAGGTGGCGCAACCTGATGCTGAGCCGGGGGGGGGTGGGGGTGGGGTGGGGATCAGTCGTGATCTAAAAGAGCGGAAGGAGGGGGCATGGCGGATGAATTGAGGGAGAGAGTTCCAAAGATTTGGGGTGTAGTAACTGAAAGCACGTCCATCGATGGTGTAGCGGGACGAGCAGGAGCCCAGAGCCAGGCAGCGGAGGCAAAGGGTCTGAAAGATTGGGAGGTGACAGGGCGTGAAGGGATTTGTAGACAAGAGAGAGATTATGTCCTCAGTTCTTCAGAGATAGGATTGAGATCCCCAAAAATTCCAAAAGCACTGCCATCCCCCCAAAAATATGCTTGTTTGCTCACCATAGCCTAATTTTGAAGTTAGATTCCTTGCTGCTTAACCTATACAGGAGTAGTTTATGTTTTTAATGACAGAATAGTAGAAATTCTGCCAGAGAGCAAGGAGTGTACTTCATCACTAAACCAGTACTTTATTTTTTAAAAAAATAAAAGACTTACTTGGAGTCTTGATCAGTTCGGTGTCCAGCAATTCATCGAGAGCTAACTGTGCAGCATTTGCCTTTGCTTCTTTTTTATTTTGACCCATTCCAGTTTTGTACTCAATGCCATCAACCACTGCACAAAAGGCAAAATACTGTCCGAAAACATTCCCTGGAAAAATAGAGAAATAATCTATTTGTATCTGTTCTGCGAGGCGAGCCCAGAGTGGTCCAAGGCACTAACGATGACAGAGCCACGAGCCTGGTTCTTCAGCAGGACTTGAGAGGGGCAGATCAGTCACTAGGGACAGAGGTTCTTTCCACTCAGGTCCCATTAACATTGCAAGCCAAGGCCCTAAAGGGTAGGGTGGTCTTAGCTGAACAAGCAAGCAGGAAACTTGCCAAACAGCGCTCACTCTGGTAAGCTATGCAGCCTTAGCTGGTTAAACCCCAGTACCCAAACACCTACTCTGGAGCTCCCAAACCACGGCTCTCGCCAAACTGCATCTAATACTCTTAGGTAAGCAGAATGCATCTTTCTTGGGAGAGTGTCATTCCAGACACGGGGAAAATTTCACATGTGGAACTCTGTCTGGTTTGGATACTCTTAAGCACGGTGGTGGGTTACCGCACGTGTCAGAACTTGGCGAAGGCGGGATTACAAAGAGGGGTTTCTAAGGAGGTAAATATACGACAGAGAAAATAAATTCCACTCGCCTGTCGCTATAGTTTCTTTCAAAATGAGTTGCATTCGCAGCATTTGTGCGAACTGATGCAAAGCTGAAACAGGGTTGATCTCACCACGACGGCATTTATCAATAAACTCTCGAGGCACCTTCTTGGGAGGCAGTGAAGTGTTCGGGAGCGGTTTCGCATTTTCAACAAACTGCGACTTTGGATATTGCCCTGCAAAAATATACACAATTCTAAATGGCATAACAATAAAGAAAGAAAATCCAAGTAAAATTAAGAGGGAGGAGGACTTACCCTGGCAATCGGGGGGTGGGGGTGTGGAGAAGAAAGGTGTTGGGCATGGGGGAAGGGTGACACAGGCACAGGGCAGTAGTGGAAAAATGAAGAGCATATGTTCATACAATATACAGTCAATTCTCTTTACAGTACATTCTGTGAAGCGCTTTGAGACGTCTCGAAGACCTGATAACAAGGTGCTATATCAAATGCAAGGATTATTATATGGCCGGTTACAGGGGAAGAAAAGCACATGCCCAGGCACAGAGAATAGGTTCCCCAATTTCTGAGGAAAATCAGAGCATGCAGTTTTAATATTTTTGTCTCAGACTCTAATATTTTAGTAATAAAGTCACGCAGATACTAAGAGTAGCTTTATTACTATAATCTTTAGGGTTTTTTTCAGTCTAGTTGTTTCTCTTGGAGGTTCCTGACTAGAGTCACCAACTCCAATAGAAACAACTGGATGAAGGAAAAAATGTACATCATTTTGTGACGTGCTTACACGGGGACTTGACTAGAGCTTTCCGTGACAATAACTTGGATCAGTATTAATAATAATAATAAGTAGATCAGTATTCTAGGCTAAAAGCAATTAGGGAGACTCAACGGCATTTTCAAAACCCAAGTGACCTATTAAAAAGAGAGATGAGTCATTCATTATTAAAAGGAAAATTATTCTACCAAATTACTGTGTGATAGTCCTTGAATTCAAACCTTAACACATTGTTGAGATGACTCAAAGCGCTTCACAGGCCACTGTGAAGTGGTGTGACTGCGTGCATTTTGTGGGTGAACGCGATAGCCAATTCGCACACAACAGTGTTCCACAAACAACACAACAACAAATACGACGACGACAACAAGATTACATTTGCGTAGCGCCTTTCATGTCGGGACGACGTCCCAAGGCGCTGGAACAGCCATGGAGTGTGTGATCAGTTCTGTTTGGGAGGGGTTGTTGGCCAGGACACCGGCAGAGAGAAACTCCCTTCTCTTTTCATCGTGCCGAGGGGATCATTAAAGTCCACCTGAACAGGCAGACAGGCAGGACCTTGGTTTAACGATACAGCACATCCCGAGCCCTGCGGTGGAGTGTCAGTATGGACCACGTGGATTCCAAGTCCCAACGTGGGGCTTGAACCCACAACCTTGCAGAGAAAACTTATTGACCAAGATTGCTAATAACCTGCAGGAGCAGGACCCAGGCAGGCAACAGAAAACTATACCATGCAAGGCAGCAGACTGTGGGGACACTGCCGTGCGCGACCGGCTGACACGTTTCACCCACAAAATCCAGTCAATTCACTTTACAGTGTTTCCTGTGAAGCGCTTTCAGACGTCTCGACGAGGTGATCAGGCGTCGGATCAAACGCCAGGGTTTGATCGTCAATTCTGAGGTTACGCCAATCCCGTGCCACATAAAGCCATCTCCCCCCCCGACCCCGACCCCCACCCGGGTACAGAATACAGCATCACCCTCAACACGAGGGAACACCAAGCGGAGTTTCAACCAGCGAGAGAGTCGCTCGGTACAGAAATAAAATCCGTTGTCAAACGATATCCAGATCGGGTTTCTTCAAATACACGATCCTCTCAAATTAATCGCCCGGAACTGATGCCACATCAGCAAATCCACCCACGTGCGACTGATAGGGGAGAAACATGGTCGGGGATCCACTCCACACCCAACTCGCACGCCGAGCCGTTCCGTCCCAATGTGGCTCACGGGGAGATCAACGGGACATGTATTTACAGGAGCGGTGTTATTCCCACTTCTCTGCCGGGAAACGAAGGAGCGCTTCTGCGTCGTGGATCGTTTCTCCCAATCGATGCGAGGGACGAAGCTTCGGAGAGTGGACAGCTGCTGCGTTCGGACGCTGTTGCCTGGCTCAGTCGGAATCGGGGCCGCCCGCGCAGCTTGAAACGCGGGACAGTGAAGCAGCGAAGGGAGCGCCGCGGGAACCGGTCGCTCGGTGAGAAGGAACGGCCGGACACATACCGCTCCGAACGTACCCGAAAGCTGAATGACTCTGGCTACCCCGGAGTCTGACTCCTCCGCGGCCCCGGCCTGGGGGGTGAAGGTCACGCTCAGCGTCGGCGCCGGCGGCTTCGGAGGGATGTTCTTCTTCAGAATCTGAGCGAAGCTCGGCTCCCCGGAGCCCCTACGCCAGGCGCCATCCCCGGACATCCTGCACCAAAGGCAACCGGTACAGTCAGCGCTCAGTACACCCGCACCGGCCCCCGAACAAGCGGGGGGGGGGGGGGGGGGGACCCTGGTGTGGGTGTGGGTGGGGGTGGGGGGGGTGTTCCCTGGAGGGGGTGGGGGTCCCTGGGGGGGGGGGTATTCCCGGGGGGGGGGGGGGCTGTTGGGGTGTGGTGTAGGGGTGTGGTGTTGGGGTGTGTGGGGGTGTGGGGGGTGTTGGGGTGTGGGGGGTGTTGGGGTGTGGTGTTGGGGTGTGGTGTTGGGGTGTGTTGGGGTGTGTGGGGGGTGTTGGGGTGTTGGGGGGTGTGTTGGGGGGTGTTGGGGGGTGTGGGGGGTGTTGGGGGTGTTGGGGGGTGTGTGGGGGGTGTTGGGGGGTGTGGGGGGTGTTGGGGGGTGGTGTAGGGGTGTGGTGTTGGGGTGTGGTGTGGGGGTATGTGGGGGATGTGTGGGGGGTGTTGGGGGGTATCCCGATGTGGGTGTTGGTGGCACTCACTCACTCACTGACTCAGTCACTCGGCAGTTGGTGGTGTTCTCGCGCCTTTCTCTCTCTCTGACCTCAGGCCCCGCCCTCACACCTGTCACCTGACCCCCCGCGCCTGCGCACTCACTCCCCCCACCCCCACAGCCCCGGATGTGCCGTCACAGTTACAGCTTCAACCATTGGGGAACAAATCGATTGGATTTCCTTCTCATCGTTTAAGCCGTTGTGAGCGCTGAAATGGAACCACGACGACGACAACGTGTACTTTTTTGTGCGGCGCTCTGCGCAGCGGTGGCCCCGACCGGGAGGAACCGGAGCACACGACGATCCGCCCGGAATGACGGGTGTGGATGTTTTTGCGTAATAATAATAATAATAATAATCGTTGCATTTGATATAGCGCTTTTCACGTCAGGAGGACGTCCCAAAGCGCTTCACAGAACACACTGTAAAGTGAATTGACTGTATATTTGTGGGCGAACGCGGCAGCCAATTGCACACAGCAATGTCCCACAAACAGTCGTAGATTGAAAATGACCAATTTATTATTGCTTTGTTTTGGAGGGATTATTATTAGGCTCTGTGTGGAGTAAGGAAACTTGCCCGAGGTTTCGCCCTCTGCCGGGAATTGAACTCAGGTCTCTCACTTGCAAAGCGAGTGCTCTAACCACTGAGCTACAGGACTCCACAGAAAAATTCACACAACGAAAGTTGTTTCCCTCTGTGTTTTCTCCCAACCTGTTGCTGTCGACCCCCCCCAATGGTTTGCTTCAATCATTCACCAGTCCCGGGAGCTTCTCCGGAATGGGTCGTGAGCGCAAATCGATGTTCGAATCACTGGGTTTCTGGAAATTCTGCTCCTACGCTCGAATTCAAGATCCTCACCCACACGGCCATTCCCGGCCTCGCTCCCTCCTCCCTCTCCCACCCCAGTATCCCCCCACCTACCCCCCCGTACCCTCCGTCCCTCCGGCTCTGGTCTGCTCCACGTCCCCCGCCCCAACCGCCCGACCATCGGTGGCCTTCAGCCCCGAGGCTCTGGAACTCCATCCCCAGTGTCTTCGCCGCCTCCTCCCTTTCCTCCTTCAAGGCCGGTCTCAAGGCCTTTCTCTTTGACCTTCAGCCTTCAGCTCCGCTCTCCTCTCTTCCCCCTCCTCGCTCCCTCCCTCCCCTCCCCTCACCCTGACCATTCCCCCCCTCCTCGCTCCCTCCTTCCCTCCCCTCACCCTGACCATTTCCCCCCCAATGCTCTGGTCCCGACCCAACTGTCCAGCGCCTCGGGACGTCCTCCCGCCGTGAAAGGCGCTCTATAAATGGAATCTTGTTGTTGTTGTTGTTGTAGTTCTGTTAAATACAATATCTGCAAAACCACCTGCACTTATATAGCGCCTTCACACGGGGGATGGTGTCTTGGGAGCACTGAACGAGCAGCTTCGAAAGGTTTTAAATCATTTACACCGGACAATTCATTCAAGTTCAACAAATTTATTCTGACACATTCACAGGTGGTGCTTATGAGGGTTAGCTGTGCATATTTGTTGAGAAAATCTGGACAATTGTGGTATACTGGCTTTAATAGCACATTTATCTTTATTCATATCAGTACAATTCACTTAAGCATCACAAGGAACATCTTATTAACAACATATCAAGAACAGCAGGTATTTAAAGTGTTATGAAAAAAAAAGTAAATTCACAGTTAATATTCAATTTGGTAATTGTAATACAAGAACACTAAATATATTGCACATAATCACAATAAAAATGGGAATGCTAGGCAGCATTTTGACACTCTCACCGTACTTTATATACACACAAATATCAATAATTGTGCAAGACTCTTAACCGACCAGTTTAGAATGGCAGCATGCACCATAGTAAACATCTACACTCATATGTACATTCATAACAAAACAGCAGTCTCGGTTTTTAAATTACAGTACAAGAAGCAAATGTTTTCCAGTTGATTTTGTTGCGAATTTGAGTTCTATAAAAAAAACATTAAACGCTGACCGATGCATTGCTCAAAAGGATATAATATACAGAAGACTCCAAACCTACGAGTGAAATTTACAATGGTACCAAAAACCTGGGTCAAGCTGCTATTTCGGATGTTCTTCCTTGTCCTTTCCTTTCCTCTCTTTTTCATCCTGCAGTGCTACGCCGAGTTTTTTAATAAGAACGGAGAGAACCTTATCAAGTGGATCCATGACCCCACGCTGGACCCACTTGGGAATAGTGATTCTGGCATGATGAAAGCCCAGTTTTTGAAGAATGTAGTCCACTCCTACTGGGTCAATCTTCCTTCCTGTCCAAGAAATTAACCTGGAAAAAAAACACAGATTACCAAATAACGGGTCATTTTACTGTTAAAGAGTTTTTTGTTAGAAATTGGTTCACAAGAACCAGTGTGTCCTTTACAGTTAGTCCTAATAATTTATGCATTTGGATTAAAGGTTGCCACTACCACAACCTTTCAAAGCTCTTCACAAAATGTGAAGTAAAGTGTAGTGACTGTGTATTTTGTAGGTGAATGCAACAGCCAATTTGCACATATCAGTTTCCTACAAACGGGTATGAATGACACATTTTATGTGGGGGATTGTTAGCCAGGACACCAGGAGAAAACTCCCTTCTCTTTTCAAATTGTGCCATTGAACCTTTAACATCAAGACTTTGGTTTAATGTCTCATCTGAAGGACAGCAACACTCCCCCAGCTCAGTGATGGACGGTCAGCCTACACTGAGTCCAAAGACCTGTCATGGGGCTTGAATCTACCACCTTCTGACTCAAAGGCAAGAATGCGACCAATTGTGCCAGACAACTGATGGGAGGAAATTAAATTTCCAGACTATAAAACACCCTTAGAATCATTCAAGAATCTGTCACAACATTAATGAAGAATTATCAGGCAGGAGATATAAAAGAGATATTTTATTTCCTGAGGACTGAAGTAGCCTTAACAAAAACGGTAACTCTTAAAGATCTAGTTTGTAAAAACTAGATACAGTCAACTCCTGATATCAAGGTCGTGGCTTATCTTCTCACTACCATTTAAGTTCCACACTGTCAAAATATCCCAGCCACTTCCCGAGCAAAGTGTGAGTAAGGGTTCCCTCCGCTTTGCTTGTCACTTCACTTAACACGTAACTAGCCACATTCCAGAATTTCTTGTGAGTTCAGTAGTTACTTCAGATAACAGGTTAGACTAGGAGGCCACCACATGGGTCTCTGCCATTCATCTGAACATCAACACCCACAGCAGTCACCGTGCCCCCTTGTGGCCTAGGGGAGCTTTACCCAGCCCACCACTCCAGATACCTAGTTGCTGAGTCCTTCTCCCTTGGCCTGACGAGTTATCAGCAGTTTACTCTATACCTTTATTGAAATCTGAACACTCTTCACAATCTTTAAGCAGCTTTGGATGTGGATCTTTTGAGAGAAGAATTCCCAATGATGTTAATGTTTGTCAAAGTTTCCATACGATCAATTGAACGAGACAATTCTGAATTTAGATGCTAACCTTAAGGTGGGTTCCAGATGCCAGGTATTGCAAACAAACTCTCTCCAGTCCACAGTTGTGTAGATCACATCTTCCTTGTCTTTGTCTGTGGAACTGTCATCGTGAACTGTAATGGGACTTTTCTGGCCGGGGCGAATGGCAAGAACTCGAGGAGGGAAAATAGCTACAAATGGATTGGTATTTTTTAATAGAAGCAATTTTTTTGTTTTTTTATACATTCATAAACACAGTTAAACAGTCAATTAATTAAAAGTATACTTTTAAATTGATTATTTTTAATCATATCTAAACTGAAAAGCAATAGAGTTTAGTACACAATTCCCTTGGCCCAAATCTGGCTTTAGTTTTGGAGCCAAAGATCATGATTCAGTCCCATGATGTTATTTCCATGTTCAAAAGGATTGTGTTATCTGTAAATATATCTGTAGCCCAACAAAGGCATTGTGTCTGGACATGAAAACCTTCCAGCGCTGTTATAAGTTAACCTGAGAACCTATACACCAAATTAAAACCCATTGGATATTTCCATATCAAAGACCAACAATTGTGATAGACATTGTCTGTTTTCTGCTTCACGTGCGCACGGCCCCTCTTTTCCCCGTGTGTGGAGACTGGGGTAGGGGGAGGGGGCGACAACCCGGTGGATGCAGAGTGGGCTTTGACGGTGGGAGGATGGCTAGCACAGAGGTAGCAGGGGCGACAGCAGGAAGTGTGAGAGGCGAGAGCAAGCAGTGAGGCCCTCAGCCATTGGCCGCCCGAGAGGATTGCTTTGGCACCAAATATTAGTAGGGGTCATATGGGTGATATGAGAGATTGATTGTCCACTGGTAATGGGAAGGAGCTGAAGAGAGGATAAGAATAGTTTCCTTGGAGCCTTGTGGTTGGTTGCTTCTGGATAGAGCAAGGGTACATGTATTTTGGGGTTAGTGTTATGAAAAATTATATTGTGGATTGTTGTTGCACTGTTAATAATAATCCTGGATTTTGATACAGCGCTTTATCAGGTCTTCGAGGTCGTCTCATAAAGCATTTCACAGGATACACTGTAAAGTGAATTGACTGTATGTTTTGTGGGCCAAACCCAACAGCCAATTGCGCACAGCAGCGTCCCCTCAAACAGTAGTGGATTGTAGCTAGAGTTATGACAAGACAATAATAAAAATTAAATGTTGAGAGAACAAAGAACTTCTCAAGTTTCTGTGAGTATTAACAGAGGCCGAAAGGGTGAGAACTGTCACAAAATTAGCAATGAACATTTGACAAAAAATAAAAGACTAACCTTTTTCTTTCTCTTTCAAATAAGCAGATACAAGGTCATGTAAGAACATAATCAGTTCAGCATCCATGGTCACACAAATGTGATCAGTGAATTCGGTCACAACACTGCACTCCACCTTTGGCTTACTGTTGGGATCTGAAAGGTCGGAGGAAAAATATCAAAACACCGCCCTCTGGAAAAGAGGTGGAACACATTTTGGATTGTACTTTTTGAAACTTGATTCACAATCGAACCCGTTTAAAAATAAAAGTGCGTAAGACGGTGAGCATAGTGGGAGCCGAGGTCACGAGATGTCAGACTTGTGGTTGCGAACAATAAAGATTTAGTGTGAGGGCAGTAGATAGCGCCACTGCAAAAACCATCAACAGCAAAACACAGCGGACTCCTCCTGGGCTGAAGTTTCGTAAATTCAATCAGATCTCTACCTTGCAGCAGTGGTTCTTGAGGTTCCTGCATGTGTATAGATTTAAAGTCCAGCTGCATCCTTGGCAAGGCAAAGATTGTCTCAGTTTCATGGCTGTAACTGGCAGTTCCTCGGAACCCACTCATCATGTTGGAGCTCTTAAGAGACGTTTTACTGTCTGCAGTGTGAGAATCAACGTTTCGAAGAAGATTCAGTTCTGTGGGGAAAGGTCGTGACAGTAGTTATTGATGCTCAGCTTCATTTCTCTTCTGATATTTGGTAATTCATGTTTTAGTTTTGCTAAAAATATAACAACAACAACATGCATTTTTTTTTACCTTCGTTCCTCATGGCAGTCACATAGTTGAACCATTCCTGCACACTTGCAACACCATGTGGTGGATTTTCATGACGACGTCTTGTTATTTTGGTGATTGTTGCCATTGGACTTTCTAAGGCACCTCCAGGTTTTGTAACCATTGTGTTGTGGCCCAAGTGAAAGTCCAGGGTTTGTACAATGTATGTTGAGTGGTCACTCGCCCCTGGAGACAGTTGAAAATAGATTACAGTTATTCTATTTCTAAGTATTATTGCAATTTGTTTAATATTTTTAAGCAGCGGAAAAATGAATAGCACAGAAATATGTACTCCTTTGTGTTATCTTATCTATCAAATCAACAAAATGAAACAATGATATTTACAGATCTATAAAAAGTACCAAATTTAAGATGGGTTAGAAGACAAGAGTGATCAGCAATCCGAAATGGCTTCACAGGAATGGCTTCACTCAAAAGGTTTGTTTGAGTGAAGACTCTAGCGCCTTGGACGTCCTCCCGACATGAAAGGCACTATACAAATGTAATTTGTTTTTGTTTTGTTGAAAGTCTGGAATTCATTATAACAAGTGACTATCAAGGATGCAACAAACAACAGAGAAGCACCCAACAACATGAGGGATTAAAGGGCATTAAATTATGAGGAAACAATAGACAGTAAGATTAATTAAAAAGAAAACTCACAAGAAGGGGAATTTGATACAGCGCCTTATCATGTCTTCGAGACATCTCAAAGCGCTTCACAGGATATAATAATAATAATCCTTGCATTTGATATAGCGCTTTTCACGTCGGGAGGACGTCCCAAAGCGCTTCACAGACACACTGCAAAGTGAATTGATTGTATATTTTGTGGGCGAAACGCAGCAGCCAATTGTGCACAGCAGCGTCCCACAAACAGTTGTGGATTGAAGTGAGCAACTTTTTTAAAGGAATAATTACCCTCGTAAAAGCAATCTGCCAATCGACTGACAAACATTTCCTACTTACTGCTGGTAAGCAGAAGTGCTTGGGTGGCAAGTGCTCTAACCACAAAGCTGCAGGACTCCACAATAGGGGAAATGTTGGGATTTCCCCCATTGTTAAGTGCAAACTGGTAAGGTCAGGAACTCTACTGACTGCTGGAAATTCTCTCCCCAGATATGGAAAATGTTGCAGTCTTCACCAATTTGACTTTGCCTCGACAGGACATGAACGTTAATCGTGAAGAATGCACTTTACTTGCTGCCGGTTGATAAGTTTTCCAACTGAAAACACTTTTCGGAAACGTTTCTAAAATTAAACTTACCATCTTCCCAGATTTTCTGAGCCTCAGTCCAGAAAGCAATGTTGGGCTCTTCAAGGTGGAACAAAGCCCACGATTTTGAGCGGAAATTGGGTCCGTGAAAACAGGCAAGAGTCATGTGATTGCCATGCAGGCTCATAGATCCACCCAGCTGTACTGCGTCTTCAGGCAACGGTATCTGAAACAAGGAGATGTGGCAGCCAGCGATCACCTTTAACACTTCTGGCCAGTGGCGATGATGGGCAGCACCCAGTACTTCGAACGAGAGAAAAAGGAAAAAGACAAACAAGTAAAGGATCAATCAAGAGTTTCCATCATCTCAAGGCAAATTTCTCTCAAGGAAAATGTAACGTGTAAACTCTCACAGTGCTCATTGGAACTCCGCTCCACATTAATCACTGGTGTTTTTGGGGGTATGTATAGCACTGGTCCCCAGGTAGCCAGGACTCGTTTGCTGGTATCAAATTGCTGTGTGAAAAATTCCTGCAGTTTCAATCCAATTTTAATCAGATCTGGGGTGGTTGATCGAGAGATCATGACCTGGAAGATGTCCCATTGCAGATCTCCGTGAACAAAGATTTCGCTGGAAGGCGAAAGAGAAAACAAATCACTTAACAAGGAAAAACAAAGTTTTATTACCATTCTTCAAAAATGTTTTCATATTTGCATCTGCAATTGCGTCTTTCAGTAAAAATAAAGGTCTGAATTAAGATTTGGAAACGAAAGTGAATGTTTTTATACAGGCACACATTCACATTAATCTGGATTAATGAACATCCCATATCAACGAGATGAGTAGCCAGTTAATTAAAGATCAGGTAGCAGGAAGGAAGACACAACGATTCTTTAAAATGACAATGGCAGAGCTGCTCCTTTAAGGCCATATTGTAATAGATATTTTACAGTAAAATTCATAAACGTTATACAATATGGCAATGCAATTATACTGTATACAATATTTTTACCAGACAACAAATAACTGAAAAAAACATCTAAGTAGTGAAATATTTATTCAATCTTGTAGCAAGTAATGAAAATAAGATTATGAGAATAGGATTTCTAAATACCTTTTTTCAGTCAAGTTTGAGTCGACACTATTATAAAGATGAACTTTCCACTCATCTTGCAGCTGAAGATCTGCATTGCTGAAAATTCCCATCAGAATACTGGATCCCATATAATCCACTCGAGCATCAGTGGAGCCCAGTGTGATCTGGATTTTGTGACTGGGTTGGTGATTGGGGTGTTCCGAGATGTGTACTGCAAAGAGTAAGAGTTATGATTGGACGTGAGGAACGATTAATAGCAAAAACTTTCACATGGAAAATGCCAAAAACGTATTCAAGAAAGTGTTCTCCTGCAATATGGAATGACTACACTTTACAGTACATCCTATGAAGGGCATTGTGGAATTCTCCCGATGGGAAAGGCACAATAATAAGCGCCAGGATAATAAAGGATTTTTAAATGTCACATCCTGCAGATACGTCACACTGACTTGCAGAAATGCCGCTCCAACACAACACATGCCACACCCTTTTGTAAAGATTTATTTTGGTGCTTATCCCACACTTTTCGTGTATAATATAAAATTGGGTAAATTGGAAAATTAATGCAACAGAACACACAGAGGTTTATTCCCAGTAATTAGTTGAAGATTGTGTACAGCGATCTCACCGTTGCACGTGGGGAGGATGTATCAGAGCGCTTCACAGGATATGCTGTAATGTGTAGTGACTATATATTTTGTTGGCATACGTGATTTGAGGAACCAAACTTACCAACCATCTCCAATGTGTTCACATCTATGGTGCCACCAACCACACCACCTTTGGAATCTAGTTGTGACCTTCCCAAACCAACAGACATTGAGATTTCTCGGTCTCTGTTGCTCCCCACTGACAATCGACCTTGGCTTTTCAACCCACTCGTTGTCCATCTAATTCAAAACGAACAGCAGTTTAAATGTGAATAAATAGTGCTGTAATGAAGAGATTTGTAATGATACTCAGCTCATCCACTCTACGCTTGTGTCGGGCTAATTTCACCAAACTGAGCCAGGCTGACATTGGGAGAAAGCTAGAATTTCTTCACCAATTGTGAAAACACTGCATTGTCAATCAGTAAAGAGTTAAATATCCCAAACTATTCTCAGGATTCAACGAACGTTTATAAATTTCGTTCCCTTCCACATTATCAAATATTGAACCAGTTTCATTAATTAAGCGTCCAAGTGGCCACCCCCCATGTAGAGCGCTATATAAATCCAAGATTTTGTTGTTTTAGGAAGCAAAATGCATTGCCATAATCTTTTTCAGGAAAAAAAGGAAACCATTGCCAACAAAAATGGCATTCAACTGCAGCAATCTGCATCACCCGGGACTTTCTTAAGAACTGCAACTTACGTGGTGTTTCCCATAACATTACTCATATTCATTTGCACATTTAATTGTTTCAGGTTGATTGCAAAAACAACCAGAGTCTCCCAGGGTGCACCGTGATGGCTTGCCACCTTCCCAGTCTTCGTGAATGTAGGGGTAGAGGTTTTGGTAATGGAATCTGCCAACAGGAGAAAATGTATTCAATAATAATAAAAAGCATTCGGTCACTCAATTCCATTTGTTTGTCGGACACTACTGTGCGCAATTGGCTGCCACATTTTGCTCACAAAATATACAGTCAATTCACTTTCATGTATATTCTGCGAAGGGTTTCGAGTCATCGAGCTATTATCAAAATGCAGGGATTATTATTATAAATTTATATACTGAGAAAGAGAGCACTGAATACAAGTTACAAATCACAGCAAACTCCTTCTAACCAGCCCAGATAAACTGTCGGCTTGCAATAAATAAAGTAACCAATAATGCATTTAATATATTGCAAAGCCACAATAATTAACAATGCTTAGATTTGATAGAGCCTGGGTTCAATTCCAGGCAGGTCAGGGCGAGACCTTGGGCAAGTTTCCTCACTCCACACACCTAATAATAATCCCTCCAAAACAAAACAATAATAAATTGGTCATTTACAATCCACGACTGTTTGTGGGGACACTGCTGTGCCCAATTGGCTGTCGCGTTTCCCCACAAATATACAGTCAATTCACTTTACAGTCTATTCTGTGAAGCGCTTTGAGACGTTGAGAAGACGTGAAAAGCACTATATCAAATGCAAGGATTATTGTTATTATTATTTATAATAAAAATGCAAGTACCTCTCCTCGTAACAGATGAGTCAGAGATACTCCTTGACCTGGTTGCTGAAGGAGATTTCATACTGTGAGCAAGACCAGCTGGTGAGGTATTACTAGATGTTGTGTGATCGTTGAAGACATTTGTCTGAGCCATATGCTGATAATTTGACGCCTGTGCTGACTGGTCCCAGGTTCTCCAGTAAGCTTTACGAGTTGACTCAGGAGAAAGATGCTGATTTACACCTTCAATGGAATCTGGAGTTACAGGCCCAGAAGCTGTTTAGACAAAAACAACTTTGATTAAAGTAGCATTCAAACAGATTAGCAAACAGCCCTGTCATAAGAGGAAATGTGAATTACCTATCACAGGTTTGGCCTTCATTTTTGCCCTTTGTTCTCTCACCAGATGTGGGAGATAACAAGAGTAAAGGAACTAAGGATGGAGTCCAGAGTGAGGTTTCAACCGTCAATCTAACTTATACATGGGGCAAAGCTTTGAAAGCAACAGTATCACAAGCTGAGATCACAGTGTTGTATGTGAAGGTTAAATGAAGGAGAAACAATTAAGAACTTTCATTTTTAACCCAATTTAGCAAGATGATGAAAAGGGCTTGGACCACACCAGGTGTTTTCAGCCACTAGCTCCTTTGGTTCAGCTCGGAAATGTTGAATAGTTTTATGGATTGTAAAATATATCATTTTAAGCAACACTGAAACGTTATCTACAACACTAACGTGTGACTCAACTGTGAACCTATACAATTATGTGCACATTTATATAGTGCCTTTTACATTGCGAGGCTGACTACAAACTGCTTTGTGCCGCTGGCTGAATAGGGAAAAGGCACAAAGCACGGTCAAAGAGGTCTTCTCTTCACGCGAATCGGGGAGAGCTTTACCTTACATTACTGATGTTTCTTCTCCTACTTCCCTTCCCCAAGTCAGTTGATAAAGAAGTGACACCAACGAGTACTTGGGAGAGGAAAATATTTTTCGACTGTGTTATTGTGAGAGGGGAATATCAAACAGATGCACAGAACAAAAATGAATTGGTGTGAACACAATATCTTAATAAATAGAGAATAGAAATACACAGAACATCATCCGATTGGGAAGGTTGCTGCTAAGCTGCTTTTTGTAATTTACAGTCATTTTAACTGTACTTTTACTGCTTTTTGATAAACTCACCTGGTAAATTGATTGTCTGATCGCCTAGGAAGAGACGTCTAGCAATACTTCTCCTATACCAGGCCCTCGGGAAGGCTAGAATTTCACTAAGGCGCCGCATGTCGTACTTGAAAGAGGCCGATCCTATGTCACATACAGCTGACAATGCAGAAAAGCAAACAGTCATTACATGTTGTATCTATAAATCAGCAAAAATCTGCAAATGCAGCTACAACTCATGTTTCTTCTTCAATTGAATCCCAAATCTTTCCATAAACTGAAAATGCTATGCACACCCGATAAAATGGGGCGGCTTAAAAAGCTGTAGAGTAAATGACACAAACGTAGGAAAAAGCAACTTGGGAGATAAAATGCGTCTTGGGCAGGGAATCCCATTTACTCTGACCTAAGATATCTTGCAGTTTTCCCATTTGGGCTTTTTCAACCCAAATAACTCATAAATTACTTTCTCATTCAATAACTAAATCTTCGAAACTGTTGAGTATAAACAGAATACAGCTTTGCTGTTTATTCTTCGGGGTAAAATGTGTGGCAGCTAAAAAGAAAACATTGCATTCTGCCCGGCCCAGAAGTAACAAGCAAACGTAAGGCCCACAGAGGTCCTCCACCTGCTGGTAATTACTGAATGTTACCCATTTAGCACAAGGATTTTTACATGCATCAGCCTGGCTCAGTTGGTTGCACTCTTGCCTCCGAGTCAGAAGGTTGTGAGTTCAAGCCACGTGCTGAGACTTGGAACTCGCATAGTCGAGGCTGACACTCCAGTGCAGTGATGGGAATGCCATCCTTCAGATGATACATTAAACCGAGGTTCTATCTACCTGTAAAGGTGGATGTTAAAGATCGTACTGGTGCCATTCAAAATGTGAAGGGAGTTTCTCCCAGTGTCCCGGTGAAAAGTAGAATTGGTTCACTTCATGTCTCTTTGTACAATTTACTGTGCGCAAATTGCCACAAATATACACAGTCACTCACTTTACAAAATACACTCTAAACAAATAATTTGAAGTATCCTCTTGACACGGAAAGTGCTATATTAATTCTAATGATTACTTAAAGCAATTTTTTTATTCCCAATATTGCACGTGCTTTAGAAAACAAAAACTTTAAAAAAAGCAAACTGAGTCGAAGTTACTAAAACTTGTCCACTGTAGAAAAATATAAAGAAGCCAAGTTATGAATTGTACCAGATATGTTAATCAGCGTGGTCTCCATCTTGCCGCCTCCTTTGAGTGACGTTTGGCTGTCAAAGAACGAAGCTCCTCCAGAGCGTCTCATTCGAGATAAGCTCACTTTCACAAATTCAAGATTAATGCTCAGAGAATCCTTACGGCCAGTGACAGAGGCAGCATCTTCATCAGTGATACCTATGACATGAGAAATCCATGCGTTTATTCTCTCTCCTTAATCTGTAAATTGCCTCCTCACTGCTTCTCTGTGTCATTGTCCCATCTAAAGAATGCCCAAGGCTTGGGAATCATGGCCTGAGCAGTCCACTTGAAAAGTACTCCAAAACGTTTCAGGTTGTCCACTCTTTACGTAATCAGATGGAACATGGAAAAACACATGTCTTTTTTTTAAAAAAATGTCCATATTCTGGAAACTCCTGGCCTAATGCCAGAGGTTAACCCAGCAGTATGTGGAGGTTGCCGAATGAGGGAAAAATATACACATATATACAGAATTATTTTGTCAAACATCCTAAAATAAAAAGGACCTTGTAAATAGTTTTTATTGATCGGCCTGACCCGATCCAAAATTCTCGAGACGAGTGGACCTTGCTCAACACTTCACGGACTTATACTTACTGTAGGATAGCCGGCTAAGTACAATGATAGTTTTTAGCAAATACTTATAGAAATTGAAACAGCTACTGTGAAAATATTCCTACCACACAACAAAACTTGCAGAAGCAGCACACCAAACCATACAACAAACATGTTTGGATCCCTCAGTGTTTTTACCTAGAACACTTGATCCAGGGGTCAGACCACCGACGGTTGTTTTCTGTTTCCCAGTTCCATATGGGTGAAACACATATAAGGAAAAATCAGACATACAAGCTGTAAAACTCAAGCCTGATGAGCTGGTGCTGGGATAAGTGAGATCGGATTGGCTGCTGCTATGTCGGCTTCTTCCAAGAGGGCTTCCTAATCCACTCGATGGACCTTTATCAGAGAGAAATGATTAAATTAGCTCAAGAGCTACTCAAAAGTACAATGCAAAGTGATCGACAGGCCCTCATCCTAACTATCACTTTCCACCACTCACACTGCTGGTTATTAAACTTGTATTGATTTAATTTATATTGTTGAACTTCAATCCGAAGGTCTTGCAGTTGAGAAGATCAAGTACCCAATGGAAATGGTGGGAGGAAAGAAAATACTGGAGCGGTGTGAATAGATACACAGAACATGTATGCATCAGAAGGAGGCCATTAGGCCCATCGAGTTCACAGTGCTCAGAGCAAGATCAATTCAAACCATCGAGTGCTCAGAGCAAGGAGATCAATTCAAACCCACTGCTTCTTCACCTTATCCTCGTACCCATTCAAGCTTGTCTCTTTCAAACGCCTGCTTACTCCCCTATTGAAAGCTACCACTGCGGGGTTCCACATCCCAACTGCTCTCTGGGTGAAAAAAATCCTTCTAAGTTCCACTTTCTCTCTTCTAGTAGCAACTCATATCTATGTAACCCGAGCTACTGACTTCCCAAGCAGTGGAAATAACTAACCTCATCTAGTCGGCCATAAAATATACAGTCAATTCACTTTATAGTGTATTCTGTGAAGCGCTTTGAGATGTCTCGAAGACGTCATAATGTAATGTGCTATACCAATTGTAAGGATTATTATTATATTATTATTTACCGTAACAAAAACCTCATGATTTTGCACACCTCGATCAGATCCCCCTCAACCTTCTCTGCTTCATTGAAAACAGACACAGCCTCTCTAATCTCTCCTCATAACTGTAGCGCTTCATCCCTGGAATCATTCTCGTAAACCTCCTCTGCATCTCCTCTAAAGCTTTAACATTTTTCCTTTAGACAAGGTGACAACGTCTCACATTTATTACACCTTTCAATATGCACTGATGAGTCAAAGTAGAATTTTCCGTCTTGCGCTGCATTACATGGTGTATCCATTATCTTACGCACCTGTCTTGTTAGCTGAAGACTTTAATACTGTCTGAGCAAGTGGTATATTGGTGGCAGACCCGTGAGTTACATCTGCATGAGAGACGCCCAGGGTTTCCAATTCACCTCTGTTGGAGGAGAACACCAGGTCCAGGGAGGGCAGCTTCAGCATACACTCCACTCGCGATACTGGCAAACAGCTGAACTTGATCTGCGAAGGCTACGAAACACAAATAAGATTCATAAAATACAAAGTTACGTATTTCAGCAAATTCGCACAACATACTGATTCACATAAATGAATGGCCTCCTTCGGCTCGGAATTGGCTGCCACATGTCCTTGTCGAAGCAATAAATTCTTTCAATAAGGAATTAGCCAGAAGTTTCAAGAGGATGGAAATGAAAGGGTAAAGGGAGTGAGTATGAGTGGGATTAGACTGGCTCAGGTAGAGAATAAGACTAGCACAGACAGTGGACTGAATGACCTACCAGAGCCTTGGGACGTCCTCCCGACGTGAAAGGCGCTATACAAATGTAATTTTGTTGTTGTTGTTAATTCTGTGCTATAACAAGTTCTGACATGGGGTCTGAACCTACAACTTCTGTCCCGAGAGGTGAGCCAAAGCTGACATCAAAACAATTTTCCAAAATATATTGAACAGCATAGTGTTCTATTCCCAAGACTTATTGATAAGAATGATGAGCAAATTAAGAATATTAAGTACTAAATGCTCACCTGTACCCTCACGTACACAACAACATCCACAGGAAATGAGGTGTATGCCGACGCAGATGATGACACGAGGGAGGTTGTTGATTCCTCCAAATGATCTTGAAGATCAAATTGCCCCACATCTTCATCATGAGAGCTGAGAGCTGCTAAAAACGAGATAAATTGTGTCCACGATAAACTAAAGATCACCATTTCTCAAATCTGAAATTCAGTGACAATTTACAACCATTCGCTTATCATTTGGTATTTCTAAATAGGAGATTCCGTGCAGTGAATATGAATACAAGCAATCAGAGTGTCAATCTGGTTACAATGCATACAAGCGAGTGAGAGAGAGAGAGAGAGAGAGACAAATACACACACAGAACAAGTTAGCACTGTGTATGAGGAGGGAAAAGGAAAAACGTTGGTACAGTGACAGACAACTCGTGATGAAAAAAGTTTTTAGTTAGTCCTGTACATTGTATTTTGTTTGATGATCCGGTGGTATCTGTGCTGATTTAATATTCACAATGAGACCCATCTAATTAGTGTGGGTATCATAAATCTGTCCTCCACATTAGGGTTTTATTTTCCCTACTTTCCAATTTTCTTCCCACCTCTCCTGAACGTGTTTAACTCCTCTTTCCTTTCACTAGGCAGGTATTCAGTAGTAAGGACACTGTAGTATGGGCTTTAGTTACCTGCCCAAGTGGCCATCCTTAATGCTCGAGCTCACGCAATAGAAAATATTGTGTGTAGACATTTTATCTAAATATAAAGTATACGTATATGTGAGTTACTCGATTACAGGAAGCTAAACCGCACTTCCGGTCGCACAGAAACTCATCAGGAGGGCACATATGCTATGTTTAAATGTGCATTCTGCATCTGAATTACAGTTGAAAACAATTTTCATAGCAAAATTAACTCATCATTCACATACATTTCATTAACATTAAGTTTTATTTAAAAAAAGACTAGCAATCATCTAGGACTCTAGATGTAGGTAAATTCTGATGAATGAACTGATTATTTACAATTCTCATTGAAGAAAAAATCCTTACTCGGGTAATTCCTGTCAATTGGAGTGATGGGAATGGTTTCCAGAGCTTTCTCCACAAAATCCAGCAAGCAAGGACTGATTACCATCTCCTCAGGAAGGGACTGCAGAGCTACCCAAGCGTAAAGCTTTGCTGTTTTCACTCCTCCAGTTGCTTTTCCTTTCGCTGCATGAATTATCAAATATTATAATTTAGTCACAATAATCTAAAATGTGTGCAATTCATACATATAATACTTCTCATTTCAAAATGACAGCAGCTACAAGATTTGTCATTAACCAGCGTGACGCACAGTCCAACTAAAAAATATGTTTACAACATTTTATTCATCAGTGTTATAAAAAACATCAGATTCAATGAAACTATAATAGCTGTTACAATGAGGAGGTTTGATTGAAGAAATCCATTCAGTTTATTAAATCTCAAACTCCCGGCACACCAATCCTACCATCTCCCCCCAATGCCGCAGTGGTTCCTTAAATCAGTTCAGCTTCCAGGACTCACCAGCCTTCCTGGTAACCCATTCTAACTATTGATTACCCTCTGTGATGGAAGGAAAAACTCAAACGGATCTTAGCGACATACATAAGATGCTGAATGGACAGCAAAGCTAAATATAGAACAATATGGCCCCATATGGTAGGTGGGAGGACAAGAAAAGTCAGGTTTAGGTATTTGAAGGGCACATGTCATAACTGCATTTCAAAAACATGCTTCAGAAGTAATTGCTGTAAAGTGCATTATCTCTGTATTTGCAAGCGAGTGAGCAGCCAATTTTCCAAACAGCGAGGTCCCACAATTACCAACATCTGGAGGATTGTTTGCAAGGACATCAGGAGAAACTCCTTTCTCTTTTGAAATAGTGTCTTGGGATCTTTAACGTTCATCTCAAAAGACAGCCAAGACTTCAGTTAATGCCTTACGCAAAAAATGGCACTTCTGAAAATGTAGAGGCGCCCCAGGACTTCAGACGTTAGCCTGAAGCATGAGCTCAAATTATGCTGTGAAGAAAACAGCCTTATAATCCTGAGACAAAGGTGCAATCAACTAAACCAAGATAACAACTCAAGTATAGTGCAACTCAGAAAACTCACTCAGATGTTTGTCAGATCCTAAGCATTTGAAGTTCAAGATGAGAAACACAAAACTAAAAACAAAACCACAAATGTTGCCAAGTTTATGAATCTCTAATGGTGGTTTGGTTTAACTGAGGTATTTAAAATAAAGATATTAATTGATAGGTTAGATTAGTGGACAACTCGTTCCTTTGGTAGAGGGATCCACTCCAAAGTGGTGCAGCCTTACAATTGGAACTAAGGAGTTTAGAACCGAGTTCAGGAAGCGTTTCCCGTACGGAAGGTTGTGAAGATGTGGAATACTCTGCCCCAGACAGCTGCAGAGGCGCAAACAAAAGGGAAATTTAAAAGAAATAGAGAAGATACTTATTAATAATATTCCTTACATATGGCACAGTGCCTTTCACGTCAGGAGATGTGCCAACAGGTAACCCAGGTAACAGAGGAATTAAGGGATACTATGAAAGGGTGGGAATTAAGATCTACTGAGACCTGATGAACTGCTGGAACAGGCGCCATTGGGCTCCTTCCCTTCCTCCTGTTTTCTATGTCCCTGTGGTACATTTCACTGATTTTTTTTTATCAAGCTAAAACATTTTCTAAATCAGATCAAAACATTATATTGGTCATATTGAGTGAACACTGGTCACCATGCTTAAAAAGTACACTTTCATATGTAACACATTTTGAATGAGTAATCTGTGGTTATATAACAAATCAGCCTGAATACAAACAATAAATAATTGTAAATCTGCTTTCTCCCCTCGGCAAAGAAGTATTGAATAGCAGTTTTGAATAATAGCTAGACAAGAGAGAAAAGGCTCAGAAAAATTGGTGGTTAGCCAGGGCAATGTGCTTTACACGGGTCGACTTGTGCAATATTTATATATACACCAAATTAAGAGATTCAAACTGTTTGGAGAACTGGTTATAGGTATATCTTTTCCTACAGTAAAGTATCATTTTGAATGAATAGACATTGGTTGATGTGTGTCTCCACTTGGAATTAGTAATGTTTATAAACTAGGTGTCAGGATAGTTGTGCCACATTTAAGGCACTTAAAAATTCTCGGGGGAATGAACTAAACAGACTTTTAAACACAAACGAAACTCACTGAAGTAACTATTGGGAGAAATGGAACTAAGATACAAGTTACAGTAGACAGACTACAAATATTACTTGGAAGGAAGCAACATACAATATAGGAAAAAATGCAGTTTGATCATTTTACATGGATGGGTGCTAGTTATTGCAGTAATTTATTTCATCTGTTTTGTATCAACTAACACCTCTAGCCTCACACTGAACCTGATGTAAATATGCCGAACAGCTTAGATGGGCAATGTCACACCTCTCTTTTAATGACTGATTTTCACACAATCTGTCACTATGTTAGATTTAAAGTGGTACATTTAGACGTTCGCTGCATAGAGTACCCAATCATGCCTGCAATAATGCATGCAAGAATCCTGCAAATGTTCACTTAACTAATCCTGTGTCTCATTAATTATATCAGTGCCATCACCGACACAAACATTCATGCAAACCCTTTTGGCAAAATTGAGAAACCTTACTTGAATAATATTTGTTGCTGTGAACATCCTCATTTGTAACTAAAGCTCAGTAATACTTACAGAACACGTGCATCATAATAGAAGTTCACAGAGCTAACGCACAAAGCCAAGCAGGTACATTTATACAGATGTATAAAGCTGAGAGAGTGGATTAGAAAGGATAGATAACCACTTGTACCTGAGGGTGTAGGTGGGGGTTGGGGAGGAAGCAGAATGTTAGTCTTGTAGTTAGGAGTAGATGGAGGAGCAAAGCCAGTATCTTTCATACCATATAGTTTGGATTCTTTGGACAAAGTTCTGGTCAAAGAGGATCCTCTTGAAGCATTTGGTGAATCTGTCCTCAGTGTTTTGGAGTTGTAATGTAACTGTTAAGATAGACGAGGCCGTGTTAATATCTTCCCTAAGTGAAACTCATATTTAACAAAGTGACCGTACAATCAACAGTTTATGCACTATTGAAACAAATGTACAAAATGTTACGCTTCTTAAAGGTTACTCCCTGCAAGTTCGCCTCCTTGTTTTATATAAAGTCCATTCTATAACCTATCATTCAAAATATACAGTTTTTCCAGTCTATCAGCCTGTAGTGGTCAATCCAGAATATCCAACAATTCATTCATGTCTTTTTTCCATTCAAAAAAACAAAGTACAAGACTTATTCAAGGATTTTTATTTTCATTTACTCACGCCTAAATGTGAAGTGTACATGTCGTTTCAGGTAAGAAAATATTGCTATGATGGGATGTCTGATGTTAATCAGTAGAAAGGAACAATCTATATAAAAAATTATGATAAATGGCTTTCTTCAACTACATTAAATGGCTGTTAGATACTCAAATCATACTGAACAGTACGAAGATAAATCAAGCAGATCCATTGAGACTATGTACAGTAATCTTCTGATAACTCGTGTCAGGAGTGGTGAGTTAGGCATATGTATAAATCAAGTGAGAGACCTGAGTTCAATTCCAGGCAGAGGGCGAAGCTTGGGCAAGTTTCCTTACTCCACACAGAGCCTAATAATAATCCCTCTAAAACCAAAAACAATAATAAATTGTTCATTTTCAATCTACGACTGTTTGTGGGACATTGCTGTGCGCAATTGGCTGCCGCGTTCGCCCACAAATATACAGTCAATTCACTTTACAGTGTGTTCTGTGAAGCGCTTTGGGACGTCCTCCCGACGTGAAAAGCGCTATATCAAATGCAAGGATTATTAAATACATCAATAAATGCTAAGTCAGGGAATAGTTATCAGGAGTGAACTGTGTCTCAGCCTTTAAGAAATGATATAAAAATGATGCCCCAAATTATGGGGTTAATTTGTTTGCAGTTTTTGCCCATCCTCAGGCCCTATTCCATCGGTGCTTCTTGTCCTCTGATACTCATCCTACGTCAGTCAGTCTAGAAAGCGAGCATTGGCAAACTATTCAACTGTGATGCTCATTACCTTCACATCAACTCCTGGAATATAAAACACTGTCGTTTCAAAGTCTGTACTCTTGGTCTGAAGAGAATGTGGCACTTTCCTTCCGCTCAGGATGTACGAGCTCGATTGAAAATTTGCCAGAAGCTTCTTTTTTGGTGGCGATTCCTGCTCCAGATTTTTTGAGCTCTTTTCGTGGCTTCTGCAGAGATATGGAAACGCATTCCATCAGCGTACAATTGGGAGGACTAGGGTTTCAAGCTGTTCAGTTAAACTTTTACTTTGAGTGCCACAACTATATTAATTAACAGCCCTGTTTTGACAATATTAATCATAATCTTTGAATTTGATAAAGGTCAGGATTTCTCAAAGCACTTCACGGGATATACTGTAAAGTGGGTGTGACTGGGTATTCTGCGGGCAAAGGCGGCAGACAATTTGCACCCCGCAATATCCCACAAACAGCCATGGAGTGAACGACCAGATTTTATTGTGGCAGATTGTCAGCTGTGAGAAACTCCCTCGTCTTTTTGAATGGAGCGATGGGATCTTCGACGTCCGTCTGGACAGGCAGAGAGAACATATCATCCAGAGGACGGCAGCTCCGACACTGCTGCACACACCAGGACTGTACTGCAGTGTCAGTTTAGACTCTACGTGTTCCAAGGCCCGACAAGAACCCACAACCTTCTGACTTGGAGGCAAAAGTACTGAGCCTAGAAAAAGTGTTCTTTTCTTCCCATTTGGGGGTATTTTCACTCCAAAAACAAAACATTACTTTGTAAAATGCTACAGGCAACTCTGTATATTTTCCTTTACACACTAATTAATTTGGCACATTTATCTAGATTTTAATAAATATCGCGTTTACTCTCCAATATACACTATTTTAGAATTATTTAAGGCACAACAAAATGGCCATAAACTGCCTCAGCCTCACGGAACCATATTTTTTTAATATTTCCAGTTGCTTTAGCTAAAATCTAAATCAGCACAGGCCAAAGAGGTCAAACCTGCATTTTAACTGCGTTTATTTTTTTAAAAAAATCTATCAATGAACATTATTGATATACAAATAGCTGCTTAAAAACAATTAATTTCCTCGTCTCACATACAACGTATCTTACATAAACCCTTCAAAGTACCAGAAAATACACTCACCTTTTTAAATTGATTTCCTCATGTTCTTGTTGCTGTGTAGTTGGATGCAGTACGCATTTGCCACTGTCGATCTCAACTCTAATATCGAGGTCAAAATCAATGTTTCTTTCTGTTGCAGCATTTAACGAAGATCTGGCTATCGGTGTTGTGGGCCATCGGTCACTGAAGAGCTGCTGCATCGCAGATAACCCACCAACCTTTTTGCGCATGGCATGTCTGCATTAAATTCAACGTAGTTATTCTCAGGAACTCAATGCTTAAGCACAGCCCTAACTAACTTTACCACAAAATCTACTGTAGGTGTCTGGATTGAAAAAAGGCACGGTTCGAAGAGGAAGGTCTTTAGACGGGACTTGAAGGAGGCACGAGAGGTGGGGGTGAGGCGGAGTGATTGCGGGATAAAGTTGCAGAGTGTGGGTGCAGAGATGCTGAATGCCCGATCGGCAATGTGGGTGGGAAGTGCAGGGGACCTGAAGGCCAGAAACTGCCAAGCGGAGGGACCGGACAGGCTGCTCTGGGGTTAGCAGTCGGAGAGGTGGTGGGGGGGGGGGGGGGGAGCAAGTCCGTGGAAGGCTCAGAAAGTGAGAACGAGGGCTTTGTACTCGATTCTCTTGAGGGATGTGGAGCCAGTGAAGCCGGGAAGAATGGGAGTGACTGGTTTGCGGAGCCTGGTGCGGGAAGAGAACGCGAGCTGCAGAGCTCTGGATAATCACCGTTTAGTTGAACTTTGGAAACTTTTTTTTGAACTAGTCGATAAACGGAATAGAAATGCTTACGGCGTCCGCCTGTTGCTTTGAGATCTTTCTCTTTCTCGCTCGTACTCGTCTTCCCGGTCAGAGTCTTCACTGGAAGACGACAGACTGTCGTCTCGTCTGACATCATCCAGCTGGAAGGCAAGTCTTTGTGAAAAGACATGTGGGGTGTTGGGTGAACTGAACACAGAATGTTCACTGATGGGTGAATAATGAATCGGACTGTCAACGGTGACTGACAACAGGTCATATTCTGTCTCCTCAGGGAACTGATACCACAGAAAAATTGAAAAGTTCAGAATTACTCTTGATTACACCGTATGCACCGTAACTGCTAACGTCGTCTGTTAGTTTGAATTACATCCCAATCACAATCACCTGGTACTTGAGCAGACAGAATTGTTTTGGAATATGGAATGAGCAATGACACATTAAAAAGAAAGGCTTTCCCAAACCTTGTATTCTCAAAAGGTACTCAACAACTCGTGGAATAAATTCTACTGCCAACTTAAAAGTAAATCTCTCAAGGTACAACAAGGGTTTACGCCAACCATTCTTATTAACTTCTGGTTATCAATATTTGGGATGGGTGGTCAACTAAATTGTATTTTGCAACAACTTCACGCGACATCAATCTGTGGACTTGTTTATTGGTTCTGATACTTCAATTTATTATGAAAGGCTGTTGCTCAAATCATTTATTTTAGCAAGGAATTAAAGCATTAAACTAACTCTGCTTTGAATAATTTGGGGACAATTTACAACTTGAACATTAGCTTTAAATTAAAATAATTAATGTTCAAAATGGGCTGGAATCTCCCTGAGTTTCTGGTACAGTATAGAAACAGGAGTAAAACCTTGTCCACAGTGGAGAAATTTCTATCCTGCAATTACCTTATGCACAAGTTCAAACAAGACCAAGCAGAAAATTTGATGAGAGAAAGGTGGCATTGTAGCTGAGACCAATGATGGCTTTACATGTGCATTTAAATATGGATAAAATAGATTTGAGGAATAGAAATACCAACAGTTCTCCTGCCACCACTAACCAGCCTAGTGATACAGAGATAACTTAGATTGTGCTGCTGCAATACATTATTACATTTGTATAGCGCCTTTCACGTCGGGAGGACGCCCCCCAACAGTATGTTTTACTCATTTCCAACTACATTTAAAAACTGTACCTCACCTTTACGTTCACTAACAATTCTAGGCAGAAATGCTACATTATATTGACTGCTTCCATTTCACATTAAGATAAATAAGTCTACAAAGAGGTATTTAAGCACATAAGGAAAGTATAGCATTTGATCAATTTGACTGCGATTTTCCCCACAGTGATTCAGTTTAGGTTGACAAGCAGAAATAGAAGCTTTGATTACAAGACCAGTTGCAAATTTGTCTTCACCACATACAGGTTATGGAGATGGAGCATTAGATCAGATGAACAAAGATGGCTCAATTAAAATCACCTGCGGATTGAGGCAAATCTATGCGTTAGTTAATGAAATGAGCCGCAGACAAGTTCAACCAATCTTGCAGAATGCTTGCAGTGCTCCAACATTTGTCATCCAATTGACTCAATTAAAAATATCCACAAAAAAATAAATTAGGTTAATACCGATGAACTTCTCCACACAATGTATTCTATCAATCATGGAATCCTAAAACGATTCATTGTGGAGTATGTTACTGTACTTCATAGAGTTTCCACCACTGCATTATGTGCAGTCACTAAAATTTCAATTATATAATGTGATATCTGTGAAGTCATAGTTATTGTTCTTCCTCTCTCTCTTCCACCCCCGAACCAAGTGCCAGCACTTACCCAACATTTGATAAATATCAGTATTTACAAAACACTTGACAAAATTCCTGTCAAGTGGCTTCAGTTCTGTGCAGAGAAGATATTTAACCGAAAGACAAAAAATATCCTTCTCCAGGGTGTGCAAGAAAAAAACAGCGAGGTACAAATCGTACAAAATAGTTGTGTATTCAAATATTTTTATCTCTTGGGGACAGTAGTGCCTTGTTTTTCCGAATAGTGCAAATAAGATTTATTTTTATTATAGTATCATGAATACATTCATAACAATATTTGCACAGTTCAGATAAATCCCTTAACACAACAAACTAAATAGTAATGGGCACTCAAGTATGGTTTTCTATCTCCAGCACTGAGAAACGATGTCTGTGAAGTGTTTGCATCATAGCTCATAGTGATGTAAAAACAGTCTGTGGTGTTGTAAATGCCAAGCACCCAAACAACATGATGATTTAGTCCCTGTAAAACTGATGTCTCACACCTCACTGCATGCATTCTGAGAGTTGAACCTGAAAAGCTTAAAGTAAACAATACCAAGAAGAGTTCCTGTGGAGGGAGTTAGACCCATTGCAGAGGAGATTTGTAGCCGGTTTACCTGAAAATACCCTTCCTCAGTGGTGTTGCCTTGCATTCTAAGGCCCAAAGCTGTATCACTCAGCTTTAAAGGAGTGAAAAAGGAAAATTAAATGAAGTTAAATGATACGGTAATTTAAGAGCAGACATGAAACATCACCGTAAGGTAGTGCTATCAATACGTTGATTCTGGTTGTACCCTTTGATAAAGTGTTGCCTGGATTTACTATGCCCTCTTATCCACTCTTGTGTTGAGGTTCCATAAACTCATTTAATGCAGAACGTCTTAAGTTAGCCAGATGATACTTTCCTCCCTTCAGCCTGAGTTGGATTCAAACTCAACCACACCACCCAGCTCCCCACCCCAAAATCAGGATGTCTTCAATAAAGAGGACACAGATGTGAATTCCTGCCCTGGTCACAAACCTCAGTAGAGCAAATATTGAATTGCCCCAGAAACGTCAGGGGGACAGCAGGGCTATTGGCTATTGAGAGCCCGAGGTAAGAGTCTTTTTTTAAAATAAAAATAATTTCTGTGTCACATTTATTGCTAAAAGACCCTTACCGTGTCCGGTACTTTAAATGTCACTTTTGGTCCATGTCCAGAAGTCTCTTGATTTTGGTTTTCAGGAACTTCATCTGCGTCACCCACTCTAGTACTTAAAATAAACATTGGTCATAATCAATGAGTGTAAATATAAGAAGTAGTTCTCACTGAAAAATAACCTTATCATGAGAGAATCAAGTTAATAGAAAAATAAGTCAAAGGAAAATATTTGTTTTCTACAAACAGGTTTTCCGATTATCAAATGATTAATTATTATTATAATTAGTTATTTCCAAATACAATGCAACAAAGTAATACAATATTTTGGACTGAATAGAACAACATTCCTTTACTAATGAAACTAGCAGGTCATGTTTTGATAGTACCAGATCCATAACTTAACAGTTTAAATAAAAAGCTCTTTACCTTGCTCTCTCTAGTCTTCTTAAGGACTGTCTGTTGGAAGTTGCGATACTCTTAGATCTATTGTAACTGGGTTTATAGCCCAGACCCCATTTATCTTTCAGGGATGCCGCCTGTGGAAACACAAATTTAGAGAGAATTTAGAAATGCAAATAAAACTTAAGACTTCCTTTAGCAATGTAAGTGATCTATTATTACACAATTTACCTGCATTTATACAAGATCTTTGTTGTGTGCAAGATTGCCTGCCATGTTTGTCTACAAATGAACAGTTGCCACACTTCACAGTAGAAATCCTGTGAAGCACTTTGAGACATTTTTACAATAAAATGCCATTGCAAATGCAAATTCTCAGAAGAGGTTCACACACAAAAAAAAAATCACTCCTCTAAATTTTTAGACAAACGTTAAAAATGGAAGGAATGGTGATGTCTATTTCCACAGAACAATCGCTAGCATCTGGGTTTTTTATGAATAAAATAATAATAATCCTTGTCTTTGCAATGAGTTTTCTTGTACTTTGCATATGCACATGGTTTACTCACTCTCATGCTGGAACGCCGGAGTTTTTTCCGAACATCTCTCCGGATATCATTCACAGCAACAGATTCCAGCTGTTGGTAACGTTGGATTTCTTGGTTTATTGTTCCTTCACTCGCTCCCAGTTTTCTAAAAAAGTTTGAATCAACTCAATTAGACAATCTTTGGGATTCTCACTACACAGAAACTATTGCTTCAGTCCAATAGGATTGTTAAACCGCACACACCCCCCACATCCACACCCCACCCGCCCGCACACCCCACCCGCCCGCACCCCCAACCGCCCGCACCCCCCAACCGCCCGCACCCCCCAACCGCCCGCACCCCCCAACCGCTCGCACCCCCCCACACGCACCCTCCCCACACGCACCCCCCCCACACGCACAGCCCCACACGCACAGCCCCACACGCACCCCCCCCACACGCACCCCCCCCACACGCACACATCCACCCCATCCACATACCCCATCCACACACACCCCACCCACACACAAAATTGCTGCATGTTTGCTATCCTCAAACTGATTGTAAGAAGAATTTTTTTCCCCTCAGTTAGATGGTAATAGGAACTTCAGCCTGCAATGTGACGGAGGAGCCAATTTACAAAAGCAATTGGAATATCATAACACACATATCTAATTAAAACAAACAAGTTATTGACTTATTTGTCGGTTGTTGAAATGATACTCGTGCTTTCACTCTTAAAATTTGTTCAATGTGATGTGCACAATAAACTCTCGTTACTCCATCCAGAAGACTAATATACATACTTAAGGTCATCAATAACTTTGGCTTGTTCATTAAGTTCCCTGATGTCCACTAAACGTTTGATAAATTTCCTTCCTCTTTGGTCGATGCCTTGGCTCCCGGCTATGCCTTGCCGTCGATAATCAGAGTTTTCCTAGAGAAAAGGAACGCAAATCATAAATTCTGTTTAGACGTGCTGAAAGACAAGGAAAGTTGATTGCCCTGCTGCCTCAAGCCCAAATGATTACAAAAATTCCACCCCAGCATGCAAAGGAAAAGAAGAATCAAGTTTTCCATTTGAATTTTAGTTAATTGAATCCAACTGATCTGATGCCCAAGTGATAATTTAGAAACTGCGTGTTTTAGAAATTGGGTAAAGAGAGACTTGCGACAGTTACATACGCTATCCCAAGAGCGAGATCGCCAGGCTTTTTTGTGTAAACAGTGAGAATTTGGTGAGTCACAGGTCTCAACGCTAGACAGAAACTCTGCAGGAACTGAATAACGGTGATGTTCGGGGCCCAGACCAAGGAGTTGGTTTACAAGTCGTTTCCCAAGTGAAAGCTTAACAAAGTCACCATTTATTGCGTTTCCATCTGAATGCTGAACAATAAAGGAGGGTAAATTAGCAATTTGAGTTACATCAACATTTTTATTTACTGATAAAATTTACTGCACTCACCAGTTATAGACAACAACAACAACTTGCACTTATATAGGGCCCTCCACGCAGGCTAGAGTCTCAGGGTGCTTGATAGTCCCTTAGCTTAAAGCTATGTGATTACACCCACGTTGCGCTTATGTGAAGACTGAACTAAAATAAGGAGCTTCTGAACTCCAATGAAAACCTACATTATTAACCCAGGGAGATGACCTGTGGTTATTGTGTGCTGCCAAACTTGATTTTCTCATTAGACTTGACAGAGAAGAGCAACAACCACAGCCCCACAACAAAACGAGGACGGAATTTAATTTGATATATAGTGCTACAAGCTCATGCATGAAAGCTGCCAATAGTCCTGAATCAAAGAGAAGCCAAGACAGGGTGGTATAGTAAGTTTACAAGTTTCAAGTAAAGTATTTCTACATGAAATAGTGCTGCCTAATCCTAGACTAGGAACCAATAAAATAGTAATAATTTGACATCATTTCAGGATTCCAAGATAGTGGCAAATGAGACTTGGTGGTACGAATTCTCAGGATGTTCAGGAACAATCTTAAACATTGAACTGGAATGACTTTCAGCCACAGTACTTATAAACAAACACCTTGACAGTCACAGTTCAGTCTCCACACTCAATGTTCAGGATGAGCAATTAACTGTTGCTGTCAGAATTTGATACCTAAACATAACCAAGTTGTGTTATTTGATGTGAATACATCTTAGTGTATGAAAATACACTACTTCATGTCACATGAAAGTCTCCTTCACTAGGGATGGTATACGATAACGCACAAACAGGTCAAATCTAGTCTCCAATTTCATGTTCGTAAATACATTAGAAATATGTATTTTGAGAATGCTACATTCAAAAGGTTGTGCAAATAAAAGAGAGTGAGAAAGAAAGAGATCTTTCAAAATAACACAACTGCTGTAGGTAGTTTTTTTAAAAAAAATCTAGTTTACGTAACATTTTAAACTTAAGAGCATCATGTCCAACTTCTTGGAAATCTGCTGATCACGGTCTCAACATGAAGTAAATTAGTTAATATCCCGCAATCAAGTAGTTTCCTTTTGCCTTACCCTTAAATACCTCTAAGTATCAGTCAATCTCCCTTTTAATTATTCTGCTCTTTTAATTATCCACCTCTCCAGGTTTCTGAGCAGAGCATTCCATATCTTGTCAATCTTTAAGTGTGAAGACATACTCTGACCTCTGTTCTAACTGGAGGCTCACAGCTCTGCACATGAGAAGTTGTTATCCTTAATTGTTTTGCGGCTCTTCATTGAACTGCCCAAGAACCTTCATCGAGCGTTTTTGAATGGAGGCTGAAGTGGCTCACATTGCCTGCATTTCTATTATATAGTGGTACAACGCGAGTCTTTGGCATGTCCACCGAGTGTTTCCATAACATCTCAAACTAAGCACAACATTCAACCATATCGATTGATCATGGAGTTGACGTTACTAACACAACATAACATGGCTGTTCTGTACGTCTTACAACCAAGAATTATTACCCCCAGAAAAGCGATCAGCCAATTGACTAACAACTGGGTTCCTACTTACTGCAGGGTAAACTGAGGCGTAAGGAAACTTGCCCAAGGTTTCGCCCTGACCTGCCTGGAATTGAACCCAGGTGTCTCGCTTGCAAAGCGAGTGCTCTAACCGCTGAGGTATAGGACTCCACTCTATGTCAAAATAGTACAACATGGCAATAAATAAGGCAAAAAGGATGTTGGGCAACATCACACAGATACACAGGAACTCTGCTTCATAAATAAATTGCATTGGAATAGAGTTCTCATAGATGAACAAGAAGCAATTCTGGTCATTGTCAGGAATTTCTATTTGTGACTCCAGTTGCAAAACTGCATTTCTAAAGCATTGCAAATAGTGAAAAAATCTAACTAGTCGATTAGGTAATACCATTTTTGTAAATAGTTTATAAGCTTATTGATTAACTCACAATGCTAATCGTGGGAGACATGCTGTCAGGTTCATCTTCATCTGATAAATCAGCCATGTTAACGGAGTTTAAATCAGCGATGTCATCAATATCTTCCTCTCCTGTCAGAGTCGTCATTGTATTACCCAAGGCATTCAGTCTTTTGCCTATATTGGGGTCCATGTGCACCTCGATACCACACATTTTCCACAAAACATTCAGCGTCCAAGTTCCTGCACTACTGCTGTCTGGAGAGAAAAAAAAACAAAGAAAATCTTTAATGTGACCCACTCTTCACAACATGCAGCATATGTTAACAAAGCCAATGAAAATTACAATACTTTAGAAATTACATTAAAGAGGTCAAAACTGCTAAGACATTTCCTTTCAAATAAGAATGTCACTGAGAGAGGGAGGATCAACATAAGGGTACCGTATCTAAATCATTAGGATGAAAAGATACATATGAGTTTCTGTTACCCCTGCGCTGGATAATTATAATATAATAATCCTTGCATTTGACATAGCGCTTTTCATGTCTTCTCAACGTCTCAAAGCGCTTCACAGAATAGACTGTAAAGTAAATTGACTGTATATCTGTGGGCAAAACGCAGCAGCCAATTGCGCACAGCAGCGTCCTCGCAAACAGTCGTTTGTGACCCATTTATTATTATTTTTTTTGGAGGGATGTATGGAGTAAGGAAACTTGCCCAAGGTTTCGTCCTGACCTGCCTGGAATTAAACCCAGGTGTCTCGCTTGCAAGGCGAGTGCTCTAACCACTGAGCTGCAGGACTCCTGGATTAGCACTTCAAAACGGTGAGAGAGATGCAAGTTGTTGTAACCTGCAAAAATGCAGTTTTTAAGATGTTTCTGGAGGTGAGAACGCTACCACTGAACCAAGCTGACACACTTGGTTGCAAGTTACAATAAACTACATCGTATTTTTTGCATGATATCTGCACCATATCCATATTCACATTGAGTCAGTGTTCACCAGTGCAGATTTGGGGCTTTCTATTGTACCTTTTTCTACCACTTCTATTCCTCAAGCTTTTTAAAAAATATATACATAAGCCATAGGTGAAGTCACAGACATGGTACGGCCCAAACAAAACAAGATACGGCCCAAGAAGAATAAATGTAATAACAGTTCATCCTTAACGCTGTGAGCATGACATTTTTTTCTAAGCTTTCCAGCTTACAACCTCTAGCTCACATCGTGTTGTTGCTGCCAAGTTTTCAGCAGTAAGACTTGTGAATAATCATTTGGTTGCAAACACTGAAATTCACTGAGTTTTAAACTGTTTTTTGTTTGGTCAGCCGGGTGTCTGACACATCACCAGCCTCAAGAGTATTCCACATATGAATACTAGTTAAGTATTTTGCATGCAAACCTAACAGCAAATGAGTAGGAAGAATGGCCATTTCCAGTGACTAGTCTAACCTTCCAAGTCATACTGACAAACTAGGTTGGCTGGTCTGTCACCAGCAGTGCAGATTGCAATGAACTAGCGGCAATATAGACACTATTAGAATGAAGTGGTAACGAGTTTTGTAGTGCAATTCTAATTTATAGAATGAATACTATCCTGAGTTTCTTAAGGTTTACAAAGCTATTATTTCTACTTCCCAGATATATACATTTCACACAAAGTACTTTCTGTAGATAGGAGAGTTAAATCTTCATGATATTTTAAAATTCTAAAGAAAATCTGGTAGACAAAACACCAAACACAATAACCCATATTTCCTTTTTTTGTGACGTCAACTTTCACGTGTGCTCCACTGGAATCCTAGCACTAAACCTCAGTGTTATGTTAACAGCATGTTCCTAATTTTGGCACAGGGTTACAGAGATTTATCAGTTGTTTCACTTATGGTCGCTCATGAGGATCTGTCATCAACTCTCTAGGTTTAACATTCGCATCACCGTGATTTGTGGAAGGTGCTGACAAGGATCAGAAAATAAATTACCTGCAGAAGGCTGCCCTGTAGTCCGTGAACATACTTCATATGTTCCATCTGGCACCACACCTGTTAAACCATTCAAAAATATTAAATTTAATAACATTTAATTAAACTCACAAAAACTCATCTGCCCACTTGGCTGAGTTTTACTGATCCAGGCTCACCAGTAAACAGGATGCCCTTGGAGAACAAGAGACGTGCAACAGGAGGTAAAAGCAGTGCATTGAACACAATACTTTAATGGCTTAAAGTGCCTTTCTGCTCAATGAAGTAACTTAATTGAGAGATAATATCTCAATCAAAATCATATTTCCCTTCTCACTGATGTAACTTCAGTGAGAAGGGGAATATAATTTTGATTGTGTTGCGTAAAGGAGGGTAAGAGAAGCCATCGAAAACAGATCTTTCACAAATTATTAAATATTTCCAATGAATGTTACTCATATAAAAGATTACAACACAGATTCAGAAACAGGCCATTTGACCCAACTAGTCGGTGGTGACTTGACTCATTTGTTACCCTTTGTTAATAATATTAATTAATAAGTAATACTAATAACTGAGCCGTTATCCTTTACACTTCATCCAATCATTGACTTTAATAATGCTGCAGTTTTAACAGAATAAATACAATTTGAACACTATTAATTAAATAAAAAATACATGAGAATAATCCAAGGAGCTACTCACAGGCATTCATTATCATATTTCCACGCACTTCTGGCTTCCAGTCATCCCAGCTAGTTTCAAAACCATCAGCAAAACGTATGCAGAAGTTTTTGAAATGACCTTTGCTGACGAGGGATTCAGAGGAGCAGGCAGTAATCAGAGTGCTCTCAATGGTGAGAACCAAAGCAGAGCCAGGATCAAGGTCAATATTGTGATTTGTCTGAGAAGCAGAGAGAAAAAAAATATGTCTCCAATGTTTCACACGGTTAAATGATCTGTGTATATAATAGTAATAATCCTTGCATTTGATAGAGTGCCTTATCACTGTTGAGATGTCGCAAAGCATTTCACAGAACATAGTAAAGTGTTGACTGTATATTCTGTGGGTGAAACACAGCAGTCATTTGCGCAAAGCAGTGTCCCACAAACAGTCGTGGATTCAGTGAGCGTGTTATTATGCTGATATAGCAATATTGTTGCTTGAAACACTTTTTAAAACCTCGGTAAGGTAATAAATGACAACATTAAACATTCTCAGTACATTGCCTTATATCTGTGCAATAAAAAAGCCTGAAGAAGCACATGCAGGATTTCCCAAATTTGATTAGAGTCTACTTTTACCCTCTGGTCTAAACTGGGTCAATTTGTACAAAACACAACTTTGATGTTCAGTTCCAAAATTCATTGTACATCATCGTAATATCATTTTAATTATTGTGAAAAGAGGATCTGATGATTAAAACCAGTTCATTTTTTATATACAGTTTCCAAGCAAGTCAAAAGAATTATTTCTCCATAACTTTACCCTCCGCTCTTAGCTATAGATTTACTGCAAACAAGTAAATCTGACCTCAATCATAATCCTTGCGTTTGAAGTAAAGCCTTTCATGTTGGGAAAAAGTCTCAAAGCGCTTCACAGGATTTAATAAAAAGTGCAGTGTATGTATATGCGTGGACGAACACAGGACTGATTTGCACCCAACAACTTCCCCAAACAGCCACAAATCTTTGCAGCAGTGATACGGCAGGAAATGTAGTGTTGGTGAAGGGGAAGTAGATGATTGATGTTATATTAGTACCTGTATGGTGCTGGTAATAGGTAAGCAGATGCCCAAATCATTCACAGTCAGCTGCAGAAATAGTGTGCCAAATGCTTGGGCAGAAGTCTGTTGGATTCCAGGTAGCTTGTCTACTACTTCTTTTGTAGCAACATGTATGTCCTTGTGTAATGCCAGGCGCTGCTCGTTCCAGTTGTCGTAAGCAGCTTTGTAGTTCAGCCAGAACAGAACAGCTGCAAAACAAAAACAATATTTGGTGAACAACTGATTATCAATTCTGAAAAAGAAAGTCAAGGAAAACAAATGCAATTGGATGCTGGGGTGTGGTAAAACCGTGAAATACAGGAGCTAAAATTGTATTTCTGTTGGGTTTCTTGTGATAGTTACGTACTTAGGTTCCATTTGGCTTGTGATTTAGACAGTGTTAAGAAACACCCTTATTCCCCTTTAACCCTTCACCATTCCAAAGTGAGCTTGGAGTCGTTGTTCTGGTTATCTTGCTCCTTCTGATTGCCTCCTTACCTAAATTCTAAATAATCAGCTATTCATCTCAACAACAATTGATAAAAACACTTACCTCTGTCAAACGCTACAGGTTGTGCATATATTATCGGCCGACTCAGTGTGATCAGAACGGCTTCTCTGTCAAAAGAGCTACTGATCTCTTCTTGCAGTGCATTCCTCAACCCAATCCGTGTTTTAAAATATGCTACCTGGTGGAAGTCTGAACCGGCTTCTTCATAGACCTGCAGCAATAAAAGAGCAACGATTCAAATTAAACTAAATGCTTTTCACCATTTATTCATCACTGTAATTTTTACTATCCTTTAACTATAACTTTGCTTATGATTTACATTTTCAATTGCATGTATCCTCCCATCAGGTTTTGGATGAGTATTTACATTAGCTTCAAAACAGAACTAAAAGTTATGCATGCTGTGCAGTTGGTATTTTACAGGTGATAAATGCATACCTGATGCTTGACAATCTGTCCCAACGCCAAGTTTAAATCAACTTGACATTTACCGAACAATTTCAGATAGTTGCTATTCCGGGCTGCACCAGGTTGGGTCTTGGTTTGGATGCGATTTGAAAGCTCCAGCTCAATAAGTCCAGTCTCCAATCTTACTGCTCTCATAGAAGGGGTAGTTGCTGTAACCTGTATGCCCTGTATAGGAAATTTACACCGTAAATCTTTGTGACAACTTGAATTAGAAATTTACAATAAACAAAGTACAAAATTGATTGCATCACTAGAATCCAGTAGAATTTTAAGTACTCACAAGAGCAAGTGTTTCAGTGGTATGAAAGCTGTCAAAAACTGATCACTTTAACCGCAGCGTGAAGCATACAAATCTAAATGCAATAACAGCAGCAACAACCTGATGACTTGGAAGTCACTTTGGTTTTTTTCATGCCAGCCATATTTTGAAGCATGGATAAAGCCAGTTGTCTTTCTGTACACATGCGCAGTGTATACAGAAACACTGACTAGTGATTGCGCCCTGTTCCGGAGCTGTTGGGAACTTATTGACTCAACAACAACAAATTGCATTTAAACAGCACCTTTCATGTTGGAAGGATGTCCCAAGGTACTGGACAGTCGAGGCTTTGCACCCGAGCTGGAGGTTGGATTCAGGAGTGATGGGGGAACAAGGGAACCAAAAGCACGGTCAAAGAGAAAGGTCTTGAGATGGAGCTTGAAGTAGGTTTAGCTACCACATTATATATAACAGGGCTCTACTGTATTTACATCATCCCATCAGATTTGGCCAACAAATACAACCGATTTATAAATATTTACACAAAGATGTGCTACTTTGAAAAGTAAGTAAATAGCATTTGAAAGTTGTTACCTTAAACTTCAGACTCAAAGCGTAGAGCAGAATTTTTGGCTTCTCTCCATCCAACAAAATATCATGTTCATTCCACAGTGGGATTGGCTGCTCACCTCCTGCACATAAAAGAAGCAATTAAAGATTGTCATTATAGATCCACATTTCCATCATAACTGGCTAAAGTTACCAATGCTGAGAAATAGCATCAAAGGCAGTTCATGTTTGGCATGTAAAGAAACTCAACCCAGACAAACATCTCTGCTCTGCCACTTGTATGCAAGACAAGCTGTTCGGCTCTTTTAGGTATCCAGATGAGGAGTCAGTAGTCCAGAGAGCTTAGATAATGTTTTCGTGGACTCCGTTAAGCTTTTAATTAAGGTTTTAAATCCATCCTTTGATCCTCAAATTACTGAGGCATTCGGGAGCTTTCATAGTTTGGTGTAGATCAAGTTTTTGAGTTGTTAATACTTTTCACTCTGGAGAGTGGAGAAAAGAGCAGTGTCTCTTGGTATAGGTTAAGTTTCCCTTGAAGGCTGCAATAAAGTTGTCCTCAGTATGAACTGGTGATAACACCATCTCGCCCACAAAATACAGTCAATACACTTTACAGTCTATCCTGTGAAGCACTTGAAGACGTTGGACGATCTAAAGCGTTACATCAAATGCAAGGATTAATATTATTATTATTAGCGTTCACAATGAAGACATGTTGCAGCTTCCAGAACTCCCTTTTGTTGGTCAAGTGTTCAAAAGGAAGAAATGCCATTCTAAAATTTAATTGGATTCATTTGCAAATTTAATCAGTACCTGAGACTTTCTGAATGACTTCATTGACCTCCTTCATGAAGACTTTTTGTACAAACACTAGCTGATTCAGAAGATCTGTTGTTAAGTTATGTTCAAAGGATCCAATCTAGAAACAAGCAACGAATGTCGATAGTTAAAGAAAGATGTCTCCACACAATTTGTGTGCAACTTGGTAATCTATTGTTAAAGGCACTTTCTAGCATGAATTATACCTCAGCCACACAGCGCAAATAGTTTCCCTGCAGATAGCTGCCTTGTTTCAAAGGGAACTCATCTGTGCTCCATGGTTGCTCTGGGTAACTCTCATGTTCCTCCATGATGTATTCTCCGGACATGGTGACCTGCGGGAGGTTGAGGCTGGCTGACGGTGGCAAAGTGGCCATATCAATAGGTGTGACTTTGGATGTGAAGCGCAATCTGTGATTGGGCAGCTCAAATGTGAACCGGGTTTGTGCTCCTAATGACAGAAAGAACACATATTTATTGAGGGCAAATCTCTTTCAAAATTCTGATTTAAAAAATGTTTGGATTCTTACTTAAAATGCAGATTAATTACTAGGCTCTTTAGAACCTACAAACAAAGTAACACCATAACAATATGTAATCTACAGTTAAGAGTGTGACATGCAAGATACTTGTTTTGTTGTAAATATCGGGTTTTCATTCATTTGCAACTTATCTGAAAAAAATCTTTCCTAAACAAGTCTAATATTAACCCTTCAGCGGGGCTACAGTTAGCAACTTGGTGTGTTGATGCGTACTTCAGAAGTGCACAAGTGGTTTCAGTGCAAGTGATTCTTACCCGTCATGCCATGGCTTTTCATCCGACCCATTTTGTATTCTGCTTTCAGAGATGGCAGTAATGCAGCCCCAATGGTGATTCCATCCAACAAGGCACTGAATTTCAGTACAATTGGTTTTTTCTCCAATCCTTCGGGAAGCTGAGGAAATTCATTTGTCTCCACTGGTGTCTGGTTGACACTTGGAAGAGGCTTGTCAGGAGGAAGGGGAGTGGAAAGATCCTCTTTTGATAATCGCCCACTCCTTTAATTAAAGAAAATAAAGTATGACCCTCATCTAAAAGAGCTCTGAAAAATATTTTTGAATTTAACTGCTGAAAAGTTACCTTTGAAATAATTCGGTGTTGCAATAAAATAGTTTCTCAAATATATCTTTTATTAGCACCTGGAAACAATTTTAAAAAAAACTTGGAAAATCTTACTTCTATTGTGGCTAATAATTGGATCTGAACAAAAATAATGCGTCCAAAATATCATAGTCTTCAAGGTACTTGCTGATTAAAATCACATATTTCGATAGTTTTGGTTTTGTTTAGCTTGAGAAGTTTAAATGAGTGTACCACACCATCACCTCAAACTGCACACAACAACACCAACTTGCATTTATACAGCACCCCTCACACAGGGTGACATCCCACACAATCAACATCAGTTCTGTTACATGCACTCCATCACTCAAAAACTAATCTTTCCAAGCTGGAGAAAGTGATCTTTGATATTACATAAGCATTTTCTTTTTCCTTGTTTTCAGAAGCTCTAATCCGACTGCTTAAAATCTACATCACGCATATAGTTAATGTAGCAGTCAGACTTTGTTCTCTACAAACAGAAATTACAGCATAGAAAGCCATTCGGTCTTTTGTGTCTGGCAAGTTACCTTCTAATGGGCTAATTTTACCTTAGAACATGTTAAAACAATATTTGGGGAGATTCAGAAATTCTCACATGTCTAAATTGTTGTCTTAAAAACACAGAATTACCTCAATATGCACCTTACGTAATTATAAAAGGTTTCTCTCGCAAGTGAACAATTTTGGAGATTTCATTATTTCCCATAATTACCTCAGATATTAATATTATACTGCACCGTACGTTTAGATGGTTTTAAAGGAATATTTACATTGTCGATGGCTGACGAATGAGATCTGAAATCTGCTTAGAGAGCTGGTGAGAGCTTCGAACCATCATGCTGTGCAGTGTAGCAGGATGCTGTGGAATATTAATGCTAATGGTTCCTACTTTTATCACCATTGTGTTGTTGGTCTTTAGCCCTCGTTGGGCACTATAAAGAGCCTGAGATTTGGCAATGCTGCATTTAACCACGGTCCTGGAAAGGAAAATACAAATGATTAGAAGATGGATCTTAAGCGTTTCAGGACAGCTGGGATTTTATACGTATAATGCATTCATAGCAATTTATACAGACAATGATTTGTGTGCAACTAGTCATTACGGTCAAAGATATGAAGAGGGTATGGAACTAATTTAACCTTAGATTTTGAACACAATTAAAGTACATTTAACAACACAATTCAGGCTTTACTTGGCATGCAGTTGACAACATTTTGATTTACAACTTGGTCATTCGCAATACATCATGCTTTTAATAGCTGTAACTCACAGTTTAGTTAACTGCAAGCTCAAAACAGAGGTTAGTGCTACTCTGTTTACAAGCAGTGCAAAAATATGCAAAATAAATGCAGCGACATACAGGTTGGCGTTTCAGTCATCACACAGACTCGCAGTTACAGACAAGTCTCTTCTATGATATCACTTAAGTGTTCAGATGTATTTAGAATTCACTGACTTGGTAATTATTACTTTTAATACTTGTAGATTCAAAAGAATGATCACAATATTCCAATTTTTAAAAAAGTGCAATATTGATCTAATATTGACGCTACGGAAGGAATTAAAAATATAATATCTGCCCCATATCCCCCCAAATTGATTTAAATGTAATATTACAGTGCAACACTGAACTAATGTCATATGGAGCCCTGTTAGTGTTTCCACAAAATTAAAAATGCAAGCCTGAAATCATGGTAATTTGACATACAGAAATTCTTGTTTGACTGTACTTGTAGGTGAAGTAGGAAAATCCTCCAGCCTATGCAAGATGATAGTAGAGAAAGCAAGAAAAATAAAAAGAGAGCAAATGAAGTATAGACATTCATGCAGATATCTTCAGTATAAAAGAGTGAAACCCTTAGTATGCAGATTTGTACTTTTCTCGTCTCGCGCTCCAGAACATCTATGAATGTCTCAACAATACAAGTGCCCAATTTAAATAGAAACGCTTTGCCATTAACTGGGTAGAACATGCAGAAAACAATACTTTGTTCAGTTATACAAACTGGTCAATAATTTGACTACAAGACGACACACACTAAGGGTTACCACATTAACCATAAAAGGATAACTGTAAAAATTTATAAAACAATGAGAGTTAGCGCATAGGCATCCATAATGTACTGATCTTTTGTGCACCGACTGATTCTGTTTGTAAGTAGGAGTAACTCAAAAGGTATAATGAATAGAAGAGTTTTTTTAAAAAAAAACAAGACGCAAAACAATTTATAATACAATTATAATGAATACAATGCATCTAAACTAAACGGCTGTAACAAGCAATAGAACATGGACCACCACAACATATTAGATATACAAAGTTTCACTATTTAGTTCTGTGTCTGTTTGAACATTTTTTTTTAATCCCATTGATGTGCGAGAAATCATTATGACCCAATTTTGTTCTCACATCTCAGAATTACAGATATTTAAACATTTCTGAGAGAGAGTGCTGTGGTACTACAATATTTCAACTGTGTTTCTACATTTGCTAAATTGCAGAGGAATCAAAGCAACACTTTGAAAGTATTCACTCAGACCAGAGAGGCGTGGTGTATGGGTCTATCTGAGCTCCCTAACCCTCCTACGTAATGTGTTGTAGCATCTATTATTGAGTTCCTTAGTAAATCCTGGCCACAATGGAGCACACATTAAGAAATATTATTTATTTCACCCACAAAATACAGTCAATTCACTTTACAGTATATTCTATTAAGCGCTTTGAGACGTCTCAACGACGTGATAAGGCGCCATATCAAATGCAAGCTTATTATTAATAATAATTATCTCTCCCATTGTAGCTGAGCACCATCTTTCTGTTCAAAGTGTTTCTGGATTTCTGGATTTCATACGTACAAGTAAACCATGTTCCCAATGCCAAGGAACGTTACTTTGAACATAAAGTACAGTACTTCCCTAGACTTAGATTCATATTTAGGAATGCCACAACAGAAAGTGCTCCAGACTTATGAGATGCACAAACATTTTTGAATTTTTCAAATAATAATGAGAAAACATAAGTAATAGTAAAACAAAACAGAATGAGAGAACAGAAATAATACCCCATGGAAAGACGTAACAGTAAATGGGTCAGAAAAGTTGACAACAATTAAAAGTGCAGAAATTTTAACATGATAATAAAAGGAAATCAAGCAAAAATACACAGTGAACTATGTATATCGTCGAGTCAACCCACGTAAGGAGTAAATCACTGGGAAACAAATACAAAATCAGCTTTAAATGAAAGACAGAATAAACCTGTAAAAAAAGATTAAAAATATGATAAAGTACAAAATAAATGATCACTTAAGGACTCAGACATTCCCATAGTAAGGCCTGTCACTTCAGATCACTTTCACTTCAGAGCATCTCGCAGTGACGTGCATAATAACGTGTAGAAAACTCTCCTGAATCCCACCGCGATGGGATTAGGAGCCAATGGAATTAGAATCAGAGTCTGCTGCAACTAATTACTTTAATAAATTATTATTTATTTACTTCTTGCTGCATAAAGTGCGAAAATAATAACCCTTATATTTAAAAAAAAAGCTAAGTTCAATTTTAACCACACAGAGACTTTTTCAAGCCAATAATCCCTTATCAATCAAGCAATCAAAAACAAATCTTAAAAAAGCACCTTAGCACTGAACCTAACAACGAAAAAAAACATTCGAAGAGGAAAGCAATGAAAACCAATCGTTTGGAGAAAGAAATTCAAGAAACAAACCAATCCGAGCAAAAAACCAGAAAATAAATATCCAGGACATAATTACATGGAAACTTTAGGAAACAGTCAAAACTACGAAATGATTACATTTTTCAAACAAAACTGCATAATCAGTCGTTAATCCTGTTAATTAATACAGGGCAAACCCATTACTAGGGACCCCTTGTAAGTCAGGTTCACCTACGAGTAAGGTGGACTGTGGACATGCAGCCGTTTCCCACGTGTTAAAGAAAAGGCCCGGATCAGGATCAGCAGATCATCGTCGATGCATTTCCTGCACACACTGCGCCTACAGGACATGACGCTGATGTCACTTCGTTAAGGAAGTGATGTCAGCTGCGCACAGGAAACATCATCCCAATGATCCAGAACTCAGCCACGTTGGAGCATGGGAAGATGGGGTGCACCTGCACAGGAAGTGATGTCAGCATGATCTGATGTCCCCAAAAAGGTAGACATTTTCCCACTCTTCATTCTTGCGCAGGGCCTGAGACAGGGGACCCACCGAACTGTATTAAAAGAAGGTCGCTCTGTAGATACACCTAAAACAACAGGTACCCTTTCTCCATTTCAGTATTTAAAAACAATAGTCTGGGTGGAGCTCAGTGATAACCAGCAAAATATACAACCGGAAACATAATGGATCAGCAAAAGGATCAGAGAATAAATGTGACAATTCAGTGAACTTCTTTTGTTTTCAAAAGTGTGTATCGTCAGAATTGTTCTACAGTAACTTCACTCTTTACTCACTGTATGTTTGGCGTTATGCCCTCCAGCAGTACTATGTTGACACCGCCTATGTGAGCAGTTGCACACGTCTCAGTCATCTTTTGGTGCAAAACGTCTGAAGTAAACACAAATAGGGAGACCGTCAGCCGCGAAACAAATTAAAATCTCACAAAACAGATAAAAAAATTGCAGGAATAATTAGAAGCCGCTGGTGGGGATAACATTTGCTGTATTCCTTTTTTTGTTTAATAGTGTTTTTCTATGTTAGGTTCACAGAAGAGGGGTGAATTCCACGCTCTCTCTCCCAAGGCGTCAGTCGCGATTGGGAGGGGGGGAAAGGTGCGTCTCTGAGTTCCACACCTGGGGCGTTTTGTAGATTATGCATTACGTTTATTACTATGCAAACAGTGTCACAACAAACAATTGGTGCATTTAACATTTCCTGGTAAGTTGCAAAGTATCTGCTAACATTCTTTATTGGCACCTAATATGAATTTGATACAAATCTCCTGCAGATCACAGCCTGATAATAAATCCCCGAAAATGGCAAAATACTCACAGAATTATTCAATAACATTTTAACTAAAGGAACATGTCAGCGTGTTGCGAATTTGAAAGAAGATTTGAAGACCTTCATTTTAAGATTCTTATAAACCAAACATTGGCTTGTATTCCTTTGCTTGTGTTTACTTTTCAAACACTTTGCATTTTGCCCCCACTTAATAAAACTATGTTAATTTCTGGTAGAATCTAATCCTGGTTCGTGTCTCAGTTACTCAGTTTTGTTCCCGTTACCTTTCATTTTCTCCTTCACAGTAAAACTTCCATGAATCTTCTTAAGCTCTGCCTCCATTGTTAAGCCACCAATGTCTGCCTCCAGGTGTGTACGGTTGACCATACCAACCCCGAAGACTATGAGGGTAACATGCTGGGGTTCAGTATTGACCAAGCTTCGCTTTCGGGATAGTTTGTTTGGGCTTGAGCTGTCCTGTTCATTTTCAAAAATGACTCTGCAAGCAGGTTCTGTAGGGCTTCTGTTACACATTTCTATAGATACAGTAATTTCATTAGAATCCAAACACTAAACACTGTAGATTTATAGTCATACAACAAATTATGAATTATTTTCCATTGTAAAAAATGGAGAAAAAAACACTGTAATTAAGACTGCAATATTACAAGTTTTCAGTACTGCACTGGTGTCCAGGAGTCCAGGACTATCACCAAGTGAAAGTAGTTAAGACAACCTCGCACTTCCAGGAATATGAAGATTTACTTGTGATAAATATATGACAGGTAAAACCTCAATAAAAGGGGTAGAATTGTATAAAAATGACAGACTTTTATTTTCCTGGTCAGAAAAATAACCTATGCTCAATGTACGTACTGCACCCATATATGCTTACTCTACTTAGAAGTACTACAGGCAGCACAAGGAACTCAGAAAAGGACAATAAGACCAATTCTAAAGTTCGGATCACTAACGAAGCTAAATTCTTTGTAAAAAAAAACATCTATGAAAGAAATGTTCTAAGTATTTACAATAATGAACAGAATTCATTACAATAATGAACAGAATCAAAAGTTAATGTAGATATCCTTTACCCTTAAGAGGGCCAAGAAGCTACAGGTTGAGAATACAAGTGAGGGGGAATCATGTTAAAATGTAATGAATAAGCTCTCCATTAGAGTTTCCTTACGGAAAATGCTGCTACCTATAGTGCAGCTCACAAATAATAACATTCACGTGTTTGAACAGGAATCAACCGATCTTGTATTCAGGAACAAATAAATGAATATGGATTCAGGGCAGGATGATTAAAAAATGGCCAGTTAAGGCTCTGTAAACCCAGCAATGGATATCAAAGCAGCATGGCTGGATTTATAGTTCCGTCCTTTATATCTGATCCTAACTAAGAATAGGAGAGGAGTGGGGTACAAGAGGTTAATACAATGGAAAGCCTTTTAATAACAGTAATCTTTGCATTTGATGTTTTTGAAACTGATTTTTTGTAAGTAAACGCAACAGGCAATAATCCCACAAACAGCAACCAAGTGAACGACCAATTGTTAATCAGAGGATTGTGGGCTAGCACATCAGGAGAAATTGACACACCCGAGTTTGACATTGTGCCTATGTGTGCTTTGGGGACAAAGGCATAACATGAACCAAATTCAGGTTTTTATACTTTAGCATTATTAAATTGGCCACACAGTAAATTGCCTAATGAACTGTTTGAGCATTCGAGTAGAGAAGGGGAAATGAGTCCAGTCTGTACTGCTCTTATTTAAGATTCCCAGGTGCAAACTGCAATGCTCCTGGAGGTGGTAGCATCAAGAGTGATTAGTGTTGTCTCAGGCTCAAGATATATTGCTCGTACGGTAGCGAGGCAAACCACTATCACGTGCTCTATCCATAAACACAGTATAATCACATCAAAATCTGTTTTCCTCTATTGAGAACTCAAGGACAACAGAATGACTCTCACCTGTGGGACTTAGTGCATCACGGGAAGATTTTTCCAGAATTCCAGTGGGATCTGATATCAGTGAGTAGAAGTTAAGGAGTTTGTACATATTCTGCCAGCACTCTGCAGAAGGTTCACTTTGCTCCGACACAGTGATCGAGTCAGAGTCATCCATGTGAATAGTTACATGATCTGCGTCCTTTGAACCTTTCCTGGAGACCTTGGATGTCCTTCTCTCTGTCCGAGTGGATGCGCTTTTGTTGCGCAGTTCTCTTTTGTTGTTGTCATTTCCCAGTTTTTTGTTTGTTTTTGTGCTATTTCCTCTGTAGCCTCCGTTAAGGCTGCCTCGAGAACTACGACTGAAATCCGATGACCGGAAATCCCGATGCTTACGTGATTTAAAGGTCGGGGTGGGAGAGGCAGACCCAGCTGTATACCTACTGAGCTTAATGTCCGTCTGAGTGGCCTTGATGTCATCAACCATGGTGCTGAATTGGTGAATGAGGCGAACAAGAGCCATGTCCACGTGCTGGCTGATTGACTGGCAGGAAATTGTGAAATTAACATGGAAAGTGTTGTGGTGACGCCTGCTCAGGTCGTGGAAAGAAAGTGCATTGTTTGAGTTTTGATTGCAAGTTGATCTGTCCATCACAACAGCATTTATGCAGAAGGTGTTGAACATTAGTGCTGGTTTGAAGTCGAGAGGTGGAATGCTTATTATTGGGCCTTGCCTGAAATGACAAAGAATGATAAAGATTCAACACGCACTTTCAATGCACTTTCAAGGAGACGCAAAAAAGTTGCCATCATAGTGGGTTATTAATCACGTACTAAATGATTAAAATTTCGTACAAATCGACATTTATAGGAGATAGACATGTGAAGGACTGTTCACAATATAGTATATCTATAAATATTTTTGCTTGATGTGCGCAAGATCAAAATATTTGCAACATTGGCAATAAAAAATATCTTCTGTGGATCACACCTGCTTTCGGCCCACAACTGGTCCCATCCATTCACAACCAAAACCAAACACCCTTAGTTTAAAGGCTTAGCTTATATTAAGTACCTTGTTCTCCAGGTCTTGCTTTCTTTTGTGTCCGAGTCAACAATATCTGACCTTAGGCAGTCCAGACTTCCAGAGAATGACAAATGTTCCCCAAAATACATGCCATAAGTCAGTGGTACGACATCTTGTGACTGTATTCCAATATGATTCAGCAAAGGCTTGAAGACAACCTGTGGATTTTTTTTATGGAAACAGTTAAATTTTGGTCCCACCAATAATTTTTTTAAAATTTTTTTAAAAATCTTATCAGAATCAGATAGATACACTGCATTTACAACAATTTATAGTAACTGAGAAAATTATCAATGATAAATAGCATTCTGGGTCTCTTTGAAGGCGTGCAGTAGTACGACATTGAAACCATATTCACCATGACTCAAGACGACTGTTATGGTGAACCTTTTAGGTGTACGAAGCGTAATACAATTGGTTTGCTGAATATAAACTGCCAGATGTTGGTGGGATATAAACCAGTACATTAATTTAATTTAATTAAAATTTTACACAAGTGGCATATGCTTTGCTACTCGTGGAGTCCTGTAGCTCAGTGGTTAGAGCGCTCGCCTCACAAGCGAGAGACCTGGGTTTGATTCCCGGCAGGGCAAAACCTTGGGCAAGTTTCCTTACTCCACACGCCTCAGTTTACCCGGCGTTAAGTAGGAACCCAGTTGTTAGTCAATTGGCGGATCGCTTTTCTGGGGGTAATAATTCTTTCAATTTTTTTTAAAAAATTGGTCACTCAATCTACGACTGTTTGTGGAACGCTGTTATGTGCAATTGGCTGCCGTGTTTCGCCCACAAATATACAATCAATTCACTTTACAGTATATCCTGTGAAGCGCTTTGAGACATCTCAAGAGACGTGATAAGGCACGATATCAAATGCAAGGATTATTATTACGACTTGTACCTGGTTGATTTTATCATGTTAATTGCAACAGGAGCCCTGCCGTCCCTTTAAGAAGCAGCAACAACTTGCATTTCTATAGCACCCCTCATGGGGGGGAACATAAGAAATAAGAGCAGGAGTACGCCATTCAGCCCCTCGAGCCTGTGTCCCGCCATTTACTAAGATCATGGCTGATCTTCTAACCTAATTCCATTTACCCGCCTATCCCCATATCCCTTAATCCCTTTAGTTTTTAAAAATCTATAGAAGCATCTCTGAGGGCTTAAAGCAAACCCCACTTTCGTTAAGTTGCTGTGACAGGCAGGCGAGTGAGCAGACAGACAGACAGACAGACAGACAGAGCTCTGGGTCCTGCAGGCAGCTGGAACTCTCTCCAGATCCCTAAACGAACAGTGCCAATCACTGAATGTCATTACGTTTCACACTTTTGGAGCAAGAGTGGAAACAGGAAGCAAAATAAAAGTAGCTGGCGAACAGCGGGAGAAGAAAGTTGCCTGGCAATCAGGTAACACTGTCAATCCTCCACATCCAGTTCAGTGCAGATTTTAGAAGCGAGAGAAGTAACATCTGACTCGTTAGGCCATCAGGATTATGGGCAACGTGCAGAAGACAGCCTGGAGCTAATATTTCTATAAAATGAACGACGCAGTGTCATGAGTGCCATTTCATTCAAACGGGTAACGCTCTTCTTACCATTGGTTCTGCAACCCGTACCCAGCATAAATGTGTTTATAACATGTTTATGAGTCAAAACACAGTCTCGTATTACCTGTGCGTCAGCCAGCTGAACAGCAGGCGGCCCCTGATTCCTCTCAAAAGCCGCAATGTCATCTTGGCTGGTACTGTTCTGAGACTGCGTGCCATCCAGTGTGTTCTGGTCGCTAGATAGTACTGTATTAAAGTCAGAAGCAGATGGTATTGTAGGCAGATTATAGGTTAAACCTGTGCAAAATGAAAAAAAAATTATTCCATTGTACAGAAAAATTTATCTTAATAAAACAGGCAATATTATTTCACATCCTCGCGTCTGCATGAATAAAGGTAGAATTCTCCCTTTTAATGTCACTCATTCATGAACCATTTGAAAACTCAGAAAGAGGAGAAATTTACACTGAATATTATAAAAGTAGAAATAATCTCTAGTCTGTACATTCCTGGTGATTTAAAACCATCAGAGATTGAAATTTAACAGAAAATAAGTTTGTAAATGATGTGAGGCGAAATACGGATACTTTGAAAGCACCAGCAGATAAATGTCCCAAAGTAAAATGTTATGGAACACTGACACAATTTAATTTGCACATGTGGCACTGGAATGATATCTGAACACGTTACTTGGAATGTTTCGTAGATCCTCGCCAATTGACATTTGCTCGAGTTTTGAATTGAAAAAATGGATTGCGCCTTGAACTTTAAAAAGAGAACATAAGTGGCATTTCAAAATGTCAAAGCCCGATTCTCTCAAGAGCTCAGTGGGTGATGTAATTCACAGTGCCTTAAGAAGACTGGCCATTCTTTGCAGAGTTACACAGTCCCACACATTAGAGTAAATCCTGTGAAGCGCTTTGAAACATCCCCAGACAATACCAAAAGAAACGATTACTGTTACTGCTATGATGTGACCCTTTCTATAAGTGCTTACAGCATGAGAGCAAGATTGACATCAATTGTAATGAACCCATCAGTTGAATAGCCAACCGATGCTTAAAACTGAAAAAGGGACAAAATACAGAGATAAATACTGGTGCATATGGTCCTGTACTTCAGCAAATATCTGTGACATCAGGAGAGGAAGAGGGTGGGAAAAGCAACATGTCAAAAGTTGATTTCTAAGACTATTTTTTAAACCAAATACTGTAGGTTATAATTGAGTCTAACTTGTGGTTTAAATGTAGAGAAGCCCTGATGTACAGCGATCCCTGCACATGAGGGGTTGTGACTTTCAGCTGCTGGTTAGCAGGATATGAAAACAGTGCGGGGGAAACCGAGTGGGAAGCAGAGAAAGAAAGAGACCACATATTAGACCCCACTGAAAAGTTCATTGTAACAAATAAAAACAGTTTATATTAGAGTTATAATACATTTTAGGAGCATAAACTGAATACAGAGAGTAGGTTGTAAGTAACTTTTTGGAAGAAATGGGCGAGTTCAGAGAAATCAGATTTCTCTGTATTCAAGACCCTTCGACGATCAATCAGCAAGTTGAAATATAAATTCTGGCCTTGTGTGTCTTAAGTTACATCATACCTAATTTTACATTGTACGTCAAACCACTGAGGATCACTGAATTATGGACAACTTTTACAATTTAAACATTTCAGCAATAATACAGGCATCTACTTATTAATATATGGAACTATGGACAATTTTGTAGACAATCGATTGTATTGGAATATTGTAGTCCGGCTTTAAAAAAAGAAATTCAGGCAATAAAGGGATTGAAAGAATTCATGGTGAGATCTTTATTCAGAACATGAAAAAATATGAAATGGGAAAAAAAANCATATCATTCTTCCATCTTATTAAACACTCCTTCCACAGCCTATGTACAACCTATCCTTTCGTGAGCTTCACTTCCTTAATCTCTGGAAGACAATTTTTTTTTACATAATTTCTGAAAGAATCCTAAGGGTATCCACGTGAAACTCTAGAATATCAACCCATCTCCACTGTCCAATTCTAGTCAATTGTTTCCACAAATAATGCTCTTCTAATCCTGGCTGCAAAGGAACCATCATTTTTCATGGAATCTTTACCCGGGGCTGCCTAGACTTATCCCGATCAATCCCATCCCTACTCAGTCATTAAGAAAATTCAATCTGTGCCATTCAATTTACTGCCCATGACAAATGACATCTGCTCATGGTTACTGCAGCTTCTTCCATTTACCTGGTTGGAGGCTGTTGTGTCCAGATCTGATGACAGGGGATTCCTGAGTGATACTTCCCCGGTTGCTCACAGCATTTGACATCCAGTTATAAAAACTGACTGATGATGGCTCAGACAGCAGAGGGTGCTCCGATAGCATCTCTGTGGCTACAGCATTTCCTGTACGTGCAAAACCAACAATAAAATATTGCGAGTTTGACCCACTGTGCCAGGTCAGCATGTAGCTTCCACCAGAACAATGAATGCCCTATACATTAAGTTTCTGTGGGCTCCTTTCCCACTCAGCCAACAATGTCATTCACCATTAAGTCTCTTCCTTGAATAGCTAAGATGATATCTTCCTCTTTCCGGCTTCCTTTTCTTTTAGAAAAATACAGCAAGTCATGTAAGGTTGTAATTGCACCACAGCAATCAGGGTTATGTTAATCACTGGGTTACTGAATCAGTTTTAGTTGCGCATCACCAGAGAAAAGCAAGAGCAAGGGTTGTAAGTGGGGGACGGGGCTGGAAGAAAACATATTTTTGTGCTTACTCTGCCTGAACAGCAGGCATATCAAACTGTAATTTACATTGAAAGATTTCTATCAGCAAATGTGAGATGCACCTGTTCGCGTGAGTGAACTGCTTTTAACTACTGCTGCTCCCCGTTGGGGCGTTCCTTCTAGCAGATTGTGAAGACTTGGGAAGCTCCCAGTGAGGTAGCTCAACAGACTTTCCTTTCTCGGGCTGTCTCTCATTGGCATTCCTGCACGACTGACATGGGCTGGTGAATCTGCGACGGTATCGCCACTGGTGTAGCTGAGAGACTGATAGGGATGGACCCCCTGAAAGGCAAAATTGACAAAAAATAGTTTCAACTTAATATAACAAATTCCTTATTTTTTGCTCCTCAAAGTAGAACTTTGTTGCTTTTCTCCAAAATAAATAGCATTTCTTCATTGAATCTTGAAAATAACATTATTTTTGATGCTGTAGGAATGTACCGGGTTGTTAATTGAGGGATTCCCAAGGAAAATGGTTTGCAAAAATACTCCTGACCCTTCTGTGACTCTTTACCAATTCTCTCCTTTTCCTGCCTCCCACCCACCCCTACACAGATCCTGATTTTTCTATCCTTGCAGCAGTCACACAATGCACATTTCAAGAGCAGTACCTTACACAGTGCTATTGGGCACTCCAGCTGCTGACCTGCACATTGACGGGTCAACCTGCATCAGTCAACACTCTCACCTCCAAGTCAGAAGGTCGTGGGTTTAAGCCCAGATCTGGAGCTTGAGCTCAGTGTAGGCCAACACTGCAGTGTAGTGTTGGGGGGAGTGCTGCATTGTTGGGAGGTGCCATCCTTCAGATGAGACATTAAACCAAGGGCCCACCTCACCTGTCTGTTTCAGATGGACGTTAAAGATCCTTTGACACTGATCGAAAAGAAAAGGGACTTTCTCGCAGTCCAGCAAATCCCTAGACAAAATTGGTCATTCACTTCACGACTGTTTGTGGGACATTGCCTTATGCAAATTGGCTGCTGTGTCTGCTAAAACATCTTAGCAGACAATCCTGTATTGTGCTTTGAGACATCTCAATGACATAATAAAGCTCTACATCAAATTCAACGATCATTAATACTTTAAACTTTATCTATCTCGAGCATTTTCACATCCCCGTCAGATGATTTTTTTTAAAAAAAGAAAACTGCAATTTATCAGATGGACATTAAAGATCCTATGATTCTATTTGATTCAATTTTTCCTGCTGTCGTACCCACAATTAAGATTCCCGCATTAAAATAACTTTATTGGAGTGATTCGCACTTACTCTTATTTTCACAGTGGAATCGTTGGTGTGGGCGTTTGTTTTGGATAACTTCCGTATAATGTCAGAGCCGGTCACTGGTCCTGAAGAGATTCCACCTGCTGGGGGACGACTGCTTTCCAACAGCATGGTATGTTCACTAACTGTAGCTGCGTCAAAGCACAAGCACCATCAGGAGATACAGCTCAGCTGGAAAGCTTCAGCTCCAGGACATGTGTCAACAGCAAATGATAAAAGCTTCTGTAAAACCCAGCGCGTCGGGAACAAAGAGCTAATTTCCACAGTGCACATGGACTCATTAATTATATTAACTATCTCACCTCCAGGTGAGCAACAGGTCACTGGAGCCCTTGCTCCCTGGAGACACTTCCCTTTCTAGTCACAAGTCTTAAGTAAGTTTTAATTTCTTATTGGGTTTAGGGTTACAAACAAAAGCAGGATGAAACGTTGGACAAGTTTCTTTACTCCACATGCCTCTGTTCACCTCGCAGTAAGTAGGATTGGCAAATCACTCTTCCGGTGTAATAACCTCTCCAAAAAAAATAAATAATTTGGTCACTCAATCCACGACTGTTTGTGGGACACTGCTGTGCACATTTGTCTGCTGCGTTTCTCCCACAAAATATGCAGTTAATTCACTTTACAGTATATTCTGTGAAGCGCTTTGAGATGTCTCGAAGAAGTGATAAAGCACTATATCAAATGCAAGGATTATTATTATTATTATTATAGGTTTACAAGCTCTCTTTAAGAAAAAGACTAATTTGTTTCTGAAATGGCAATTTTCCATTGCGAATTCCTTGACCGTTAGATATGTTGCAGAAGGAAAAGAAAAAAAAAGATCTATTACCTGCATCAAATTCAAACTCTGCTCCATCCGCACTTGTATCACTTTGCACGGCTCCTCCGTTGTCCAGACCACGAGCTTCTCGGGCACGTTGTAATGCTGACGGGAGCTTTGGCAAATGTGCTGGTCGGAGTAAACCGACTCCTTTGAAAGCTGGAGTGACCACAATGATCTTCATCCACTGCCTGGCCAATGCCACCAAACCTTTCTTTAGTGTGACAAGCGCAGGAAGCCCATTGTTCTGCAAGAAGTAAAATATTTATTAAGCGCGTGTTTCGCCCACAAAAATATACAGTTAATTCACTTTACAGTACATTCTGTGAAACGCTTTGAGGCGTTTCGAGGCCATGATAAGGCGCTGTATCACATGTAAGAATTATTGTTATTTTTATCTGGTTATGGATTTTGCATTTAGTGATCAGATAAGACAGTGCTCATATCTTGAAGAGATATATCTAAGGGACCTTAAAGAGGAATATAAGATGTTCATTTGGTTAGAGAAAGGAAACCTAGAATAATATTTTCAGACACAAAAAATATTGGTATAAAATTTGATTAGGTTCATGTAAGTATGGCTAAAGTCAACTTTAAGATAGCAATAGGGAAGATCATGGGACGAGGATCATTTTCATAAGAAACACACTATCACATATAATAATGTATTCATCTGCCTTGAAACATTTTCAAACTGCAGGAACCCTTACAAATTTGGTATAATCTTTATACTTGATCTCGCACAAATTTGTGTATTAATCTTTTACCATACTGAACATCAACACATAATCAGTAATGTAAGAAAGATGTGACAAATTAATCTCCATTAAATTAAATAAATTTGCTTAAGGCTTTTAAACGGATTATTCAAGCTCTCTAAATTGTGCCTGTAGCAAACTTTGTTCTGCATTTCAAACAACTATGGCAAACCCTTGGGCAAGTTTCCCTACTCCACAGACCTGATAATAATCCCTCAAGAAAAAAAAATTGGTCACTTCAATCCACGACTGTTTGTGGGACGCTGCTGCGCGCAATTTCTGCCGCGTTTTGCCCAAAAATACACAGTAAATTCACTTTACAGTGTATTCTGTGAAGCGCTTTGAGACGTCTCGAAGACGTGAAAAGCGCTATATCAAATCAAGGATTACTAGAACTTCTTACACCACTAAATGTTTTGGTTTTGAGTTCCTGTCTCATTTTTCCTCCCAAGTGCCAGTTACACTTGGGCCTGAATTTTAAAATACCATAATATACTGACAAACATATTTACAGGTTTAATAGTTTAAAAGTGTAAGCAAAAATATTTCACGTAGCAAAATTGTGAAACGGATTCATTTCCATTAAATGCTGGTGAATGCTTACCATAGTGGCATCCTCAATAACAGCATAGTCTGCCTGGTGCAAATATCGCTGAAGTATATTGCACAGCAAACAAGAGGGGTTTTCCTGCAGATACCGGGCCAATTTGGTAACTCTGTTATACTTGCTCTTCAATAGAAAATGTACATTTTTTCTCTGAAAGAAATATTTTTTAAAAATGTGAGTAAAGGTCACTACAAAAAAAGCAAGTATTGATTATTTTATTTGGCATTCAATTTTTTTTCCAAAACCCTACAAATAATGGCAGACAGTTGATGATTTGAAAAGAAAAGATCGCAAGCATTATTATCATTATCGCAAGCTACAAGTTGTGACAATCTCACAAGCCTCAATGGATGTCCAGACCCAGGCTATCTCCTCAGTAGTACAACCACTATGCCAAGACCTTGACGCTTCCAGCTGACCTTTATTTCTGTAATATATTTTAAAGATTCTGTTTTGCCATTTTAGGTTTTACCAAATAACTTTGCCACCCTTTGATCTTCCTCTGTCAGGCCTTTAAGGTGTCAGCCTGACGCAGTTGGTAATACCTTCTCCTCTTGAGTTAGAAAGTTGCTTCAAGGTCCACGTCGGGAACCCAACAACCTTCTGAACCAGAATGCAAGGATGCTGTTATTTAAACCAGGTTGTAAAGCTTTGTGCTTGGAGTAGGCAACAGTGAAAAGGATGAACACTTAAGAGGAGTAAACCTTTACATAGCACAAAAAGACTGATGCCTCTACTCAACATGGCTTAAAGTGGTATTGTTTATAAAATTCTCTCCGTTAGTAACGTGGATTAGGATTATTGTCAATTAATATTCTTAATCTGACCATAGCCTCCCTACCATTCTGCCCGTTCTCCCCATTCTCCTGTTCTTTTCTATAGTAAGATATGGAGGAGGTAAATGAAGCAAGCGGATTTACTGACTGAATAAGGAAGCTCTTAATGTTTACCTCTAGAGCCTCTGTCATGATGCAGCCCATCACAGCACACACACGGAGGGTTCTTTCCATTTCCAATTTATTCAAAGAGGATTTCATTTGATCAATAGGAATAAGCCATGCACTAATAGCCGGAGTGGCGGTGCTTAGAAGGTTCAGTTGCCTGAAAAACAGATTTTATTAAAAAAAAGTCATAAATGCAATTTACATTGAGAAAATACCTTTTATGTTTGGAGCATGTCCCAGAGTACACTCACAGGGCTGGATGGGCACCCAAACTGAGGGTGGGAGCTGAGGAGGGTGTGAAGAGGAAAGATGACTGAAAGAGTAGGTAAAGGGGTATGTTTTGAGATGTACTTTGAAAGAGGGGAGAGAGGGAGTGAGTTTAAGGTACTCCAGGAGAGTTAATGGCACTCTGGGAGATCTGACAAACAAGCATATGTATACCACCCACACATGGGTTTGTCTTGTGACTGGAATGGAATGAGTATTCTCTCCCCAGAGGGACACATCCAGTTTACCTAATTCAAGAGAGTATTCGGTGCAGGCTGGCAAGAGTGAAGGCTTGGGGACCCAATGTACGTAAATGTAAAGCTACTTCAGTGCATTGAATTGCTTATTTAACAACTATTTAATCAAAAGGAAAGAATCAATAACCAGTGTAAGCATTGTAGTAGTGCTTGAGCTTGATCAGCTTAAGCCACAAAGCTTGTCAGTCAGAAAGCACTGACTGGCAAGCTTCCTGCTGCTTGTCCAGTTAGTACCGTACCTGTTAGGACTTTGGCTTGCAGGGTGGGAAGAGTTCCTACCCCTAATGACTGACCGCCTGTCCCAATTCCTGCTGATGAGCCAGGCTCTCTGGGCTGTCATCAGCAGTGCTCTGGAATATTGAAGACCTGCCTAGGTCAGGAACCGGACTATCAAAACCACCGCAGAGGATTGACTGGCGCGTCACACTGGAGCCAGTTCAGCTCCAAGAGGTTCCAGCTTAACCTTCCACCCAGGAAGGATAATCGAACAAAGGAAAAAATGTTGTTCGTAACAGTAATACTTCAAAAGAAATTATGCAACATGCTTTAATTCAAATTATTCTATTTTATGATATGATATGCTTAAAGCTACTTCAGTATTATTGCTTTGCTTATTTAACAACTATTTAATCTAAAGGAAAGAATCAATAATCACTGCTAGAAGCACCTATTAAATGTTCAGTCAGACTTGAAACTGAAATTAACTGCTGAATTCCCTTACGGCAAAATCAAAATGAGTTCAGCAACAGTAACATTGGGATGGCAGTATCAGGGAAATAAATACCGTATTAATTAACCAAAGAGCTAATTCCATGCAAATATTGATAAGGAAAATATACAAGTATCTAGTAATATACAATTGGTTTATGATTTTGTGATAAAATTACTCTCATATGAGTTATACAAACACAACATCAAAATTCAAATTACTTAAAAATACAAAATAATCCTCAGTTTTGAGTATAATATTATGCTCCTCACTTTTAATCTCATTTTACATCACATACATTTACAATTTTATTTTAATTTGTTGATATGTAATATTGAACTTATTTTTAAGTTCCATTGGACTTTTCTAAATATATTGAATAAATGACTATTGAATGAACTATTGAATGACAAAATGGCAATATATTGCTGGCAAACAGATTTCTAAATTCATTTTTAAAAATGCCTTAACCTTTTCCAAGGGTATTTCAGTACCATGGCATCTGGATTTATATTCAAACAGCATAGTGGTCATAGTGCACAAATGCCTTTTAAAACAGCTGATTATAAATATTGGACCTTTGGAAGAATCCCTGAAGGGCTGTAAATAAGTAATAAAGTCATGACCTCCAGTTATGAAAAAAATACTGTACGTAAACTTTAATAACATTACCTGGAATAAATCTCAGTAGGGGAATGCAAATTAGTCGGAGCTGCAAAGCTGAACCAGATTTCACTGATAGTAAGCTTCATACTGCTGGAATCTGGGGGAGGTGGCATGAGGGGAAGATCCTTCTTAAGATCATCTGATTCAACACCTTCGTCCTATCCAAGAAATTAGTAAGAAAGCACAATAAAGTAATACCGATAAACAGCGTTTAAATACTTCAATTCATTTCTCCACAAATCATATTTTTAAAAATAATTGGATGCGGAAGTGAAAATGCTTCAGACAAATAAGTTTGATATTAATAATAATCCTTACACTTAATATAGTTGATTATATCATTAAGACATGGCAAAACTCTTCACAGGATTTTATGGTGACCTGTAGACCTGTGTATTTGTGGCCAATCTGCACGTAGAAATGTCCCACAGCCAGAAAGTGATTGACCAGTTTTATGTGTGAATTGCTGGCCGGGATACCGGGAGAAACTCTGTGCTCTTTTCGAATAGCGTCATGGGATCTTTAATGTTCACCCCACCAGGCAGACATCTCATCCAAAGGACGGAAGCTTGGACAATGATGCAGAGCTCCTACACTGCACTGGGTTGTCAGCTTTGACACCGTGCTTCACAGGGTTCATGGTAAAGTGTATTTACTATTTTGCAGGCGAACATAACATTAGCTTTGGAACTCTCTCCCCCAATCCCTCCGCCTTGCCCCCTCCTTCCCCTCTTAGATCATGACTGAAAACCTTCCTCTTCGACCGTGCTTATGGTCACCTCCTCCCTCCCCCGGTGCAGCATCAGACTCCGCCACTGTTAAGCGCTCTGAGGCCTTACCCTGTGCGGAGAGCGCTATATACGTGCAAGTTGTTGTTGCTGTTGTATTGGCAAAGACCATTTGACCAATTGACAGGTACGTTAATACTGTACACTCCAATGACTTTAAACATTCGCAATGCATCTAGAGATATTAACTTCTCACCTGATCATCTGACTCTGAATTGGCATTGACATCTGATGATGGACTTCTTCCATCATGGGGGAGATAAGCTTCTGAAGCATCAGTGCTATAACCACTGCCAGTTGGAGAACCAGTGGAATCTCCAGACTTTAGCAACCCATTTTTCTCTGTAGGATTGTATTTTCCAAGGATCCCAAACACATTGTACAGAACAGCCCCCGACTGTCTTCCCCCTAACAATTCAGACAAAATGAGACAAGAGACAAAACTGTTTGTATTCAAGTATATTTTAAATTCTTCATTAAAGTCAGTTTGCATGTGAACTTTTATTTTTCTTTCCAGCTGCCACCTCTGAAGATGCTAACTCATCCTGAAGTACAATTCCAAAGTATCTCATTCATATGGCCATTATTTATGAGACAAGGCTGAGTTTACGCAGGTTGTTTGACCGTAGGAAGCATCGCAGCTCACGCTCCAATCGCTATTTAGTGGCCCCGAATTGAAAGTGCACGTGAACATAGGATCAGACTCTGCTGTGATGCCCTTCACGGTCGAGCAGCCTGCTGACGCTCACAGTCTGGTCTCACAGATGAAGAATGAATACCTGGTGCAAAGCAGCAGAGAGAGCCATGGAACCACAAGCCCAGCATGAATTATCATGCCCGCGAGAGAAGGGGATGAGGGCAGAAAACTGGCAAATCACATTTCACTTTTCAAAATATCATTTTTAAAAGAAAACTCAACATTGCAACATTAATGCGCTTGAAGCTGTATGATGGTAACACAAAAATAATTATATTATATATTGTAAGCATTTTGCCATATTAAAATAGGGCTCAGATTACCTTGGCAGGTGGACTTTTTACATTCAATTTCAGCATCATTTCTACAATTTTTAAAGGCAGTAGTTAACAAGTCTATCAATATCAGCAACATCAAATATGCATCACCACGAATTGTGTTGGCACAATTATAAATAAAATATAAACTGACTCTGGATTCTCAGTTGTCGCTGAGAATATATTTGTAAAAAATTCAACATTCACGTTTTTCCAATCTTTGTAATTCACTCCCACTAACGGTAATAGTTGCAGCAACATAAGAGTTATGAGCAGAAAGGGAAAATCACTTCATATGAACAGCTTGGTTATAAACTGAGTTGATAAAAAAAATCTTACCTTTAATCGTTAAATTTTCAATACCACATTCAAACATTATCCACCCCCACTTCTCGAAACTGTGACAGGATCGGTTTGCGTTTGCATCTCGATTTGGTTGAGTCTCGTCCACAAACGTAAAATCGTCCAACTCCTCCAACGTGAAAAGCACTTTTGATTTCTCAAAAGGAATGGCAGTAATTGCACACGACCCCATGTCTTTCGAAATAAAAATATTTTTAAAAAACAATTATGATCTGAAACATTTTTAGGAATTTATGAAAACAAGTGGGGCATAAAGCTTTAGTCTTTTACACTATTACCAATTCACTATAATGTGACATTCCTCTCCTCGCCGGTCTCCCCATTACCCACAAACTACAACTGATTCAGAACTCTGCCGCCTGTGTTCTCACACACACTGAACTCCGTACCCCCATCACACCGGTCCTCGCCAGGCTCCAATGGCTCCCTATCACAGAACGGATCAGTTCCAAATCTCTTCACGCCCTGGCATCTCCCTACCTTTCTGACTTGCTTTCTCCTCAAGCTACTATCTGCTGCCTCTGCTTGGCTAGCTCCAGCCTCCTGCTTGTTCCTCGTTCCCTCTGCTCCAACATTAGCGGTCGCACTTTCAGCCACTACGGCCCGAAGCCTTGGAACTCTCTCTCCCAATCCCTCCGCCTTGCCCCCTCCTTCCCCTCTTTTAGATCATGACGGAAGACTTTCCTCTTCAACCGTGTTCATGGTCACCTCCTCCCTCTCCCCAGCTCGCCGTTAGGCTCCGACACGGTTAAGTGCTCCGATATGCTGTCCTGCGTGATGGGTGCTAGATAAACGCAAGTTGTTGCTATAAATAAAATAAACTTTACATTTCCCCTCTATATCCAAAGAGAGCATTTTGAACAGGAAGTAGTCCCTCTTTTGTATTCCCTCTTACCTTCGCTTTTGTTGCCATTAATTTAATACAGGAGGGAAGGAACAAATCCACTGAGCAAAATCTGCCACTGATTCAGGGCAGCTATTTTTCATTTTCAACCTATTTGCCCACATTTCCTCCACAAGTGTCATTCCAGGTGCTCATCTACATCCCTTCTCATTCAACTGATTCAACCGTTCAATTCAAATTTAACTTTTTATTCGGGGGGGGGGGGGGGGGGGGGAGATGGCAGAGTATCCCACATTCTTAATGTTTGTGTATCTATTTTTAATGGGCTTAGAGCTAACTTGAACATTGTGCCATTGCTCTGGAATTCTCCTAACTGTAGGAACTATTAAAGAGTTCAGTCAACACCACGAATGAGTCGCCTTACCTGATGTTGTAAGACCACGTAGCTGGCCATGTATGCGATGGATATTGAGTTTGGCTGCTATTTCTTTTCCTCTCTCTGCTCCTGCGTTTGACCGAAGGGAACCAGATGACTGCGGTTGCATTTTATTAGCATTCACGTACTTGTCAAATGTTACAGATCCTCTGCCAACATCTGGGTTGTTGAGTCCATCCTCCACTATACCCCTATAAGAAGCAATTACACAATAGAAGACTTGGAAATACTAGACAATGCTTCATTTTCATTTCTGTATATTTTTCACAATTAACAATATCTTGAAAGTTAAAATTTTCTACTGTAAAACAATCATGTAGTATAAAAGCATGGCATGCTATGTACATGTGTGTGTGTGTATATGTATATATATATTTTTACTCTCTCCTTTGAACTAGCGTTCAAGCAACTTGATAAAACTCCCCCGTTAACAATGTCAAACAATAATCCTTGCATTCGATAGAGCATTCCTTCCATTGTGGGAGAAACATTTCAAAGCACTTGACAGGATTACCTGTAAAGTACATTTGTAGACAGAGTCATAGTGCTAACAAAAGAGCTCCTCAAGTGAGAAAGGTTTATTACACTTCCTTTTAATAAGATTTGGCATGGCATTGACAGCGTTTCTAACCTCGGAAACATTATTCTTCATAAAACAGTAGACATTATGCATATGCGCCAAACATCCAGCCCTAAATATCTCTGTGCTTATAGTATAATGTCAGCCTGAGATGGTAGCCCTCTCGACAGGAAAGTCAGAATGACTCAATGAGACTTTAATCTGACTTCGGCTGCCATGACAATGCAGTGTGAGGAGGCGCTGCAGTGACTGAGAGAGATACTGCCCTTCACATGAAGCATTAAAACCAAGATCCCGTCTGCCTGTTGAACATTAAAGGTCTCCTGGTACTGTGTGAAAAGAGAAGGAAGTTTCTCCCAGCGTCCTGTCCAACAATCCCCCAGGAAAAACTGATTAGTCACTTCATGGCTGAGCGTTCGTGGGACGTTGTTGCGCACAAACTGACCGCAGAGCGTTCACCTACAAAATACACCGTCGATACAATTTACAGTAAATCCTGTGAAGTGCTTAGAAATGCTCTTCTGATTTGAAAGATGCTAATATCAAAGGCAAGGATTATTATAAGGGGAACACTGAAACTTCTAATCTTGAAATGTATTTTTGGGCGAAGAGAGGAGATAGTACAAAAAACATTATGACAGTAACCCAAGGATTAATTATCTGCATTCAGAGATAGGCTCTCTCTCTCTATCAGTGTTGATGAATGTCAACACTTTCCAAAAAAAAACATTTTTTAATGTTGTACCTATTCATCAGGATTTGAGTCGAAATTCTGTCAAAGCACAGCGTAACCAGGGACACATGAGTAACATTCTTTGTTGTGTTGGATACTGAAGATTCTTCAATGGATGCTTGCAAAAGACATAAATTCACCTGCAAGTGGCAACCAAAAAGTGAGCTGTGCCATTTGATAAAACCTTTCTTTATATTTTCAGGTATAAAGTGTGTAAACAAAGTAAAGATTAATACAATTAATTTCTCTACTTTAATCGCAAAAATAAACAAGTTCCTTAAACACCATTCTTTGCCGCTTCAGAAGCATACTTAATTGTACACTACACAAAAATGCATTATTTCTACCACCTATTTTCCCAAAGTTAAATATTAATCAAAATTGTTATTTCCAAATATTTAGATAACAAATTATAATTGTTACAAATAAATTCTTAGCAGTTTAAAACATTTAAAATATGTGATTTAAATTAAAATAACCAAGAACTAATACCTTTGGTATAGAAACATTAGCCTGAAGACCCTTTATTTTCACATTATCTTGTTTTGCTGGTGGATTTTTTTGTGTTTGCCCTGGTCTTGTTATTCCAGATGGGGCATTTTCTATTTTGCAGGTACGTGCTTCATGCTTTACAGACCCCTACAGGAGAAAAAGACTTTTATAAAAATGGCCCCCAAAAATGTTTCTTTCAAATGAAAAGAATGGTATAGTTCAACAACCAACCAACATGAAAATAGAAGCAATCACCAAGTGAGCAGGGAAGCTCTAACTCCAAACAGTCTTCACAGCTGCACCAGAATGAAATTCCTCGTTATTCAATGTGGGAGTTTTGTTTACTATGTGCCCTTATAATAATAATAATAATAATAATAATACAGCGCCTTTCCCAAAGCGTCTCACAATATTTACTATAAACTGTAGTGACTGTGCATTTTGCAGGCTTGGAGACACAGGCACGGTAATGTGTCAGACACCTAGTTGAACCAATGAGCACCACATCACAAATGTCTCGAAGCACTTTCAGTGCAGAGATTTTCTCAGGTCCAATCAATGTGCAGTGTGTGTGTGTGTGTGTGTGCGTGTGTGTAGCAGGAGTGGGGGGGAGAGGGGGGATTCTGCAGCTGAAAGAGGATGCTGCCTTCAGTGCCGCCAAAGTCTTTTCAGCCCTAAAAGTAATGAAGCTCAGCGCCCTGGGCCCTCCTGCCCTACATATTGCTGACAAAGTACTTACCGACTCAGGACCAGAGGATTTGCTGTTCAGGAGAGCTTCCTTCAGCGCTTTAGCATGCAGGTCACCCACAATCGCAGCGGGATGCCAATTACTAGCAAAGTGGATCATTGCCTCAATGTATCTGAAAACAATCGGAACAATTAGTCTTTCAGGCTGAAAACAACACATACCTGGAGACCGAGGGCAGCTTCATCCCGTTTAACGTTTATGCTGTTGTTGTTGTACATGATCTGACAAGTTCAATGTATTCTGATTCTGCAAATTTAATTCAATGTATTCGGTTTTAAAGTGTAAGTAACACTGCACGACTCATTCCTCACCTGGTACACAAATCAGCAAAGCAAACCTTTGGCAAGTACATTTGTCAAAGTGGTCTGAACATACGTGCACCCCCAGGATCGCTTCTCCATCCATACCTGTCTAAGGCTTCTGCTACAAGTGGGGTAAGAACAACATCCACTGCTCCCTTCACTTCCACGATGGCGGTGGTCCTAGTTTGAGAGACTGGTTGATCTAGACTCCACTGTTCAGTAATGGTCTCATCGTCTGTATGTTCCATAGACTTTTTTTCCAATGGAGTATAAGGAGCACTAGAGATTTATATTAAAAAAAAGCTAGATGTTGAAGTTCAATTGCCACATTTATGCTATTTATGCAAACTCTTCTGTAGAAAATCGGGCAATGAGAAGCAATGATAAAATACCTTGAAGTCGACCCCATCAGTTGAACACCTCTGTCTAACAACGCATTTGCTGCAAGGCCTTGTTTTACCACCTATATGTAAATTGATGTACAACAGTTAGTATTTTTGAGTCTCCAGTAAAGGTAAAAAGCCCATAGGTTATTGTCAAACATCTAATATATACAGTATCTGGCTGTACATTTCTACACAGTTCTAGTTTTTTTNGGTATAACTACTTCAACCTCAATGAAAGGCAATTGTAAGATAAAAATACATGACAAATGGTAGTTAGATGAAAGTACAGCAAGCTTTGCAACAACCACGATCTCCTACTTGTTCCCTTTGCTCATTTCGTAAAGTCCTTGAACAACAACAACATGCATTCATTTAGCACCTTTCACATGGCTGTGTAGTTAATGCTCAATATCTCCGCTCAGTGCACGACTATGTGCACCCATAGTACAAACTAAAAGAACTGAATAGGAATGTATACTTCCAAAATTACAGTATTTTTAAAAAAAGGTGTGGTTCGCAGAGGGCAGAAGCATCAGGTGAGCTACATTCCAGAAGACATTCACCCCAGGTTTCCATACTCTGATGTTAAAGAAGTCGTTTATGCCACAAATAAGGGAAGCATTGGTTGTGGAATATCCAAATTGTTATTATTTTACGCCTCACTTAAAATAAAACACAGTTCATCATTTGAATGTCAATTCATTGTTGGTATTTCTATATGGATAATAAAAAGGATTGAAGTATTCACACGACAATCTGATTGCTGAGACGTTCAGGATAATTTTGAAAAGTTAACAGTGAGAACAGTGCTAATCCTGTGAAAGTATTCAGTGAAATCCTGGTCCTCACAACAACAGTCTTTTAAAGTATGAATTATTGTTATCCTCTTGCCTCATTTTAATGTACTTCTCAGAACAGTGCAATTTAACATACGATTTCAAAAAGAATTACATTATAAAAGTTAATGGGTTAAGTCAAACAGTAATGATCCTGAACCACCAACAATGGGGTTATTTATATTAAATATCTCAGTGCCAGGCCTTGTATGGGAGAAAAATGGAAAAAAACAAAACTGATCAAAAATACTGTATTGGAAAAATTTACCACAGGCAATATCCCTTCATTCTGCACCTACAAACAGCATCTGTTGCCCTCCCACCCAGAGCACGAGTGTCTTGAAATAGAAAGTGTGCCAGTGGTTGAGAATGCCAATATACGTCCCTTATGACCATCACTAACCTTAAAGGTTGGGATTGAAAGTTGATCAAATGAATTTGAGATTTCTTCACTGGTTGGCGTGTCAAGGTCCAAAGGCCGATGCAGCGAGGATTTTGAAGTTCTCTTGTTTGTCGGCTGCTTTACCGACCAGTTGGACACTTGCAGTTGTGTGAGGTAGTTCAGATAACACGACATCACAAACTGATGGCAAGATGCGGGTTTCTGGTCCAGAACTTTCTCTCCCTCTGAATAAATCTGATCAATTGTCTCGTCGTCCCCTCCAAGAGCAGATACAAAAGAGGCCTGAGAGGCATGTGCTTTAATAGGAAAGACCTTTGGTTCCCGATTCTCACCATTAACGGAGGAGTTTAATGGCCCGTCTACACTGTGGTAAATTGTACTCCTGCTGTAGTCAACTGCTTGTGTTCGCCTCCTCTTCTTCCTTCCAGGGTAGGTTCCTGGACCTTCGTCACTGCTAACTGGATCAAAATCCTCAACTGCAGAAAAGTAGGCCTCGCTGTCAGCTACAGATATGCTGGAATCAGCTGAACGATACTGATGGAAAGTGTTTGAATCAGCTGATGGAGTGAAGGGGAACGACCCAAAGCTCCTCCTCTGACGAGGCGAATCCAAAACGTTCTCATCGCTGCGGGATACTTCGCTGCTGAACTGTACACCCATCGGTGCTGGTTGCCGCTCGCTGTAATAGGCCGCAGATAAACTTTTAGTGCTCCCAAGACGTGTCGAAGAAACAGAGGCCTGGCGTTTCAAAGGAGAGCGAACTAACGATCGATCTTGATTATTGGGTGAAACCGGGCTGCTCCCTGCAACATCTGCCGAAGCACTAAAAAAAAAATGCGAGAATTAAGTCTCTCGCTCCCACTCATTTTGCAACAATTCCCTGGCCAAGTCACAGAACAGCGCCTGGCAGCACAGCTTCGTGACCACTCCCTTTCGTAAGAGAGCTCCCAAAATCTTTAAATTGTTTTCTTTAAGCCTTACGGGGTGAGGGGTGAAAAGAACCTCATCCTAATGGCAAAGGAGTACAAGATATTAAAGTACAAGATATTAAAGGCATGAATCTCTATTCCATTACTCTGATAAAGTGTACTGGTGAATTTCTTTTAATTTTGTATATTGCAACCCAAAGTGAATGTCACACAATATATCACAAGTACAGAATTATCTAGCCCAAAAGCTTGTAATCTTAATGCTTTAACCCAAGCAATCCAATAATAATAATCCTTGCATTTGATTTAGTGCCTTAACAAGTCACTGAGATATCTCAAAGCGCTTCACAGGATGTACCGGAAAGTGGATTGACTGTGTATTTGGACAGCCAGTTGCGCATTGCAATGTCCCACAAACATCCATGGTGAGTTTATTTGGGGGATTGTTGGCCACGATACTGGAAGAAACTTTTTTCTCTTTTCCAATAGTGCCATGAGATCTTAAACATCCACCGGAACAGGCAGATGGGAGCTCGATTTAACGACTCATCTGAAGGACGTGTGTGTATATATGTAAAATATACTTGTAAAACAAGTAAAATGTAACTTACTTCCTATTAGTTTCTTCTGGCTTTGTGCTGGGAGCAGGAAACTCCACCTGTACAATGTTGTCCTCAACAGTAGAGGAAGGGCTGCCTTTCTCACTTGCAAGCAGAGGAATGGCAGCACTAGAATTGCTGTTTTCTTCAGAAGAGGATGAACTGTGAGATCGTAAAGGCACCTGCAAACTGAGAAGCTGGTTCTTTCTCTCAGCATCAATTCCCAGTGACCTCGAATCCCACTCTTTTCTTTTGGTCCCACCTGCTTTACCTATACATAAACATTAGTTTGATCAATACAAATGATCTATTCCGTTGCCTTCCTATGGACTGAGATTTTAGATGACTGCTTCCCATTATAGCTCAGATATTATAGATCCCATCCACTGCATTATAACAGGCATCTAATGTATTAAGAAATCCACATGCAGATGTATATTTTTGGCCTTGGTAGATATTATCTTGTGTGAAATTTTAACAGAGTGTGCCAGTGATTATATAACCATGGTGGTGGGTGGGTGGGTGGGTGGGAAAGGAGAGGAAAGAAAGATGATAAACAAGCACAAGCTATCAAACAGTGTCCAACATAGACTTCTAGCACACATTATTGGATATTGATCAGGAATCTTGGGAGATTTTCCCCCCCTAACCCTCAGTTGCTTCACTCCTAATGCTGCTTCAGCCAAGATCAATTAATTTCAGCACGGATTGTGAATCAATGGAAGTTTGCACCTTATAGGTTTGTACGGCTCAGCTCTGAATGACTAAAACTGGTTGAGTGATTGAAAAAGCCTAAGACAATTCAAACTAAAACTAATGCAAAGGACGGGAGGTAGGGAGCAAAATTTCTACACAAAGTTACCATCCACGATCTTGGAAATGTCCTTGGTAATGATCCATTCATTGGGGTGCAGCAATGACTGTCCGTAGAACATATCGGAATCCGTGCTTGCAGTTGAGGCGGCAGAGCTGGTAGAGGGGGTCATTTCATCCAATTTGAAAAACTCCAATCCAGAGGCAGTGCCTGCAAAGAACTTACAACCACCGAGGCAGCCACATTTGTTCTTGGCACGTTTATGTTTAACATCATCTGGCCAAAGGAACCACAGTCTGTTTGAAAGAAAGCAAGATCTCAGTTGAAGACACAGAAAATGCAATAGATAAATCTCTCATTGGAATATTCAATTTCAAAGAAACACTCCTTGAGCTTATGCTCTCACAATACAACCACACAGCTACTATGTCATAATAATAAGCCTCGCATCTGATATTGTGCCTTATCACATTGTTGAGACGTCATAAAGCGCTTCACCGAATATATTGTAAAGTGGATAACTGTATTTTGTGGGCGAAACGCGGCAGTCAATTGCGCACAATGTACAATTAAATTAGATTGGAGGGGAGTGTCTTGGAGCACGAAACAATGGTGTTTGATGTCATTCAGGGGAGTTGAACAAAAGCACGTTCGAAGAGTCAAGTCTTCAGGTGTGATTTGAAGATCGGTAAAGAGACGGCTTGACCGCGGGACTGATGCAGGGAGTTCCATAGGTTCAGGGCGCAGTGCCTAACGGCCCAGCTGCTGATGGTGAAGATTTTAAAGGTCCCTTGTGATTTCACATCTCTCCTGTCATCTAACTGAAGCATAACATGTTGCTCACAATCCTCAAAATTCTTCACTAATGAGGAGACTTGCTTTATAACATTCAGTAACAGATCTGAACTCAATGTCAATTAGATTTTTGTTAAAAATTAGATTTCTATATGATTCTTCTCATATGTGAATACCTTCCTACATTTTCCAGATTTAACCATTGACTAGTAACATATACAATGCAATATACATTTCATATCGAGATGATATCTGAAAGCACTTAAACGTAAGTATAGTAATGTTTAGTCCAGTTTCTGGTACGAACAAGGATCACAGAGTGGACTGATAGAAGCAATTGATCTTTTAAAATAGAATAATATTTTGTTAGAATACTAAATACTGCTTCAGACATTGAATCTTAAAACGGATTTTACTGCTATTGAGAGAGGGCAGAGCAGGATTAGTTGACACACTGTTTTGGTAATTTAGGTTATGAGGAAATTGGGAAAAGAGTCTGTGGAGTGAGACAGTTTCATGATTATTTTTACATAAAAACAATGTGCACTTATATAGCGCCCTCCACGCAGGGCAGTGTCTCAGAGCTTAACAGTGGCGGAGCCTGACTCCGAGCCGGGGGAGAGGGGGGAGGTGGCTGTAAGCACATCGAAAAGGAAGGTTTTCAGGCAAGATTTGAAAGAGGGGAGAGGGGGCAAGGCCGGAGGGACTGAGGGAGAGCGTTCCAGAGTTTCGGAACATAGTGGCTGAAGATGCGACCTCCGATTGTGGGACGGAGGGTGCGAGGGAGCGCAGGAGCCGGGGCCAGTCGAGTGGAGGCGCCGGGTGGTGGATTGGGGAATGAGGCGGTCGGAGAGGGAGGGAGGGGCCAGGGAATGAAGGGATTTGAACACGAGAGTGAGAGGATCTTGAAATCAATGTGTTCAGTGATGGGGAGACAGTGGAGCCTGGGCCAGAGCTGGTGAGATGTGGGGACGGAGTTTAGCCCGGGTCAGTTTGAGGGTGGCAGAGTTCTGAATGAGCTGGTTTTTTGAATAGTGGAGCTGGGGAGACCGGCGAGGAGTGTGTTTGAGTAATCCAGGCGTGAAGTTACAAAGAATGCACGAGGGTTTCGGCTGCATATGGATGTTACGCAAGAATTCTGCTACACAAGAAAGTTACCAGTAAATGCCACTGAAGAAAACAGTTTAAGCTGGTGTTAAGCAAGTAGACCTCGTTAGTAGCTTTTGCCTATCCGAGGAAGTAATTTATTTTTATGTACTAAGTTTGCAATTCTCACAGTAACACCGATGCACCTGGTGATGGCAATGTGGAGCTTTTAGGAGGCCTACTATCAGCAGTGTCAACATCAGGCATCTTGTGTTATATGTATAACCTTGTCTTACTGAGCACTCTTAAACAATATGTCCTCATTGGCATTGTTCAGAGTACATTGGCCATTCTAGTTCCTGTGAAAACTCCGGGTGTCGCTGCACATGTAAACAGACTGGAAACAAACAAATGCGGGATTCCTAATTCAAAAAAGGCAACAAACCTGGGAACTAAAGAGTAATTGCCCTAAAACACCAAAAGAACAATACAAATAACTATGAAGAGGATGCCAAATAAGGCAAGATGTGTGACAAAATACCCCAATAAATAACAAACAATTTCAGAAAAATAATAATAATAATCCTTGCATTTGATATAGCGCTTTTCACGTCGGGAGGACGTCCCAAAGCGCTTCACAGAACACATTGTAAAGTGAATTGACTGTATATTTGTGGGAGAACGCGGCAGCCAATTGCGCACAGCAATGTCCCACAAACAGTCGTAGATTGAAAACGACCAATTTTTTTGTTGTTTTGGAGGGATTATTATCAGGCTCTGTGTGGAATAAGGAAACTTGCCCAAGGTTTCCCGCTGCCTGGAAATGAACTCAGGTCTCTCGCTTGCAAAGCGAGTGCTCTAATCACTGAGCTACAGGACTCCACAAGTTAGATCTTGTTTAAGAAACTTAAAACTTTTGGGGGAAGTGACATATTATAATAATAGTAATGATAATCCTTACATCTGGTTTAGTGCGAGGACGTCCCAAAGCGCATCACAGGACTGTACAGTGCAGTGACTGCGTGTTTTGTGCGTGAACCAATTGCGCGGTACATAGCAACGTCCCACAAACAGCTGAACTGAATGACCTTTTTTTTTAATATTTTGGTGGATTACTCCAAGGACTCCCTTCTCTTTTTGAACAGTGCCACGGAATCTTTAACATTGACCTGAACAGGCAGAAGAGGCCTCACTCTTCTGCTAACTATCACTCACTTCCTTACCAGTGGAAATAGCATCCCAATTTATCCTGTCAAAACCCCTCCTAATTTGGTACACCACTATCAGATTCCCTCTCAACTTTCTTTTTTCCAATAAAAACAGACCCAATGTCTTCAATCTCTCGTAACTAAAGCCCATCATCCCTGGTATCATTCTCGTAAATCTCCTCATCCCCACCAAGGTCTTAACATCCTTCCTGAAGTGAGGTGCCCAAAACTAGACATAGTTTTTAGATTTAATGTGATGGTTTTAGCTGATCATTTTGAGATTCGAAAATGGAGGAATAAGACAGAAATCTAATCCACAATTGACATAGTATTAGAATAACACAAAATCTAGCTTTATATTACAGCAGTACTCAATAGCTTCAGATATCAACCAACAGGCTAACATCTTCTACTGGTGTAATAATGTCTTCTCAGTCTCAAAATATTTTATTTGCTTATTTCCATGTTCATTGTTCTGTTCTGGATCTCTGTTCTGTTGCCAACAGGGGCACCACCAAAGATAGTGACAAGGAGTTACCTCCTGACTTGGTATCGAGGATTTTTTTTTGCACTAATATTATTCTATGCAATTACAGCTTAAACAATATTGGCTGACCAATAGCTTATACCCCACCTTATATATGCACACAAACAAAAGGTACCTCTTTGTTCGTTTGTCATGAGTTTCTAAGAAGAGTCTTTGAACTTCATGCTTTGCAGGGTGGTCTGCAGCTAAAGCCACATCTGCGGTAATTAATCCAAAATTTATTGAACCGGCTTCGAGCCAAAATGATCGCCGAAGTACATTGGATTGAATTCCAAGCCTGCAATTTTCGAGTTGTTCAATATATTGTCTCAGCTGAACATCCTGCACAACAGCACTCACTCCTTCTCCAACCGCCTGGTTATGAAGATTACATGTAGCAATACGAACGGCTCCTGTCTAGAAAGCAACAAATGAAAATATATCAAAACTCGTAACAAGGAACTGCACAAAAAAACAGACCTTTCACAGCAGAAGAGTATCACAAGTTACAAACATATTATAGAAAATAGGTTTGGCTTTTATTTGCAGGTCACTGTGGGTTATATTACCATATAAACCAGCAAAACATATGTTTCTTTCATGTACCACCACATACTGTAATAGATAATAGCAATGCTCGGGTTCCACGAAGCAGTAGGTCGAAGCACATTAAATCTTTTTGTAATCTGGCTTTATAGACGTTTAACTCACTGTGCATCACTAACACCATAATTTTCTGCATCTGTTTTCTGGCAATAAAAACGACAATTTAATTAATAGCAATTACCTTAACATTGGCTGCACAACCATGCTCAACAATGAAGAGATCCGTTCCATCAACTGCTAGCCGAGTCATAGTATATTTCACATCATCTGACCGTTGGCATGGTCCACTGACACTTTTAAGCTAAAAATAACAAAAGGAAAACAGAAATAAAGGCATTGGTGAAACACCACAAATCTGTGTTTGGACAGAAATTAAAAATCCCTATTATTCTGTTAAATGTAAAATTAATTATATCTGGTTAGATCGGTGAAGATTCCACATGGTTTTAACTACAGGATGACCAACAAGTCATAACTACCCTCTCATCTAAAAACAAACAAAAGATCATAATTTCTTTAAGTTATTAGACATTGTAAAGATATCACAATTTTTTTGGTCACCCTGTGCAATGGTGAATGCCTTCCAAACTTTTAAAACTTGGTTTGAAAAAGAAATATGCATCATAGATGATCTTTGTGGATTTATGAGGTTCAAAAGAAGTTCATAAGCTCCTCAAATTTTGAATTAGGTGAGGAGGCAGGAAAGGTACTTTGTGGTGAAGAACAGTAGTTTGGAGTTCTCTGTGCCCTCAAAACTGATGCTGGAACCAACACAAGGAATTGACGAGAGAGATAGAGATAAATTGGTTCAGCAGGAGAGACAATGTAAAGATAACTTTCCCTTTTATAATAATAATCCTTGCTTTTGATATAACTATATATATAGTGCCTTATCACATCTTCAAGATGTGTCAAAGCACCACAGAATATACTTAAAGTGAATTGACTGTATATTGGGAGTCCTGTAGCTCAGTGGTTAGAGCACTCGCTTTGCAAGTGAGAGACCTGAGTTCAATTCCAGGCAGGTCAGAGCGAAACCTCGGGCAAGTTTCCTTACTCCACACAGAGCCTAATAATAATCCTCCAAAACCAAAAACAATAATAAATTGGTCATTTTCAATCTACGACTGTTTGTGGGACATTGCTGTGCGCAATTGGCTGCCGCGTTCGCCCACAAATATACAGTCAATTCACTTTACAGTGTGGTCTGTGAAGCGCTTTGGGACGTCCTCCCGACGTGAAGAGCGCTATATCAAATGCAAGGATTATTATTTATTATTATTTTGTGGGCAAAACGCATCAGCCAATTGTGCACTTTAATGTTCCACACAGTCGTATTGAGTGACCAAATCATTAGTTTCATAGCACGTTATCACATCAAGATGTTTAAAAGTGTCAAGCGAAGTGACTCTTTTTGGAGCAAATGTAGAATTTGCATCAGAAAAGTTCTAATAACATCAATTTAAACTAAAGAATTCTTGGTTTAGGTCACCCAGAAAAACAAACTTCTCTCAAATTCGAAGGATCTTTTACCCATTTTTTTTCCCACCTTTGTCATTGCTTTTACTATGATGAAAATTAGTTTTTAAAAACCTTTCAACAAACTATTTATTTCAAACAATTTTGGGGGCTGGGGAGGGGGGGAAAACTTTGCACTAAATTGAAGAGAAACTTTGAAAAGGAGAAGGAAGCTGGAGAAAGCTTTCCCATAATAGAAATATCAGTGCCACAAAAATTCTTTGGCTGATTATATTTAAAGATAAACTGCTCAATTCCACAGTCGAAACAGTGCTATTGCAGCTGGACGCACTGCTCAATGTTTAATACAGGCAAAGCTCAATGTGCCTAGAGAGTTCTTAATAATTGTCAATTAACCTTAGTGATTCATAGATCTATTAATAGTGGAACCGTCTATAAGCGTTTAGGTAGAGTCCCTGCAGAATTGCGTCAATTACAAACTCTCCTGAAATATCACTTTATTGTACAAATGTGCCAATGCTGAAGTGAGTGACTTGATTTGAGGTAAGTCACCAGTGAGATTTCCTCCGCGTGAACCAACCCAGGTTGCTGCTAAAGAGATCCAACACTAAAATCTAATGAAACAAGGGTGGGGTTTGAGTCAGTTGAAAGTTAATCCAGTTATTTACCCAGTTATTTTTGATCCAGTACAACTCACTGTAAGGATGGTAAGACATTAGTTTCTGAGAATCACATTTTGAAAACATTCTTTATAAAATTACTTGAATATATTTTTGAATGAATGCTGTAACAATGCAGACATGTTTAGATTATATTAAGCACATTTGGGTTTACCCAAGGATGAATTAATGGAACAAAACTGAAAAAAATTGGTGTTTGCCACATGCTAACTTTCAGATATCAGCAATAATAATAATAATAATAATAATCCTTGCATTTGATATAGCGCTTTTCACGTCAGGAGGACGTCCCAAAGCGCTTCACAGAACACACTGTAAAGTGAATTGACTGTATATTTGTGGGCGAACGCGGCAGCCAATTGCGCACAGCAATGTCCCACAAACAGTCGTAGATTGAAAATGACCAATTTATTATTGTTTTTTTTTTATTTGGAGGATTATTATTAGGCGTGTGGAGTAAGGAAACTTGCCCAAGGTTTCGCCCTGCCTGGAAATGAACTCAGGTCTCTCACTTGCAAAGCGAGTGCTCTAACCACTGAGCTACAGGACTCCACAGCTACAGGACTCCACAAAGAGGAGTAGCAATACTGCTACAAAGAGGCTCAAAGCCCATGAGGAATAACAACATATTTACATTGATATATAGCACCTTTCGTGTCAGGCCAACGTCCAAAATTAGGCAATTTTCACACACTTCCTTACAGCTTTTTTATATAGCAGCATTGAAAATGTCAAGGTGCAATCTCCAGCCCACTCAAACTCATGGGATTTAAATGGCAGAAAGGGAGATGTCAGGATGGGTTAGGGAGAGGGGGAGAAAGGAAAGCAATAAGAATATCTGATTCTACCCTCCCCCACCACCACCCCACCTGCCAACAAAATCCACACATTTCATTGAAGGCACAAGTATACCAGCATTACATCATCACATTTCACATACTGACGAATAATTATTAAAGATTAGATTAGTAACCTCTCCTCACAGGACAACTTTATCCATATTCAGGTGATGAACAGAAAAAACAAGAACTGAAGAAACAAAATAATAGCGCCTTATCGCGTTGGAATAGAGGTAATTACCACCAAGTGCAGTGACCACTATTTTGAAGGCAAACACAGAACTATTTGGTCCTATAACAGCTATGCCATGAATGATCGATTTATCTGAGGGATTACTGGAAAACAACAATTTGCACTTATATAGTACCCTCCACGCAGGGCAGCATCTCAGACAGCTTAACAGTGGCTGAGTCTGACTCTGAGCTGGATGGAGGGAGGTGGCAAGGCAGAGGGATTGAGGGAGAGTGTTCCACAGTTTCAGGGTGAAATGGCTGAAAGCACGACCTCTGATGGTGGGGCGGAGGGGGCGAGGGACAAGCAGGAGCCGGTGCCAGTCGAGCCGAGGCACCGGGTGGTGGATTGGGGAGCGAGGAGGCTGGGAAAGGAGGGAGGTACCAGGGAGTGAAGGGGTTTGAACACGAGAGTGAGAGGATCTTGAAGTCGATGTGTTGGTGAGGAGGAGCCAGTGGAGCCTGGGCCAGAGCTGGTGAGATGTGGGGACGGAGTTTGGTCGGGGTCAGTATGTGAGCGGCAGAGTCTGAATGAGCTGATTGTGTGAATGGTGGAGCTGGGGAGACCGGCGAGGAGTGCATTGGAGTAATCCAGGTGTGAGGTGACAAATGCATCCACGAGCGATTCAGCTGTATTTGAGGTAAGGTACGGTAAGAAATGGGCAATGTGGCGGAGGTGGAAGAAGGCAGTTCTGATCAGGGACCGGATGTGGGGGAGGAAGAACAGGGGGGGTTGAACCGGATGCCTAGACTGCGCAGTGGTTCGATGAGTCTGGCACTGTGAGAAGCGAGAAACTCCTTCTCTTTTCAAACAGTGATCATGACCATTAAGATCATGGATTCTTAATGGTTCATCTGAAGAGGTGGGCATGACCTCGGTTAAACTTTTTAACCAAAAGATAGCAACTACACTTCAATACACTTAATTTACTATTGTTGTTTCAATTGCCAGCTAGGTAATTTCCACGCTGTGCGCAATTGGCTGCCACGTTTCGCCCATTCACTTTACAGCATATTCTATGAAGCGCTTTGAGAGGCCTTAACAACCTGCTAACGTGCTACATCATATCCAAGGATTATTATTATTAAAATTAGTTTTCTTACCTTGGATTCACAGAAACGCTGATCAACCCCATGCTGACACAATACCACAGACTTGGGCCTCTCCAACTCAAATTCTTGGCACATTACATGAAACACGAATGTCTGGCCCCACTCCAGCAAGGTTCCCAACTGTAGGTGATCAAAACATCATCAGTTTTGTTGGTGTACACGTCGGGTGGGTACAACAGGAACATTAGACGAGAACAGAAAAAAAAGACGGCCTTTCCTGTCACTCTATATTTCATTGGTAAAGTACAAAATGTTAATATATCAGTGTAATATTTGCTTCCTACTGACAGCGCTACTTGTGCTCTGCCAAATTTACATGTTCAAAGGGATCATTTGAGTAAACACAAATTTACAGAAAGTCATTCACACTTTCAGATGTACTCTGAGACAGTACTGCACTAGGAATTTACCTGTTAACAATACAAGAATTTGGTTTGCCTCAGGTCTGCTCGTCATTGCTACAGCCTGCATTTCACTATCTTTGACTAACAATGAAATAAAGGCTCAACTCAGGTACAAAGTTTGCACACGTTCATCTACTTTGCTAACAATAGGTTCAAGTGAGCAGGTTCTGAGTGAGCCACAGCGTGGTTAACAATTGTTAACAACAATGCTGGAAAGTATTAGGCGCAAGTTGGCAAGAGCCAAGGCTTGGAATCCCCAAGAGTGTGTGTTGGAGTAACTGCTGGAGTCTAACCGGCTCAAACCACATAGCTTGCCATTGATGTTGCTGACTGGCAAGCTTTCCCGCTGCTTGTCCAACTAGGACCACCCTAGCTGTGAGGCCTTTGGCTTGCAGGAACAGGAACTGGGTGGGATTATTCCGTCCCAGTGACTGGTCTGAGAAAACGCCTGGCAAGTAATGACGCATCTGAGCTAAGCAGAGGATGAGAGAAGGGAGAGAGGGAAAGGGCAGGAGTGAGTGAGAAGCAATTTCAGGAAAAGGATGTGGAGTGGGCCAGAATGAGAACAAGATGAGGAGGGCAAGAAACACTAAGTGCCAAAAAGAAGTGAAGGATGTGTGTAAGAGGGAAAATGGTCAAAGTCAGCATGAGTCAGCAATTGCGAAAGGAGCAGAGATGTGCCGTTAATCTGTGACCTTGCTTTCCTGTTCCTCTTCAGGACCTCTTTTTCACGGCAGGAGGCAACAACCAAAATGAAAGTGCAATTGCACCTAGCATGCATCTTGTGAAATTTTAAAAATCATTATTTATGAATTGACAGCACTGGCGAGATGCAGTAACACGCTGTCATACACAGGGACATTTTCCAAGCACACAAACTACAGTCGCTTTCTTCAGATGAGTCCAGAAGGAGCAGGGCTCCAGCAATCCCTGCTGACTGCAACCCGCTGTTATTTAATAAAAAGAAAAATGACAAATTCTAGCAATTAATCACGAGAGACCACCTATGATCGATGTAAATTGTGGTACACCAACTGCGTTCAGTAATCAGCTACACTCCACTTGAAACCTGATAAGTAAAATTGTTTGTGACAGATTATACATCACAAAAGCTAGGTGAGTTAAGGCCAAGCAGCCTGCTGTTGCATGTCAATTTTCATTAACAGATCAGATAAGCAAAAATGTCCATTTTAAAATGTAAATTAATAACAATCTGCTTCTTTAAACCTCAAATTTTGTTCTCAGTGGCTCCTTTCTAAAATTCAACCAAAAAATTAACGTTTTAATTATGAAAAGAATATGAATGAATTATGAATTTATGAAGAACAAATATGCCTGAAAGAATTGGATCGAAAATCTCTTACTTTCTTAGATGTCCACCATCTCCAGTTATCGTTCTAAAAGAGGAAAGGTAAATGGGGTCTTTTTGGGGTGAATTGGCTCTAAGGTGACATGCCTGGCAATGGAAGATCGAAATTCAGTGGATCCTCTGTGGCAGAGGCTCAGTAATCCGGTTCCTGAGCCAGACAGGTCAGCAGAACTCCAATGCGCATTTTCTGGACCCCAAACCTGAGTTTGTCAACTTGCGCTCAAACCCTTTAGTAAACATGGTGTGTGACTCAGGAGAGAGTGAATGACCTCCAAACCACTCCAAAAAAAATCATATATATGTGGTTTGAAGACCTCGCCACATTGAGATGGGTTTCCAAGATACCCGACTGACCAAAAACACCATCGTCACACCATTCACCATCCAAGTAGGCGCCTAATCCTAGTAAATTTAATCCCACCCAACCTGAGATCAGTTAACTCCTTACACACCAGCAATCTAAACTGAATCCTAATAGTCCATCTGGGTGAATTATATCACTAAACAATCAAGGGGTTCAAATGTCCTTTTGTCTGCAAGAATAAGATTAAATATCAGCACGAAAAAAATGGATTTTAAATCCTGTTTTGCTGCTGACTTTAATCTTCCATTATGCAGGATACTCTAGTATAATACTTCTAGGAGCCCTAATTGTACATAATTCAATCAGTTTTTGAGCAGTTCTGTAAGCTTTACAATCCGTCTGACGTCTCTCGACTCTTTATAATTTTGTTTTTTTTTAAAGAAACACAATTGGTTGTTACATAAGGTTTGATTTTTCCAGTCCACAAGTGTAAATACAATGAAATTAATCTATGTGGAACCTAGAATCACTGCTCACTTCCAGGTTTGAGCAGTAGGATCTCAGTTACAGTACTGCACAGTTTGCTACTGATGTATACAGTACAGTGAAACTTACAGTTTCATTCAATATAAGTACTCACAGAAGTTTAACAAAATAAAGCCGTTATAAAAATGCATATCCACAAACTATGAAGAGACTATTGCAGTGTTTGTTTTAAAAAGTTACTTGAAATTTTACATTTAAAGATTAAGCATTCAATGTACTTCATTAACAGGAACAGCCTGCAGCATTTTGTAGCCATAAGGATCATCCCTGAAACGTATTCCCATGTTACATTTTAATGACATTTCCGCAACCTTCACTCAGCAATGGTGCAGATGCAAAACCTGTCAGTCCCTATCAGTACTAAACAGCTGATGGAACCATCACAGGTATTGTACAGAACAGTTGAAGGGTGCAGACTAGATTATAAAATAAGGTTCTTTGGATAGAAAACATAATATGAAATTATAACACGAAGGTCTTGAAAATATAAATTACTGCCTTATTGGAACATTGTACGAGGTCTATTTGCACCACCACCTTTGGTAACAAAGAGTGGTCCAGTCCAGACCAATGGGGTAAAATGGGTCTTACCCGAGTTCCAGGTGAGAATGGAACCACTGTATAAAATGTACTTCTAATTAACCTCAGAAAAAAATACGATGTTTGAACTGAAGTTATTTACACCGGTACCAATCAATTGCTCCTCAAAGTTTGGGGTGAAGGCACATTCACAGGGAAGGTTATGCATGTAAACGGTTACAGTTGTCCCATTTAATTCGTTGTGTAGTAATTTATCACAAACTCATATCATACGCAGTATTGAGCAAAAGAGTGAGAAATGTGTGCTGCACATTCCAAACTGTGAACATTATCCACAGAATGTTATAATATAAGCAACAACAACAACAACTTGCGTTTACAATACCCGTCACATGGGGCAGCGCTTAAATACCTTCATATAAACACAAGTTTTCTGGAGATTTGATAAAATACCTGCGGCAAAGTTACTTTAGCTGTAAGCAAGCCTGCCTGCACATCAATCAGCCACGCATATTCCAATGTCGCAGAACCTAAAGGTAGCCCCTCTGCTGAGAACATGGCATGTGCTCGCAACTGCAGTCCAGACAGGCTGATGTGACCTTCACGAAGCAATCCATCCACAGATGGTCTCTACACACAAAAGAAAATACAAGAAGGAAAATGAATTATCAGATTGCTCCAAACAGTTAAATAGAAAGCATCCACATACACTCACATGCCAATAAAAATCAACACGGATTTCTCTCTCAACATATGGAACTCAGCATTCTGTACAATAGTGAGAAAAGTTATTTTTTTGTTAATTTAGCAAGTTGAAATGTTCTCCTCTTTTCCTTTCCTGAATATCCCAGCTCTTGTTAAGATACAATTCCACAACGGCAGTAACCCTCACACATCATTTCCAAATTCCACGGCTGAATCTAGATGAGGTGGTTGCAGGGGAGAATTAACTTCCGTGAAAAGGGCAAAAACAAACAGAAATCCAGCTACAATGAATTGATCAGCTTTTCGCCAAAAACATCATATTGTGAAAAACAAATACTGTGAAAACCTTGCTAACGATGTGAATCAGAATTCTGTATTCTAGATTGGTGTGAGACCAATCCTATAACAAGGTGTATAGACCAGAGCTTATAACAAGGGTTGTGTGAAGTCGCAATCTCTAAAGCTAGGATTTTCAATTAACACCCAAAAACTTCTGGATACTTGTTACCATTTGGTTTAATACTTTCTAAAGTTATAAGTTCTCATGAATTTTAATGTTCATTGATACTAATGTTTTTACACGATGCAAATTAAATTTCAATTATATTCACAGACTTTTTTCCCCACAATACACAAAGGAGACATTTCTCCAGTTTGTCTAAAAATGGGTAAACCCAGGCAGCATTTGAAATTAGTATAAACCACCAAGGGATTCAAGCCTACTTTCCAACTCATTTGGATTGCTTTAAGTATGTCAAAAAGAAACAAGACAGATTTTCTGACGCACAGCATTGTCTGAATACTTATTTAACAACATCACAATTAAATCAATTGAATGTCTCAAATAATGTACTACAGAGATCAAACCATACTGAACAGCAAAACTGCACTGCAATGTGTTCCATTCCCAAACATTTATTATACAACCCTCACCCCCTCCCAAACCACGAAAATCACCATTTCAACTAAAGTTAATGGTTGCATTGACGGAGGTGAAAGAGACAATTGCTCTGGCTGAAGTTGACAGTTTGAATGGAAGTGAAAAGGTCTTCAGATTGTCAGTTGGTGATGGGAACACTGTGTTTTCACAGTCAGAACTAATATCACTCAATATCAGACTGGAACCAAGTCAAGTCAATTTGCTAATGTGCAGCCCAAGGTCACTGACAGCTTCTTCCTGGAGTTTCAACCTCTGTTGCCCCTTTGGAGAAACCATTTTTGGTTATTACACCTTTCCAACTAAGATATTTTTCCAAACGCAATTAGCTATTTCAAGCCCTTCTTCTGAATCTACAACCCAACCAAAGTCATGTTGATCGTCAGAAAACACGAGATGTTGGATAATCCTTTACGAAAATAAAGAACAATTAACTAGGACCAATGGAAGGGGATCAGGAGGTAGAAAGTCAGAAAGCACTGACCAGAGGGCTTTTGATTGGATTGTTTGATTTGTAACTTTTTAGAACTTTTATGTTCAGAAAGCCTATGTATCTGTAAAAGTTTCAATCCACTCCTTGAGAGGGAGCAGGTACTTTTTTATTTGATAAACAGATGAAGCTCGAAGGACATATCAAGGGAAGAGTGAGAAGCAGCAGTGCTCACATTCACAGTTTCCCATTAAGAAAATCACCACTGTGACAATTATGGGGAAATAGTTAAAATACTGTCATTTATCAAATGAATGCCACAGAGGAGAAAGTGATACATGTCCCCATCAACAGAGTGCTTCATCACTGGACAAACACCCTTACCAATCAAAGCAGTAACAAGATGTTTAGTGGCAGCATCTGCTACCTAACCTCACCTCATTAGACAGCACTGATGCAGTAATGGTGGAGTCTCTGAGAAAATACTTACCCAAATATAATTCATAACACTCTGGACAAATAGGTCAGCTGTTAATTTTGGCTCATTGCCCAGTGTAGCAAATACAGTACAATTAGTGACATTTAAGAGAAATACCCAAAAAGCCGATTAGGTAGCAATTAGAGAAAAGTAAAAATGCAGTTACCGATAAAATGTTCAACACAATCAAAGAGGTAAACGCGCTGGACCTTTACATCATGACATGATTTCTCTAAAGCTTTGCTTCAAAATGTAGTGACTTATGGAGTCAATGCAGCAGCAACATCCCACAAAACAGGAATGAGATAAATGACTGGCTGATCTATTTTTTTGACTCTAGGACTTACTTTACAATGCGCTTTCCTTTTCCTTTACACCCTAACATATTGTGTGTTGTGGTATTTAACTAGACTACACAGTGGAACCCCACTTTAATATTCGTCATTACGACACAGTTCCCTACAGTGCAATTAGGATGTGAACCCCAACATTAATTTACCATAAATACAAAATGCATGCAGAAAGCCAGTCGACTACTCATGCACCAAAAACTCACGAATCCCAGGCCATAATTGATAATAATGACATTGCGGCAACTTGTTGACCTGTAAGTCAGCCTCTAGGACCACACCCTGTGTGAGGGGTGCTGCATAAATGCAAGTTGTTGTTGCCATTTTTAATACAGGAAGCCAGTGGCTCTGTGTGCACAGACCAGTGTAGTGGATGTGTAAGGCTGTCTAGCAATCATACTTCGCTCTAAACCTGGTTGAGATTTTAGGTACTCCAAGTATATTATAACAGGGCTCTACTGTAGCTTTTTTCTAGATCTTACTGTTGATCTCTTATCGTCCTAGTATTCATGTTTCGTAAATGTTATGTTATGTTTCTGGAAGGGAAATGCAAAAATATTGCTTATGTAGCCCATGGATATTTCTCAAATAGGGCATCCAGCCCTCAGAAGCCAAAAGGTTGGATCCCTGAGTTAGACTATGCAGCACAGAAACAGGCCACTTGGCAGTGTGTCTTTTCCTCCACATGAGCCTCAGCCCCTCTAATCCTCTTCCCAATACCCCCCTTCTCCATTCTCTCTTGTGTAAAGTCGCAAAGTTACTAACCTGGAACTTAGGAGCTGAAGGGGGGGTGGGGGGGGTTCAAAGCATTACTCCCCAGCTATCGGAAAAAAAACTATATGAATATTTATTCCTCCCTCGCGCGAACATCATTAGAGTCTCAGATAACTGGAGACAACGTCAAGGTACAATGCTGAAGAATTTCTTCTAAAAAAGCACACAAGGTTAACAGGTGCACAATTCTAGACAAATAAAACATACAGTAGCCCAATCCAAGGTTTTTTTTTAAAAGCTACCCTGAGTGTTCAGAGACAGGTTAGTATTGTAGCCAATTTGCATTTGTCATAATGAACAATTATCCTCAATGGGGCCAGTCCCAATTAATAAAGATAATGAGCTCTCTCCTGCACTATCGTTAAAAATACCCCTTCCTTTATCTAAATTAGTTAGTTTTACTTAGTCCCATAATGTGATACACCAACGTTGAGAAGGGTATTAGATTTTAAAAGCCTGTAGACTACACTGTGTAGTGCTGTGTAAAAAATGAACTGACGAGAGGGACATTGCCACTACACTGTTGTAGTGGCAATGTCCCTCTCGTCAGTTAATTTTTTAACTAATAGAGGACTAATTATTTAAATGTTGGTTCACAAACACATTATTGATGTAAATGAAATGAATACAGTTGTTCTAGGCTTCTTACCGGGTAGTTGTCACTCACAAAAAGGTAAATTGGTGACAAGACAAGCTGTAACATGGTCTCCTTATAGCCCTTCTTCATCTCAAAACAAAGCCTCTCCATGAATGCTGTGGGACACTCTGACCCATCGCTGCTGCAATGCTGCAAGACATTCACAAATTATATGTTCACAGACGATGTACACAGTGAAATAAACATATCCGACAAAATAAAGCTTTGTTTCTGTCATTCCCCAACCCTCCAACAAATTACAAAATGTATTAGATTTAACAATTAAAATCAATACAATAAAAATTTGCATTATCATTTATATTTTCTGAAACTAGATCAGTGAAGTTAACACATCCTGTGGAGAACCTAGACTGTTAGGTCAGGCAGACTGATAATCCACTCTTACCCTAAACTATAGCAGTGACAAACCTCGCCATGGTCAAGGATGCTTACAAAATACCGATGATACATATCCATGCATGGAGGAAATAGATAGGTTTCAAATAGTCACCAAATCTACAACAACTACTATTTGCATGTATATAGTGCCCTTCACATGGGGCAGTCTCAGAGCACTTGAAAGGCCACAAGCTCAGAAGTTGAACAAGATAATTCAGACTGAACCATTTTACAGATAGTGGTGAATATGAGGGATGGACGATTCAGGGAGGCAGACTGCGTTGGCAACTTTAAGAGGGAATTAAACATATATTTGGCATAAAATATAGGGTTTTTAAAAAATATTTTTGACCTTGGAACCATCTAACAGAAATGACAATTTCCACTTATATGGTGCCTTTCACATAAGAAAATGTCTCAAAGCGCTCAAAACCTAAAGTCTACTCTGGTCGTGTTCATTTCCTATATTCCTAGGATTTAAACCAAATCTGCAATGCAAGTAAAAGGTCCACTTTAAACAAATCAGTTTTTGTGAATGAACCACACTTTGCCTATTGTGCCGATGAGTTTCATTTCACATCACATCACAGGAAATTAGCGAAGCAAGGATGTAAAAATCGGAGACTTTTTGTTGTGGATGTTCTGTGCTGTTAATTCAAAATTGGATTTCCTAAGTACAATAACGACTTTAAAATCAGTACAAACCAAAGAATCAGTAACAGCTGGCTTCAAATTAGAAACAGACCATCTTTTATGTTCCACTTCACTTACCACTGGGAGCTTTCCATGCACTTTGTACAAATTAATGAGGACAGAGATGTCCCATGGGCGGAGTGAAAGTGGGTGGATTTGCTTGCCTCCATTCTCCGCCTCCTTCTTCTGCACTTCTTCAACTCCCACCGAAGCCCAGCCAGAACTAGAAGATGTTGATAATGACAACACAGGGCTCGAAACAGTTTCTTCAAAATCTGTGTACATGTCATCTTCTCCAAAGTAGTTCTCCTTTGAAGATAAAACAGTATAAAAATATCAGATAAAATGGTTGGAATTTTATCCACAAAATTGTGGATTTTTCTACAAAAATTCACATTTTTCATGCACTCTGGACTCCCCAAGACTGGACTCTCGCCAACCTGCCCCTAATGCTTTCCGGAAATAGATAAGGAGTGTGCATCCCTTCAGGTGTACAATCCATTCCACGTCTAGGTCACATACAAATGCTGAATTCTCAGTCTGGCTTGGATACGCTTAAGCATCGTAATAGTCACATGTGTCAGAACACCAAGCTGACAAAAAAACATTTCAAGCATGATTTCTGCCAGATACTAGGTGATTGATGGGGGTTCTAATCATAATATTTAATACAGCTCCTTATCACGTTGTCGAGACGACTCAAAGCGCTTCACAGAATATATTTTAAAGTGGATATTTTATTTGTGGTGAAGTGTGGCAGCCAATTGCACACAGCAGTGTCTACAAACAGGGATTATTACCCTCGGAAAGTGAAACGCCAATTGACAATAAACAGGTCCTACTTACTGCTAGGTAAACAGAGGTGTGTAGCGTAAGGAAACTTGCCTAAGGTTTCATCTTGCCCAGGAATCAAACCTCTCGCTGGCAAGCTCACTAACCCTACAATCCAGGAATCCTAATTTAGCTTAATGTCTGGTGAAAGCCAAAAATACATTGGAAGGAGGACAACAGTTAATATGTATTATAGGTGGTGAAGAGCCCTTTGTCTTTATCAATATCAACGCAGCCTACTTCTTCAATGCTACATTGTGGGTAAATATTTCTAAGCAATGGTAATGCTAACATAGCTGCAGCAATCTGCTGAATAAATGTTGAACTGTATATCATAAAATTAAATGTCTGTACCTTGATACTCAACAGTGCTTTAAGCACTGGCCCGTACAGAATGATTTGGGAATCAAAAGGCATTTCTAGTTCCACATGCAGCTTATCAGGCAGAAGTTCTGATGGATCTATGGGTGGTCTGTTTGAACCTGTTGGAGATGAAATAACTCGCTCTGCAGACTTCTGTGAAGGTCTCGACACAGATGTTAATTCCGGATTTTGGACCACTTTTAAAATAAAAACACATATTTTAGATATTCCAACATAAAAGTACAGCAGAACATCATATATCCACATGCTATCTCTCTACAGATCAATTTATATAATATAACAATAATCCTTACATTTGATATAGCACCTTATCGTATCTTCGCAGGATATACTGTAAAGTGAATTGACTGTATACTTTGTGGGAGAAACACGGCAGCCAATTGTGCACAGCAGTGTCCCACAAACAGTCGTGGATTGAGTGACCAATTTTTTTGAAGGAATTATTACCCCCGGAAAAGCGATCCTCCAATCGACTGACAACCAGGTTCCTACTTACTGCTGGTAAACAGAGGCGTGTGGAGTAAGGAAACTTGCCCAATGTTTAGCCCTGCCCGGGAATCAAACCCAGGTCTCTCGCTTGCAAGGCGACTGCTCTAACCACTGAGCTACAGGACTCCACAGCACCGGATTTATCCGCTCTGCTCTCAGAGGCGTAACTGAAATGGAGATAACACTGGAGCACACAATGCTCTTAGGAATCCAATTTTCCCAACAGCACAACTGTGAACTGACAACACAAGGCGAGTGTTTATTCAGCAGTTTGTTAGTTACAATATAGCGCTAGAGGCGTGGAGAGCTAGAGTTAGAGAAAGAGAGAGAATGTCCAAGGCGCAAAGGCAAAGATGAGAAAAATAGAAAGTTGGAGAAAATCAGAAAGAAATAGGAAAGAGCCAAATGAGAAAGACTGGTACAGTGTGGTACTATAATGACAGTGCAACTTCTGATGAAAGAAAGGTTTGGTTAGCACCGCAGCCTATTATCTTATGTGATGACCTTTTATCCTTACTGTTTCAAAGGCAGAAACACTCCTCAGTGCTGAAGGGCATTTCCACCTACAGATGTCAAACACTCAAGAGAAACGAACAAATGGCATTTCCCACACCTTCAGGGTGTTTGTGACAATATTGAAAGTTTAAACTTAAACGGACGTCTCAGGTTGATAAAGCGCCATATCAAATGCAAGGATTATGATGTTATTATTTCAACATGAGCCAGTAAATGAATAAGTGGATTCTTACAACTTTGTTTCAACTGTTCATCAGCTTTTTGAGGGTAGATGGGATGCCAGGTATAGTCGATGATGAGCATAATGTTTGGTACAGACCAACACTCGATCCAGTCAGTCCTAAATGTTAAGATAATCAACATCAGTACATTCACTTAAGCACATCGATTTTAGTATCAGATTTTTAAAAAGAGTTCACACTTTTATGGTTTAAAGCACTGCATTCTGTTTAAGTTCATCTTTAGAGGCCCCTTTTAATATTCAATCCTATAGAGCGAGATTAACTAAAACGCCTATGAATTATACAATCATTTGAAAAACTACTTAATAGTGAGTTTATATCGCTGCGAAACTGGGTTTACAATGTCTGTACCACATCACTTTCAATCAGGTCGGAGAAAAACACACAGAACATCAAAGATGAGTACTTGATTTTAAAGAACCTACGAAGTAACCAATTCTTTAACAATTAAAAGAAATCCGTACAAAGTTCACAATACGAGAGGTTTAAATAGACCTCAGGAGAGCATGCCCAGTCCGATTCACATCCACCAGATTTATACTACTCCACGTGAGTTGAGCATGAGGATCCAGTGTAATTCAGTGTTTACACTGTTAAAATTACTGCAATTCCCCACCAACATGTGTATCATTTCACACTCAAGGTAAAATTAGTCATTCTCCAAAATAAAGTAAGAAATAAAATGATTTAGATTTTTCTGACAAGACATTTCTAATAGCAATAAAGAGTTGAATTGTCAGAGATTGGAATTAATTCACTAATTTTCTTTATGTTTTTAAGATGAAAAATTCTTAAAAGGAAGCACTTAAAAGTCCTACATATAGGATAGCTTTTTCAAAGAGCTGGCAAAGGCACAAAGGGACGAATGGCCTCCTTCTAATTCTAATAGGATTCTAATGATATTTTGCAAGAGAAAAATTATTTTGTGTAAGAAAAACTTACTTGATTTTTTTCCAGCATCTTCTTGCAAAGCCAATTTCAAAAGGAAAGTTAAACATCACAAGTAAAATCCAAGAAATGCACAAATTCTTGTAGATTTGAATTTCCAAAAGTCATTGAAAGACAAGCGACAACAGTCCACAAAGAATCACCACACTCGAGTTTCATAAAATCAAGGTTTCAATATTTTGAACCATGTACACAGATCCAGTCATAAACTTGAGGAGTACTGTACTTACTCTGGTTCAGTAATATTACGCCATTTGGGTTTCCTTAATTTCTGACTACTATTTTGAGTCTCACTTGAAGAAGAGATTTCTGGAGGTACTTTGTTAGGTTGAGAATCATTTGCCAATGTAACTGCTGCATATCTGCTCGGGTGACAGTCTGGCAGAAACAAACGTAAATCCATATTTTCTGCCTGGGAACATAAAATAACGTACGTTTACAAATGTATGTGTATAACTCAAGAAAAGTGACCAGGCATTTCTTTCTTGTTCGGTATATTGCTTTAATACATGATACATAAAAAAACAAATTTTTTACAATAGACTAATACCACTGCAAAATATTTTTTGGGAATAACATGAATATTTATTTACATCAGTGTAATTAGAAATACATACATATTTATTTTGTTCATAATTAGGTTGTCAATCAACAGTGTTGGGAGAGCAATGTACTGTTGGAGGTGCTGTCCTTTGGATGATATGTTAAATATAGGAACCTGATGACCTGAAAGTTCCCGATTTGCCTCCTAGTGTAAGAAAATTGGTTGCCACATTTGCCTGCAGGTACATTCATTACACTTTTCTCTTTCTACATGCATGTGAAGCAGTGGACTAGTATTTTTCATATTTTGGGTAAGATAATGTCAGGGTGAAAACCCCAACTGTGCAATAAGGGAACCCACATTCTAATTAGTGTGTTATAACATGGTTCCCCTGAATAGGGCAACAGGTTGAGTTGATATTAATCCTTGCAGTTGATATAGCATCTCATCGAGCCATTGAAACATCTCAAAAGTAGTTCACTGGATGTACTGTAAAGTGTAGTGAATGCACCTGTAAGCAAATATGACAACCAATTTTCTTACTTCAGTGTCCTACATGCAGGCATGAAGAGAACAACCAATTTTATCAAAGAGATTGTTGGCCAGGACTCTGGACACCTTTTCACACCTGAACAGGCAGATGGGACCTCGGTTTAATGTCTAATCCAAAGAACGACACCTCTAACAATGCAGCACTCCCCCAGCACTGCATTGGATTGTCAGCCTAGACTGTGTGAACTCAAAGTCCTGACTTGGTGCATGAACCCACAAACTTCTCACTCAGAAGAAAGAATGATATCAAATGAATCAGCAGAACACTTTCATTTGGTATGCATGACACTGATGTCAGTGAATTCAGCAAGCAAAAATATTTCATTTGCCCACTGCATAATTTATTCATCAAAATCCAAATTAAAATTTTGATTTTTACTGGAATTGTAGAAAAGGAGCAGATAACATGAAACACATAAATCTTTCAATTTGTGGAATAAAAGCTTTCATCCCAATTCCATCCAAATATTACTTTTCAATATCTTGTGATGTGAGATCAACTGTTCTGTTGACATGGTCCAATTCTGTTTCCAAAAGTTAAATAAATGGCATACCTTCAAGCAGAATTTTGTGTTGCAGGTAGCTGGTACAAAGTCATTAAAAGGCAAGGAGAAATCAATGTTCAGAGTTTCTCCACATGCTGCCAAATAGACTGCAACAGAACAAAAATAGCATTTCAATACTAAAAGAAACACAATAGCAACAGCTGGGAAGTCTATAGTGATTTGTTCCTTCAAATATTAAATATTTCAGGAGTTACAACAAATTTGGTTCAAATCAATGGAAGAAGTTTGAAGAGAAGAAAAAGCATAGAAATTTCGACCTTCTATCACTCCTTCCTCTCCCGCCACTGGCTTCACGAACCCCTCCAATCTGGTTTCCATCGCCCACAGCATAGAAACAGCTTTGGTCAAAGTGACAAATTACATTTTGTCCTTCTGCGACCAGGACTCCCTCTGCCTCCTCATCCTCCGTGACCTATCTGTTGCCTTCGACACCGTCGACCACTTTATTCTCCTCCACCACCTCTCCTCATGATTAATCCCTTCATGGTTATGTCCTTGAATGGTTCAGATCGTACCTCTCACACAGTCTCCACTTAATCTCCACAAACAGCTTCTCCTCTAGCCTCCGCACTGTCTCGTGCGGCGTTCCTCAGGGCTCTGTCCTCGGTCCCCTCCTCTTCAATATCTATATATGCTCCCTCTTGGTGACATCATCCACAGACATGGGGCCAACTTCCACATGTATGCCGATAACACCGAACTCTACCTCTCTGCCTCCACCCTCCACTCCAGGACTCCCTTGATTGTCAGACATCAAGTCCTGGATGAGAGCTAACTTTCTATAGTTGAACTTCAACAAGACCGAGGCTCTCCTGATTGGCTCCCGTCAGCGCCTCCGCACTGACAACATCACTATTCAAGAATGCACACTCCACGCTGCTAAGACAGTCTGGAACCTTGGCGTCTTGTTTGATCCCCAACTATTCTTTCTACCCCACATCCGTGCCATGACCCGCTCTGCCTTCCCCCACCTCTTGCAACATCACCCGGCTCTGCCACTGTCTCAAATCACAGGCCACCGAGACCCTCATACATGTTTTCATTACATCCAGGCTGGACTACACAAACTTCTGCTTGTCGGCCTCCCCAACTCCTCCCTCCACAGGCTGCAGATAATCCAGAACTCTGCAGTCTGTGACCTCTCTTGCACCAAACTCCGTGACCCCATCTCCCCCACACTCGCCCGACTCCACTGGCCTCCCGTCACACAGAGGGTACAGTTCAAGATCCTGGTCCTCACCTTCAAAGCCCTCCATGGTCTTGCTCCCCCCAACCTCTGCGACCTCCTAATCCCCAAGAACCTGCCTACTCCTCCGCTCAGCGGGCTCCTGCTGCTTCACGTCCCCCGCCTCGCTCGCCCCACCATTGGTGGGCGGGTCTTCTGCCACTCTTCCCCCACCCTCTGGAAATCCATCCCGTAGTCCCTCCGCCTTGCCTCCTCCCTCGTCTCCTTCAACAACCGTCTCAAGATCCTCCTCTTTGATCACCCTCTTTCCCCACTGTCCTCCACCCATCCCGATCCCGACCCCCAGCTCAGGTCCGAACCACTGACGGTCCAGCGCCTTGGGACGTCCTCCAGACATGAAAGGCGCTACACAAATGTAATTTTTTTGTTGTTGTATTATGTCAGCATAGAAATGGATATGAAATAAAATAACTGCACAGAAATTACAACATAAAAACAGTGCATGTAAAACAGAGTATTTTCCAGCATTCCTCTATCAACAGAACATACACTAATCAATAAGTTCATAAAATCCATATTTATACATTCTGTTACAATGAATATTGAGCACTACACTGCCACAGTTTTATCATATAAAATAATTTGGTCAGCCAGGCTCAAAATTATCAATTGAGTAAAACTGCACACCACCTTCTGGGGCAAATTAATGTGTCAAAATTAAGATTATTAGTAGATCAAATTCATACTCCACTGTTCTCCATTAATCTCTCAGTAATAGGCCACATCCAATACAACTTATTGGGATTCAATTAGCAAATCTTATAACTTTTATAGACCGTCTCATGTAAAAAAAAGTTGAATTCATAATGAAGATTTTGAAAATCTTAACCAAATCAAATTGTTACGAGCCACAAAAATAGAGTCACGGTCCATTTAGCAGTCACCCCAAACCACAAGAACTCAAAGTTCAGTTTATTTTAGGCTGATGCAAATGAAGGTTAGATATTTTTGGCTTGGACAAATTTAGTCTACTGTGTAAGAGAATTCTGTTTCGACATTTGCAAAGAGAAGTACACAAACACTACTGTAAAGATACATCTGAACAAAAAGATATTTGAGCAATACCTCATGTGAGATATATAAGGTATCAGAAATGATCTACTGTTAGAACTAAGCCAATTACAAAATTACACAAATACAAAGTACATAAACCTTTAAAGCTGTCAAGAAAACAAACAAAATCCTAGGTTTTATAAATAGTGGTATAGTATAAAAAAAGCAAAGAGGGTATTGCTAAATTTATATGAATCATTAATCTAGACAGCAATTAGAATATTGTGTCCAGTTTTATTCCCCCCACTTTAGGAAGGCTGTCAAGATTACAGTGGGGTGCAGAGGAGATTTACTAGGTTCACGCTGACACTAGGAGGCATCACGTACATACTATGATGGCCCATGATGTATAGGGATTACACCAAACCTCAATATCTCTGCCTCCAACCTGGATTTCAAGACTATTGCTGTTCTGACTGACTGCCTGGCAGACATCAAGTCATGGATGATCTCCAACTTTCTCCACTTGAATGTTGACAAGGCAGAGCCGCTCCTGTCAGTGCCTTCTCACCTCAGGTGCTGACAGCATCAATCTAAACAGATGTACACTCCGCCTCACAGAGCCAGCGGGGAACCGTAGTGTCTTGTTTCATTCTCAACTGTCCAACTATCCCATGCCTTGAGCGGTTCAACTTTCCCCCACCTCTGTAACACTGCCAGTCTCCGCCACTATCTCTTCCCTCGGGTTGCCAAGACATTTATCCGTGCATTTATCACATCCAGGCTAGACTCCTACTCTCTGCTTGTTTGACTTCCCGACTCTTCTCTCCACAAGCCTCAGACCATCCAGAACTCTGCAGCTTGTGTCTTCTCCCGCACAAGGCTCCGTGAGCCTATCAATCCCATCCTTGCTCGGCTCCACCAGCTCCCAGACGTTGGGAATTCAAGATCTTTGTCCTCACTTTTAAAGCCCTCCATGGTCTTGCTGCATCCTACCTCTGTGACCTTCTTAAACACTACCAACCAACCCACACCCTCCACTAAGCAGGTATTACCTTTCTGCATATCCCCCACCCTGTCCACCCTACTATCAATGGCCGAGCTTTCAGCCTTTCTGCCCCCACTCTTTGGAACTCCATCCCAGAGTCGCTTCCCTCATCGCCTTCAAGGTTCACCTCAAGACCTTCCTCTTTGACCTCATCTTCACTCACCAGAAAAAATAGTTCAAGGGGCCTTCTTCATCCAAACTTGTCTTGGGATCTACCCTGCATGGTGAAAGATTGAATTATACCTACAGGATGGAGTCCTGTAGCTCAGTGATTAGAGCACTCGCTTTGCAAGTGAGATCTGAGTTCAATTCCAGGCAGTGGGAAACCTTGGGCAAGTTTCCTTACTCCACACACCTAATAATAATCCCTCCAAAAAAAACAAAAACAATAATAAATTGGTCATTTTCAATCCATGACTGTTTGTGGGACATTGCTGTGCGCAATTGGCTGCCGCGTTCGCCCACAAATATACAGTCAATTCACTTTACAGTGTGTTCTGTGAAGCGCTTTGGGATGTCCTCCCGACGTGAAAAGCTCTATATCAAAATGCAAGTATTATTATTATTATTACACAATCTTCAGAAATAACCAATAACTGCACCTACACAACCCTCAGGAACAACCAATATTTAGTTGTTCATAGTTGAAATATTTTGTGGATGAAAATACTTACTGCCCTTTAGCAGTACATCAATATAAACATAAACATGTCAAATCTTTACAAAAGGGTCTTTTAAATTCAATTTCTCTTCTGATAACACTTAACCTCTAGACCAGATTTGGAACTTCACCTCTCTTTTGGTAACTTTTCTCACCGTTATTTCACTTTTGAAAGATTTTCTGGCGATCTGCACACAGAAAAGCACTTTCCTTCTCATTTATACTGTGCCCATAAAGCCAGACATATAACAAAGTGGAACAAGCCACCTTAGTTTTATGAGCAGTTCTAAAACGCTTTGAATCAAGCCAAAATAAACGTAAATTAGATTTTGGTATTAAGCTAATGTGCATTATATCAGAATCAGTGTTTTTTTAAGAGCTGGTCAAACAAGCAGCTCCAACATTAAAGCATGGGCTGTTCAGAGCTCTCAACCTGACCAATGACTCATAATCTGGGCCAATAAAAAAGTGCAGCCGCAAATTTTCTGCAGAATCCGCTATAACCAACACCCTCCACTATACTTCAGTTAAAAAATGAAGTATCTGGCCCCAGGCCTCTCAGCTGTTTACCTGATGTTACTGTGGACGGGGAGGGAAGACTCCAGATGAAACATGTGCCATGAGGCACAAGCAGGAAATGGGCTTTGCTCCATGAGTGTGTGTGTCTCTTCCTCTCTCTCTCTCTCTGAGAACATGTCTCTCTGTGTCTGTCTCTCTCTGGGTCTCTGTGTTCCCCCCCACCCCACCCCCAAATGGGTCACACAGTTTTTGTTAAAGAAGAAATTAATGCTTTTTTTGCAACAATCTAATATGTGTTGTTTCCTCATGTTTAATTTTTATCAATAAAGTTGGCAATAAGATGGACCTCAATAGCACCAATCAGCTCCCCACAACAATATTCCATCAAATTTCCCTGCAGTTGTCTGGCAAATATTTCCTCACTTTTCTATTGGCCCAGTTCATGTGAAAAGCGCTATATCAAATGCAAGGATTATTATTATTATTATTATTATTATTATTATTATTATTATTATTATTATTATGTGAAAATCTATTTGGATTCAGACCTGCCATGTCTCTATTGCAAGTGTGTAAATCAGATTGTTCCTGAAACAAACCTCCTCAGCGCTTTGGGACATCCTCCCGATGTGAAAGGCACTCTATAAATGTAATTTTATTGTTGTTGTTGTCCCCCAGGTTATGTCAGAAGTAAGACTCCAGCACAAATCAGGGTGTCTGAACTAAAATGGTAACGCATGGTGAATTATCCCTTTTATCCTCCGAATAAAGGAAGAGCAGGTTTTATGGAAATAATATTAAAGAGAGATTACAATATATGTTGAATGCAACAACACATTTTCTTACCGTTTTCTTGTTGTTTGGTGGAGCAATCGATCCAATTGTGTTGATTTGCTGCCCAAATCATCTCAAACTGGTGAAACATCACTTTAAATTTCCAAATGTATGGAACAAAGGAGTAGATGTCAGGGGGGCTGTCACTTACCCAGTCTTGTATCAAATCTTGGAAAAGGAAAATGTAAAATAAATCTCAGATTAAAGAAAAGTTACAGAAACCCAGGCTTTTAAATTTGATTCCTAAATGTTTGTGCAGCGTTAAAAGAGTAAGATTTTAGTCAATAGTGTATTTGTTTTATGACCTTTTATGTAAAACCTTTGCATTTGAGGCAACCCAATGAGTTTCACAAGATTCATTGTGGAGCGAATGTGTATTCATAGGATTTGAGGATAAAAGGGGCATGAAATCTGTCCAATACATTGATCTGATAAATTACTCATATATTTTTGAATTAACCCACTGGACAATAATGTGTCACCAGCACATATACTTGAAAATCCTAATGCATATTCAATAAATGTAGTAGCATAAAACACATCAATAATTTATCGACTATATTTTTTATGAGATGAACAAATTCACAAATACGTACCTATAAAGAAATTCTTCTGGGCAAAGATAAAATGGTAAGTCGCCTTATACACTTCAATTTCGCACTGCCATGCTTGAGGCATATTCCATATCTTTTGATAATTTGCATTTACATGAAACTGTAGGGAAGATTTTAGTAGGTCAGTTAACAAGGATCAGACAAATCTCAAGAGAGGTGTTAGAAAAATGATTTCTCTGTTAGTAGCATCAATGACTCAAAAGGCAGAACTAATTCATTGTACATCGCAATTTAATTTGTAATAATCCTTGCAATTGATATAGCGCCTTATCATGTTTTCGAAACATCTCAAAGTGCTTCACAGAATATACTATAAAGTGAATTGACTGTATATTTTGTGGGCGAAACGCGGCAGCCAATTGCGCACAGCAGCGTCCCACAAACAGTTGTGGATTGAGTGACCAAATTATTATTATTATTGTTTTAATTTGAAGGGATTATTAACCCCAGAAAAGCAATCCGACAACGACTAACAACCAGGTTACTACTCACTGCTGGGTAAATAGAGCGCGTGGAGTAGGGAAACTTGCCTAATGTTTCACCCTGCCCGGGAATCGAACCCAGGTCCTCTTGCTTGCAAGGCGAGCGCTCTAATCAATACTCTACAGGACGCCACGATTAAAAAATCTTGTCATCTACCAAGATTACAAAAACTGTAGAATTCAAATGGAATAACTACAATCAAAATTAGGAAACGATAACACAAGTACCATCAAAAGAAACTAAACATGCTTTTGCTGACTTTAAGTTCCCCGTAGTTTTTGAATAATTAATTATACCAAAGCACTGTGCAACAACAGGCATTGACTCTTTAATTAAAAATATTTATCCCACTGTGGTAAACAGAAGGCACATCTACCTTCCATGCAATTTAATTATTTCCCTGATGCCAGGGTCAGACCGAGTGCGTCAAATTGTACAGTCAGCCAAGGAAGCTGCCAGTATTAATTCTGACGCTATTAGTTTTCCTGCACCATGTGCACACTTCATAATAACATAATCAAACATAAAATCTTCCCACAAGTGATTTTAATGTGTCCGACTCTGATGCAACTCGTTGCTAGAAAATATGGCTAAGCTGATAATTTCTTTATACAGATTTTAGGATCTTGTTCATTCTTCAAATGAAAACATTGCTTCCGTTGAACACAGGATAAGTAATACAAAGTTCTCAGCATTTTCAGGATAGACCAGTCAACAGTTTCAACACAATTCTAAAGTGTGCCTGCCTTCCCCCTTTGGAGGCACAGAAGAGATGACAATTAAAAAGTGGAAGTACAATACTTAAAATTACAGGGGAGGAAAGCTTTTAAGTAAGAGATGAGCTTTATTTTAAAAATAATTTTCCAATAAGAGGAGCGGATTATTCGGAGGAAGAAGGGAATAGAGAGGGGATCATGTGGAGTTTAAACAGCGACTAAAAGCCACATAACAACAACACACAATAACAAGACAGGCTTCAGTCATATTACGTTCAGGATAATTTGTCTACCATTTAAATCAACTTAGGGAGTCTAATTTGCAGTACTAACAAAGCAATTGACAGTTATATTGCGTAATTCACATAAGGAGGATGTCTCCAAGTGCTCACACCACTTAGTGGGCACTCGAGCTAGAAGGTGGGAGCTGAAGGGGAAAATACATGTGTACAAAGAGTACACACAAATGTAATTAACATCCAAAGAATTACAGAATCTCTCTCCCTTTTGCATTGGTTATTAATTCCATAACTAAGGACAATCCAATAATTTCTTCTGTACACATGCATTTACATGTGCAGCAGTTAAATAATTTACTCGCAAATTAGACAAAGTTTGTCCTTGGTTAGAAAGTTCTGGTTATACGATCCAAAATATAGTTCACAATGTTTTTCAGCATAACTATTGTATCTATAAAACTTACCGCTAACATTTCTGCCTCCAATAGAGTTCGATACAGCATGCTACTGGTTGCATCCACGTGCAGCAGTTGTCCTTTAATTGTTGGTGAATATCCTGCCGAGTCAGAAAATACAGAAGTTGTAGATCAATATTTAGTTTTAAGAAGCCCCAAATGGATACTCCCGCACAGATTTAAAAGCCAAGGCTTCATTCTTACAAAAGTTTAGATAATAATATGGTAAAACTCACATAAGTCTTATCTTTATAAGCATGATTGTATGATTGCCTAAGTCACACATCCATCCGAGTCCCATTCAGTTTCCTATCAAAATCACTTAAAACCACTTTCTTTGCACTAGTCATATTACTCGCCCACAAAATATACAGTCAATTCACTTTACAGTATAGTCTGTGAAATGCTTCGAAAGGTCTCAAAGACGTGATAAAGCACTATATCAAATGCAAGGATTATTATTATTCATCTCCTAACTTCCCTGTCCTCAATTACTCCTGCACTTACCGGCTACATTGAATCACGGGTAATGTGTCTTGATCCATTGATGCATGCGTAGAACTTCATTTCTCAAGATTCAATGAGATTCTAACGCTGGTCAGTGAGTGCACATGCAGCGATGAGTCAAGACGCATTGAATTGCGGGAAGCATAGTCTTGACCCGTCACCACATGTGCACTTACCAGCTGCAGTGACGAACTACTACATGCACACTTACTGACTGCACTGAATCACACATGCACAGTATAGATTATTGATTAAATTGGATTTTCTACAATTTATACAAGTCTGCCTGCAACTCGGACTTTGCGTAAGGCATATTAAATGTTATGGGCCTGACTCATACAACCTGTGAATTTTACTGCAACAAACAACCTTTACGTTTGGTGCTGTGTCTTTCACATCCGAAGATGCCTCAAATGCTTCCCGGGATTTACTATAAAGTGGAGCAAAGGTGTTTTTTTTGTGGGCGGGTGTGGCAGCTAATTTGTCCACTGCAACAAACCACAGAAGCCATGTAGTGAGTGAGTGACCAATTTTATCTGTGGGATTGTTGGCCAGCACACCAGGAGAAACTCCCTCTTTTCGAATAGTGAAATGGGATTTTTAACGTCCAACTGCACACACAAAACAATCCTGGCTTAACATCTCATCCGAACGATGGTACCTTCATCAAACCAGCACGTCCCAACATTACATTAGTCAGCAGAGGCAAGAAGAGTTCCAAGTCCTGACACGCAGCTTGAATCCTTCTGACTCAGGGCTGAGCGTGCTGCTGCGAGCCAGTTGACAATATCTGTATCTGGAATGGAATGTGCACTCTCCCTGGAGGGACATAACCCATTTATCTAATTCCAGAGCGTATTGGGTGCTGATTAGCAAGAGCCAAGGTTTGGGGTAACTTTTGGAATTTAGCCAGCTGGAACCACATTGCTTGGCATTAAATGCAGAACCTGGCAAGCTTCCGACTGCTTATCCAGCTAGGATCACTCTATCCATTATGGCTTGGATCTGAGTGGAAAGAATCCTTGCTACCAATGACCTGTCTCCACCGCCAAGTGCTGTTGATTAACCAGGCTGGCTGGCCTGCCAACAGCAGTGCCATGGAGTACAGCAGTCACGCCTGGCTCAGGAACTGGCCTTCCAAGACCAACAGACAGTTGACTCAATTCCACCATCCCATTGCCAAGCATGTCATCTTGGAGCCAGTTTGGCTTACCTCCCTCACCCCACCAACCCCTGGCAGATAGTCACTGATTGATCATTTGACATTAGGCATCCTGTTAAGTTCTTTGAAATGTTCTCCCAGCGTGAAAGGCACACTATCAATTGCAAGGATTAATATTATGACTAACCATGTCTTAAGGATAATAAAATACAGGATGTTTGAGACTGATTTTTCAAAATATAACTGGATTCTCACCGTTTGTGTCTACAGTCATAGGAATGTTGACTTCCAAATATGAGCCTGCTCCAACATTTACATGTATGGCATTGGTCTCCTAAAACAAACATATATGTCACAAAAAATATTTAGTGCCCATTGGTATTTTAAATATAATTAATAATGCATCCAGATCAGACTTTTTTTTAATAAATCACTCTTCCTTCTGAATCCTCTCCCAAGCATTTTTATTCAAATTTATCTCTATATTTCTAGCAATCAAACTACAAAAGAATGGCACATGAACAAAAGTTTCCATACTTTTCTGACATGTTTACAGAATTATTTTTGAACAAAGTATATTAGACCAAGACCTTTGCATAGTTGGAATTTCAGTGATTAGAAAAAACAACTGATTCTTGTGAACAAGAATTTTACGATATTCACTTGAAAAACAATTCACATAGTGAACAGCTTTCTTTATGTATTTTTNAATTTGACCCATTCCAGCATGGTATCAGTTTGCTTCCCTTGTTAAAGTTCTAATTAAGCTCTTCATGAATCAATCTAACAATTTATCCTTTTTAGTGACAGTTAAAGAATGTTAAGACTTCTCAGACTATTATCGCACTGTCTAACTTGTCACTATAACTCTGGATTAATTTCTCACGGGATCCTCCAAGGATCTAAAAGAGAACCCAATTTTCACCAACACCTCGGACTCCTGATCCATCACCATCTGTCCTCAGTAAATTAGCGATACAACAGGTGTTACAACTCCTACAGACTTTATAACCTGCTACGCTTTCTAATTAGCTCTGCATCTTGTTTTTGACATCTGACATAACCCATAAAATAATCGTGGATGATAAGTAATTAAGTTGTTTGCTTTACCCGGTTCTTGGTAAACAGTAAATCAATGGTGGCATCTGCAATAATATTCATGCGTAATTCAAATGCGAGGATCTGCCTTGGAGTCCCAGGTTTTGCTATCTCAGTGACCTTCAATGGCTGGTAGTCAGCTGGGAAGAAGAATTTCCATAGACTTTCTCTGCGAACAAAATTACAAAGCATTAAGATTTCAATCCCTTTTAACAGGTGCAGGAACTGCATGAAGACAAATCTATGTGAAACCTATTTCCTCATATTTTACCAATATTTTTCTCAAATATAATTTTGCAACAAGGAGAGTAAAAGTCATCAACATTACTGGTATTTAAGGCATTAATGCTTCAGGTCCACACAAAAGAACGCAGACCTTCAGACATCCAGATTTCCCACAATGTCCGGGCAGCAACGGTGAACGGCAGCTTTAACTGTTTAGTGGCTGAAAATATTTTGATAGTGCGTTCACTCTAGGACAGTCTAACATTGATAGTTTGGGTTTCTATACTGCCCAGTGTCACGGTAGCATTAAATATTTCTTCCTTGCATTGATGCCAAAACATAAGTCACTTTGCAATCCAGTCTCCATTCTTTGGTACTCCATCCACGAGTCTCTCTGATTCATCCCCGCTCCCCATCCCCCAACCACTTCCAAAACTCACCTGACCATGTTTGCAGTCACCTTTCCCACCCTCTTCAGCTCATTTCTCCACCACCCCCACTCTTCTCCCACCCCACCCCACTTTGGGTGCTTAGCCAGCTGTGTAAAACAATTTGGGACTTCCAACTGACATGAGAAATGCTATGTAAATAAATGTAAACTGTATTGTACTGTAAGATTTTAATTCTGGTGAAGGGTTAGGAATGCTGACAGAGATAAAGACAATTCCTCTGCTGATACGATTTCCCAACATTGGGCCTGTTCATACACGTTGATGTTTCTATGAAAATTAAAACCTAGGAATGTCAGGCCCTATGAAAACAAGAGAAATCCACAAAGTGAATTGGGAAGAGAAACTGTGAATGTACTGCTGAGCACTCAACATGAAGGAGGCAGGAAGGGAAAAATTGGCGCTATAATAGTTTCTCTAACATACGAATTTTTGAAAAGTCAAAAAAACGAGTAGGATCTTAATATAAGCAGCAGTGTCCAAATTTGTACAGACCAAAAGAGAAATCACTGCAAATAAATGTTCTTCACACACGGTGTATGTGATAATGTGACTTCACAACACATATCAAGAGTGATTCACATTTCTCGTCAGCCCTGCCTCCTGCTACATCATAAATTTTGCCATTATATAAAGAAAAGCTTAATCATTGCAGGTACAGTATTTGATTACTCATTCTTTTTTTTAAACAAAGAAATCGCAATATGTATGGAATTCTATTCAATACAATTACTTCCTTTAGAGAATTTGTGCTTTAATTGAACAGTGGTGTGGGTAATTTCCCTCACTTTATGGTCTATCACATTATCTGGGCACTTTGGGAGATTCATTTCAAATACAAAACTATAAATTAAAAAGATGAGCAATTCATTCAACTGTCCAACTTGCATCCATCATATTTATGGACCATTTTCACAACAATAGTGGAATTTTCCGATGAAAGTTCACTGAGGACTGGATTGGTAAAATATATTAATGTTTTGTTGTTAAAAACAGTCAATCCACTTTACAGTATATTCTGTGAAACACTTTGAGATGTCTCAACGAAATGATAAGGTGCTATGTCAAATGAAAGTATTATTATTAATACACAACTACTGATCTTTGGTATGCTTAAGGGAGATCTCTTTCCCTACACCTCCCCCAACTCCCATTCCAATATCATTCTCAATCACCACAATCGAGAATCCAGCTGCACATCATAACTTCCTACTTGTAGAACATGGCATTCGACTGTCAGTTAGTGGGATATTAGCTTAACTGAACAAAGAACAACAGCATAAACCTGGATTTCTGAAAAAGTAATCATTTATTCACACTGCCCAGCTGTCCTTTTTATCCTTATGTTTAATATAGCACCTGAACACATTGTTAAAATATCTCAAACCTCTTCACAGAATTTACTGCAAATTGTACTGACTGACTTTGTAGGCAAACGCGGCAACCAATTTGTGTTCATCAGCCACAAAGTAAATGACCCATTTTATGCGGAGGAGTGTTGGCTAGATGGCATGGGTTCCGTCGTGTCAAACTTTACAGAAAGCCGGGACCTCGTCGTAACGTCTCATTCCCACCGATGATGCAGCACTCCCCATGCACTGTACTGGAGTGTCAGCCTGGATTACGAGCTCAATATTTTCTTTTGTCTGGCATTTGTCCAACTGTCTTTTGAAATCTATTTTGGATTCTACTTCAACCAAATAAAATTGGTCACTCGCTGTTTGTGGGACAAGATGGCAGCTGTGATTGCCTACAAAATACACAGTCAGACCACTTTACAGTTCATTCTGGTGAAGCACTTTGAACCGTCTCAAAGACACGAAAAGGCGCTATATCAGATAGCAGAATAATTATTATAATAACATTTGACATACAAATCAGCCTCAAAAAGTAATGTTTTGTAGTGCGTAGTTCAATACAATCTACATAAAAAGCGAATTCCCTACAATTTCCTGGTAAGGAATAAAATTATAATGTATGTCACCACAGACAGTTAGTTACCTAATAAAGCTGTAATTAAACAAAGTTGGACAATCTTTTTCGAACTTACTATTTTTTTTTAAATTCATATTTAATTAATTTTTATATATTTATATATCGTTGACGTCTTACAAAACATTGGTCTTGCTAAATTCTAATAATTCAGTGCAAACTTTTCTTACTTGCCCCACGAAGGACATTCTTAAAAGGGCACATCAATGAAAGAACCTTGGATCCTCACCGAGTGACATGACGTGCTCAGCAAATTTGACGTCAACAATTTGGCCAGCGTATTAATGAGTCTGAATTAGTCAGCGCTAAGTTAAGCATCCATCTCTGACAGCGGGTCACAGCCAAAGAAAGTGTATCAATGCACAATAAAAAAATTACAGTATAAATTAATGGCACGAGCTACCTCATGACTCATGCTTTAGGCCCATCCAACAATGTCACTTACAGAGAATCTGAACATTCAGAGGAACGAGAATGAGATAGGTCACATTGGAAGTTTATGATTTAATTTATGAAAGACACTTGATGTTGATGCATTTACATTAGAAATGCTAATATTTGTAAAATGATTACAATCAAATATATTCAGGAACTCAAAAGTTAAATATGGCACTGTTTATATTCAATTACTTAATAAAATATTAGTTTGCTTTTTTTAAAAGAAATACCTCAAATGAATTCCTCACATAAAGAGTATTTAACTGGATTAAGGTAAATGTAGTGACCGTCACCTAACTACACAAAAATTACCTTAATAACAAAGTAAAACTAATGCACTGCAAAACAAAACCATGTGGCAACAAGCATTAATTATGGTTGCATCTCAATATTTTACCTGGACAATTATATAGTTTATTACCCATCAAAAACTCAGTATTACACAACAAAAGGCTCAAGATAATCACTTAGTTAGCTCAAAAAAGTGAGCTCCTGCTCCATTCTATAGAAGTTAGCCCAATGTCTAGTTCATTCAAATTACCACAGCATTCAAAGCCCACCCAGTAGTATTATTTGACGACGTATCGGCCAAAGACTTGCAAACTCAAAATATTTTCACTCCTTGGTTTATGATTAACATAGCATTTTGTATAATACAAACTCAAAAGCTAACAATGCACTTTATTACCTCTGTCTATCTGCCCATGGTCCATAGTTGAAGTCTGTTCCTTTGCCACAAACTATATCAAGTCCCCAACATGGTGGCAAGTCCTGTAGTTTTGTATTTTCACTGGAAGGATCCTCTTCAGCAATTTCTTCAGTTTCTTCAGGGACAATACCTGAAAAGCACAGTGATTAGTATTAGGTTGCCACCGGTCTATCGCCGCTAGCTGGCGTCTCACATTTGCTTAATAGAAACAAAAGAAGGGATGATATTCACCGCAATTGAAACATTAAAGTTTATATTTTTATTGTAAGATTCAAGAAATACTTTGTGCATCTGGCTTTGCTTTTGGATTGACTCAATAAAAATGCAATTCTACCGTTCTTTCCTCTTGTCTTTTTGATCATGCTCAGAATAAATAGAAGGGGCAAAAAGCATTGCTTTCAGCTGCCTCTGCAGCTCAAAGGGTAAATCCACAAACCACTCTGATACTGAGACACACACACCAAATCCACAGGGTCTGCTCTCATCTGATCTCACCCAGGGCATTGCTAAGGGCACAGTAACTGTTCTCCAGTGTTCCCAAATATGGGAAGGAGAAGGGAAAGTAGTCAACCAGGGCTCTCACTCAAGTGGCACCTGTATAAAGCTCTTAATATTAATAATAATCCTTGCATTTGATATAGCGCCTTATTACGTCTTCAAGACGTCTCAAAGTGCTTCACAAAATATACTGTAAAGTTAATTTACTGTATATTTTTGTGGGCGAAACGTGGCAGCCAATCACGCACAACAATGTCCCACATTGTGGATTGAGTGACCAATTCACTATTAATAGATGTCAACGTCATTTGATTTAATTACCACAAAACCCTCTCCTATCAACGAGGTGTTCTGGAATAGAGGAAGGGGGAATGAAGAATATCGAGTGAGGAAGGATTAGGGTTTGCTATGTTGCCTTTCTTGCTCAAATATCCTGCAGACACAAACTATCTAAGCTCACAATAGTCATTTGAGGAAGGCACTGGAAGAATGACAGCATCAATAAATCCCCCACACCACGACATTAGTCGGTGTCTTTAAGTAGAGGACGACAAGAAAGAAATTATCATGGAATGTAATTAAAAATCACTTCTATTGTAATGTTGAACTGATTGGATAAATTTGCTAAATCACACCAAACATACCTGGGGTATCCATGTAGTAATAGATGTCAACATCATTTGACTGCATTACCACAAAACCCTCTCCCATCAAACGAGGTGGCCTGGAATAGAGGAAGGGGGAATGAAGAATTCAAAGCACACTCATTTTAGTGCAAACACTGAAGAAGAAGAAACTATTGGGCCCTTGTTTAACTAAGGTAAATTCTAGGTGCTTTCTTTCTTCCAACTGTATATGACTGGCTGGAACTTCGGGTTAAATATATTCAACAATGGGATTGGGGTTAAACACAGACTAGATTGAGGGGAAGAAATTCTCCTCTGCCTCTCAGTCAAATGGAAGAATTTTGAAATAAGTTTCAGCAGTGTTCACTCAGGCCCTAAGTATCCACACACCCTCAATACAAACCTTCAAAAGGCATGCTTGTCACAAACGCATGTGACAAAGTACAGGAAGAGAGATTGCATTTCACTCACGAAATGCAATTACGTTTACAATTCACTACACTTGACTTGAGAAGCCTTGATACTGATGGGGGTGGAGGGAGGGGGAGGAAGTAAGTCTTCCATTCCTCAGAGCCAACATCTCTACTTTATTGACCTAATAAGGAAAAAACTGTCCAGTGAGCACTTGGCCATAATATAAGATAAGGCCATGGAGTGATTTTAGATACTGAGTATACTGAGGTAATACAGCAAATTAACATACTACATTATCTGTCAGTCTCAGGCACCCTGGTTGCACTTTTCACCAGGTTAAGTGTCTACAGTGCAGCTGCTCTATCTATCCCACTATAACTTAAAGAAGCCTATTCAAGAAATGATATGCATCTTGTGATGTTGAAAGCATACAATTGTGAGCAATGGGTAGTGGCATTTTAAATATGTTAATGATAATCAAACAGATGTGAACCAGCTACAAAATGCTTTTCATTGCATTTTTGCATATATTAAGCAGTCATTTTGTGTGTAAAATGCTTCAGAGCAATACAGCTTATTACTGCAGGTTATCACCCAACTAATTTCACTTCATTCACTTCGGATATTGTAACCACAGCAGCAGCTGGTACTATAATAATATAATAATCTTCAAAGCGCTTCATAGAATATACTGTAAAATGATTTGACTGTATATTTTGAGGGCGAAATGCAGCAGCCAATTGCGCACAGCAGTCCCAGAAACAATCGTGGATTGAGTGACCAAATTATTACTTTTGTTTAAAAAAGAGATTTCCATCCCCGGAAAGCAATCTGCCATTCGACTAATCAGGTTCCTATTGAATGAATGGAAGTGCACACAAAATAGGAAATAATATTTTTTTAGTTACTTACATTACTTTCAGAAATAAGTGAAAATAAGAAAATTCAATCAACCTGTTTGTGTGTGGGGGGGTATTTATTTTATCCAATCAGCATATCTCTCAATTTCCACAGTTCTGCGCTCCCCTCTCACTTCTTCCACTTTGCTAATTCAGGTCTGCTTCACATCTTCACATCCCTGTGACCTCCCTCTGCCTCATCTTCCTGGATCTCTCTGCCGCGTACAACAGTTGACCACGCCATCCTCCTCCATCGTTTCTCCTCCCTCATGCATCTTAGTGGGACCGCACTTGCATGGTTCGAGTCCTACTTAACCAACCGCCTTCACTTTATCTTGGCAAACGGTTTCTCCTCCAACCCCCGTCTTGTCACCTGTGGGGCAACCCAGGCTCCCTTGTTTTCCTCGCTTATGTGCTCCCTCTGGGCGATGTCATCCACAGACACGGGGTAAACTTCCACATGTTTACGGATGACACACAAATCTGCTTTGCCTCCTCCAGCACCAAGTCCAGGTCCCCCCCAATGTTCTATCAGCTTGTCTGGCAGACATCAGGGCCTGGATGAGTGTAAACTTCCTGCAGCTGAATGTGGACAAGACAGACTCCTTTCTACGTCTTCAGTCCTGCAGATCTGAACTCCTCAACCTCCCTGAGCTGTCCCTTAGCATCCGTTTCGACTCCCAACCGTTCTTCCTCCCCCACATCCAGTCCCTGACCAGGACCGCCTTCTTCCACCTCCGTCATATTCCCTGCCTCTGACCGTACCTTACCCCAAATGCAACCGCAATCCTTGTGCACGTGTTTGTCACCTCCCGCCTGGATTACTCCCAAAGCACTCCTCATAGGTCTCCCCAGCTCCACTATTCAAAAAATCCATCTCATTCAAAACTCTGCCGCCCACATACTGACCCGGACCAAACCAGTTCTGGCCCAGGCTTCACCAGATCAACTTCAAGATCCTTCACTCCCTGGCCCCTCCTGACCGCTCTGATCTCCTCACTCCCCAATCCACCACTCAGCGCCTCTGCTCGACTGGCACCAGCTCCTGCTTGTCCCTAGCACCCTCTGCCCTACCATTGGAGGTCGCCCATTCAGCCACTACACCCCCAAACTCTTGAACAATCTGCTTCAATCCTTCGCCTGAAGCCTCGCCTGAAAACCTTCCTTTTCAACTGTGCTTACGGTCACCTACCCCTTCCCCCGGCTCGGAGTCCGGCTCCGCCAATGTTAACGACTCTGAGACTCTACCCTGGGTGGAGGACGCTATATAAATGCAAATTGTTGTTGTTGTCTCCTCTGCGCTACCATTAATAGATGAGCTTTCAGCCATTTTGCCTCTACTCTCTGGATTTACTTGCCTCCAAGCGAGAAACCTGGGTTCGATTCCCAGCAGGGCGAAACCTTGGGCAAATTTCCTTACTCAACACACCTGATAGTAATCCCTCAAGAAAAAAAAAAACAATAATAATTTGGTCACTCAAACCACAACTGTTTGTAGGACACTGCTGTGCGCAATTGGCCCCCGTGTTTCGCCCACAAATATACCGTCAATTCACTTTACAGTATACTACAGTAAAGCGCTTTGAGGTGTCTAGAAGACGTGAAAAGCGCTATATCAAATGCAAGGATTACTAAATCCATCCATCAAGCACCCTCTCGCTATGCTTTCCAAACTAGTCTAAAAACGTCTGACTGAGTCTTTGCCAGCAACAGCCCCTCCCCACCCCCCACAAGTCTTTATGAAGTACGTGAAAGGTGTCAGACGAGTGCAAGAGGATGTTGTTTTGTTGTTACTATATTTGCATGTGGTGCAATAAAGATCTAATTTGATTCTCCGATTCATTGGGGCAATGAGTATCACCACATACATCTCACAGCAGTCGCATTAAAGCAGAAGTAAAGTCTCGGGCAGTACTTTCTATTCACGGAAATTAAGCCATGCTCATCTCCTACTCGTACCTAATATTTTTTAGTTCAGTCTGTTATTAGATTATAAAATAATTAGCTAAAAAAGGGAAGAAATAATCATCACTCGTTTCCAGTGGAGCAAAACGCCAGCATCTTCAGTTATGAAACGCTATTAATTTTTTCTGCAATATCAGTGACAAATATATTCAAATCATTCTTGCCGCTGGCTTGAGCAAGTGTAGAACTTTGTAGATATAGCGTCTAATGCCCTGAATAATGTCAAAATGTATTTGTGCAACATTCAATTAATGCTAGCAGTTTGTGCAAGAATGAAGAGATGCCACAAATATTTACCGAGTAAAGCTTGAGCAATTTCATAACTAAAAATTGTAACAAGAAAACAATTGACGTAGTCCTTAAATTAATTTCTAACACAAGTGAATGCCATTTTTATAGTACACTGTGACTCTATACCATTAATAACAAAAGTTTTAGCATACTCATCATTTTGAACGACAACAGCTTTCAGACTAGGAACAAGCATGACTCGAACATTTTCCAATTTCCCTTTCACGATGTGCATAAAACGATCAAGATGACTAGAAGGTGGTTTTGTAGTATAGGTCAGGAAAGCGTCATCAAAATTTATGCAAAGCGTTTGAGGCAAAAAGCGATTTCCAAATGCCAAACGACCCTAGTGACAAAACATTTCATTAGTTTTATTAGAAGCAGAGACAATAATTTAATCTTAGTCCCTTATTATCAATTTTGGAAAAAAATAACATTTTGTTTCAGTGCAGTGGAAGCCCACATGTTCCCATAACCTCATGATTGTACTGGGGCCAAAATGTGGAAGTGGTCAGGATGAAATGTTGACAAAAAATTATAGTTAAGCACTTGCAGAGTGTGCATGTAGTACTACAGTGATAGTTTAACTTCTTTTTGGTTAGTATTGCAGCCAATTTGTATTCTGTGTAACTTGGTATCTTTGCTGTTTTTATAAACACAATGACCCAGTCTCAATTTGTGTGGGTAGCAGACTCTATACAAAATATTAGACACCTAAAATAAACATGAATCACAATTCTGTGAAGGTAAAACTATGAAAAGATTTGATATGATGGATGTTGCTACTCATTATAATAATTGTAAACCTTGCATTTTATATAGCATCTTTTCACATCAGCAAGATGTCTCAAAGCACTTCACAGAATTTACTGAAGAATCCAGACTGTATTTGTAGGTGAATGCAGCAACCAATTTGTATACACTGATGTCACACAAACAGCCATGAAGTGAGTGACCAATTGTATATTTTGGGGGGATTGCTGACGAGGAAACCAGGAAAAACTTCCTTCGCTTTTCAACTAGTGCCACGGGATCTTTAATGTTCACCTGGACAGGCAGATGGGACCTCGGTTTAATGTCTCATCTGAAGGACAGCAACTTTGACAACATTGAGTCCAGAACAAACCAGGCTTCTACATATATAATGATAACAGATTTCCCTCTTGGCTGCTCGAATTAATTATTTTGCTCCAGGCCTAAGTAGCTACAACCAGGCTCTATGCGATTGTGGGACACACAATATTATTGCACTCTTCTTCAACAGAGGAACACTGAAAAAATTAGACAAAAAGTAAACAAAATGTACTTACTGTATTGATATCCATTTTAATGACTGGAATCAATGATCGCCAGGACGATGAGGGGTCTTGTGTTTCAGTTTTAGCACTGTGAATTATAACACAGTATTCCCTGTTATTACACATTTCATTAAAGTGGGTTTGGGTTGTGGACCCTGACATTTTTTCCATCTTAAATACCCCATATCCCAATTCAAAACATCTAAATCTATTGTCACACTCAGAGTCACATTTGAAAACGTGATCGCAGCAACACAATCTGAAGTGCAATGACTTGTTTTGAAGCTCGATTAAGTGATTTCAAGTATGATGTGCTCAAGCACAGTGCCATCACTAGGTAACGTCAACACAGAAATGCTGACTGATGACCATTATCGATCGCTCTCAGGTAAAACGTGGGATGCAATTGTATGCCTCCACCCCACCATCCCCCACACAACCTGCCTTATAACTGGCATATACTGTGAAATATAATTTTAATTATCAGTGGCACAGATCATGTATGACGTTTCTAAGGTATTTACCAACAACAATAATCCTTACATTTGATATAGCCCATTACCATGACAACTAAATCTCAAAGTAATTCACAGGATTTATTGTACAGTGACTATCTGAGGTCTAAAGCAGCAACCAATATTCACCTTGCATTGTCTACACACACATACAACCATGAAATGGAATGAATAATTATATCTGGAGGATTGTGTCAGCCTAGATCAGTTTGCAGCAATCTCGCCTCCGAGTCAGAAGGTCGTGGGTTCAAGCCCCACATTGTGACTTTGAACTCTCAGTGTAGGCTCCCGATCCCCAGGAGAGCTTGGGCTTGCAATGTTGGAGGTACAACCCTTTAAATGAGATGTTAAACTGAGATCCCGCCTGCCTGTTCAGGTAGATGTTAAAAGATCCTGTGACACTATTCGAAATGAGAAGAAAGTTACTCCCGGTGTTCTGGCCAACATTTTCCCCAGAAAGATTGTATCTGGATCTTTCACTCATTTCATGGCTGTTTGTGAGACACTGCTGTGCGTAAATTGGCAGCGACATTCGCCAACAAATACAGTCACGATGCAGCATAGCAAAATCCTGTGAAGCAATTCCTATGTTCCTATGTGCTTGACGAGTCTCAACAACACGATAAGGCACTGTACCACAAGCAAAAACGATCACTGGTGTATTGCATAATAGCCTTTCCCATTCCTACACAACTCAAATGCTAGATTTTAGAAAACATTCAGCACATCATTCAACTTGAAAGATTTGAGGAAAAGAACATGAAAGAGCACCGTGTGGAACGAGCACACTCAAGTGAAGTGTTTGCCTGATTTCTGAGAGCAAGTGTCTGATGAAAATTGACAAATTTGTGCAGGACCGAGCACGCATATTCTATCGCTCTTTTCAAATGAAACTCGTGATAATATTGCCAATCACAAATCATATATGTACAATTCTGTTCATTTATATTCACACAATCGTGCTTATTTATATTCACAAGAACCCGTTCATTAGGTAGAGCATATGTTAAGGAGCCAAATATACTAAGGATTAGTTTCAAAAGCAAATACCATCAAGAAATTTCTGGGTATCTTTATAATTTCAGCATTGTTAATCGCTAAAGAATAGTGCATTGTTGAATGATTTACATTTAAGCACTGCTAGAAAGATCAGTTTATATTGCAAACTTTCAAAATATCCCATTTGCCCAACCCCTGAAAGGTCAACTATGTTAAATAATAGGTAGAAAGCAACTGGAAGAGAAATAATTATTTCCCACCATTATATATTCCAAACTGTATAGCTGCTTTAATGTTGGATTTACTAATTTATCTCAAATTTACATTGTTTGCTCAACAGAATACAAACTATTTAATATACCGCTTTTTTCAGCCACTGTGAAGCGCTCCAGGACACTAACCCCACGAAGGGCGCTATATAAATGCAAGTTGTTGCTGTTTTCTGCTCACACTCTCCCCTTGGCTCACGGGACCAGACCCGACCTCTTCTCTCCCACTCCCCTCCCGCTGTTCTGGCTAGCTGGGGTTTTAGTGTACTGTTGCAATCTAGTGAATTCTAAAAATTCAGACTCTAAGTCAATATTTAACAATTTACACTCGCCTCGCAAGCGAGAGATCTGGGTTTGATTCCCGGGCGGGTCGAATTGTTGGGCAAGCTTCCTTACTCCACATGCCTCTGTTTACCTAGCAGTAAGTAGGAACCCGGTTATTAGTCGATTGGTGGATCACTTTTCCCCAGGTAATAATTCCTTCAAAAATAATAATAAATTGGTCACTTCAATCCACGACTGTTTGAGGGACACTGCTTTAGCGCAGTTGGCTGCCGCATTTCGCCCACAAAATACAGTCAATTCACTTTACAGTGTATTTTGTGAAGGCCTTTGAGATGTCTCGAAGACATAAGGCGCTATATCAAATGCAAGGATTATTATTATTTACATAGACAGCCTGTCTATCCCAGATAGTGCTATGGAAAGGCAAGAAGTTACCAAAATCTTCTTTAAATACAGCAAAATTGCAATGCACATCTGGGAATTATGATGTGCAAGCCCAGTGATGCAAATGAATGTTGAATAATAATAATAATGTGTGCAATATTCCATAAAAGTACTACACTACACCAGAGTGGAAAGATGGAGGTTGTTGTCCAGGCTTCCCATTTCTCAATCTCAGCTGGGCTGTTAGAGCACACTCACTGAGCAGAACCAAGTCAGGTTTCCAAATTCATCAGGTAGTGAACTGCAGACCATCCATTGATTTGCTTACTTCTGGTTTCAATAACACAAAGTGCCTGGGAGTTCAGTGGGACCCATACAGGGGACAGGGTAAAAGAGATAGAACATCATTTCATCTGGTCACCCATCATCCCACAAGATCCCTTCTATGCATCTGTAATCAAGCCTAGTTTCCATACCTTTCAAGATTAGACTTGTCTTTCCCTTCATGTTTTTTGATCTTTCTGCCTACTTTTTTGGGAAAAATTATTGTTGGTTCCAATCCAAATACTTCTTCTAAATGTGCATATAGGTCACAGCGGTTGTAAACGTGGAATTCAAAGCCATTCACTGTCATATACAGTCTTGTTTCCGCTCTTGGATCTAAAAAAAAACAAAGGTAGAGACCAACATTAGAAAATAATGTTTATCAAAAAATCATAGTCTAAAATTGTAGGAATTATGAGTTCAAAGTCCCGACACGGAGCTTCAAACCACAACATTCTGAGGCAAGAGTGCTACCAACTGGGCCAGACCGACGCATAAACTGGTCTTGCATTGAAAAAATAGCTCCAAAAAACAAAGCACAGAATGATCCAATTGAATTAAACAATTGCTAGGTGATTAAAGTGCTAGTCAACTGCTAAACTATTAAAGGCTTGAAGAGGGGTATGGGAGGACCAGGGTGGGGTAGCAGGATTAACTGAATAGTTTGCTCTGAGGGCTGGTGCAGACCAAATGGCCTCCTTCTGCACCATAAATTTCTATGATTCTGTGAATCAATTTATTGATGACCGCTGTTACCCTTGGAACTGGATGAGTAAACCTGCGCAATGTTTGTGATGCCAAGATATCCAGCCAGGCTTTTTATGGAAAGAAACATTTTTTTCCCCAGCAGGAAGGAGGCGTGGGCCAGAAAGATTGGCTCTTTGGCCCTGATGGCCAGAATCAATTTGCAGATTAGAAAAGGCCCAAGGGGAAATCCAATGACACAGTACAAATGGTAGGATACACTCCAGCGCTCACTACCAACAGATTCTTGAAAATTGCCTCTCTTAAAAATAAAGAGCAGCAGCATGAAAACATACCTCATTTGAATGTGGGTTTGCTTCCACTACGTATTTAGAGAAAATTCATGGAACGTTAGATACCGATTGTTTAAAGTTGACAAAGAATTTGATGAAACTTTTTTTCTTATAAAGTCCAACAATTTATAACAACCTCATTCTGATGTTGAAGATTGTTATACTGGACTGCAACAAAGGGCAAAGAAATTGGGACAAAAATCAACAGGAAAAAATGGATAACCTTTTACACCTTTTGTGGGCATTTTGTGATAAAGCACAATATCAAATGCAAGGATTATTATTACGGTAAACCTATGGTATACCAGAAGTGCAATATACCTGGCCTCCTGCACTGACTAGCTAGCTTCCCACATCATTAAAATGTCCTAAGATGGTTCACAGGTTTCTGTAAAGTGTTGTGGCTGTGCATTTATAGAGGAATACTGCAGTCAATTTGCGCACAGCAATGTCCCGCAGCCATGAATGATCAATATATTAAACAATATAGTAACAATATAGGACAGAAGGGAAAAGCGAGTCACATCGAAGAGAAGAATGTCTTCTCTTCAACATGACTTTCGCTTTTCTCTTTTGTCTTGTTCACCTTCTTTACTACCAATGATCAATATATTGTGGAGTACTGTAGCTCAGGGGTTAGAGCACTCGCTTTCCAAGCGAGAGACCTGAGTTCAATTCCAGGCAGGTCAGAGCGAAACCTTGGGCAAGTTTCCTTACTCCACACAGAGCCTAATAATAATCCCTCCAAAACCAGAAACAATAATAAATTGGTCATTTTCAATCTATGACTGTTTGTGGGACATTGCTGTGTGCAATTGACTGCCGCGTTCGCCCACAAATATACAGTCAATTCACTTTACAGTGTGTTCTGTGAAGCGCTTTGGGACGTCCCCCCGACGTGAAAAGCGCTATATCAAATGCAAGGATTATTATTATTATTATTATGTTGGCCAGGACAAACTCCCTCCTCTTTTCAAACAGTGACATATATTTAACTTCCACCTGAAAAGACAGGTGTTGGTTTAACATCTCACCCACAGAATGATAACTATGATAATGCAGCACTTCACCAGAAGTATATTGTTCTGTTAGCCTGAGCTCAAAGTCCTAACGTGAGGCTTGATCCCATAACCTGTGTCTCAGAGGCAAGAGGGTACCACTGAGTCAGGCTGACACCGATAGTGACAGTATAACTCCGCATGGCAAAAATTATTAGATAGAACTGTAACCAATTAGTATTCTGTTTGATATCGTATTAGTCTCACTGTTTGCAGACTAAAAATGGAGTCAGTCTCAATTAGTGTAGACAATCGTCTCTAACAAATCAAGTCAAATCTTTTGTGTGGAGTTGGACTTGGAGCCAAGAATACCAACAATTGACAATGCTAATTTCCTCTGCAGGCAAACTCATAGTGTAAATGCAGAGCAAAACAACTTCTGCACTGAAAAGGCTCAGATTTCTTGAATCTTAAACAAAACAATGCTATGAGAAGCGTTTTCCTAAGAATTTCTGACTCATGTACTTTGCTATTCTACACACAGATTTACAATGTGACCCACCTCTGGCAATTTTCCACACCCATTTCTGAATGGAATGTGGCACTGCAATCATAATCATAATAATCCTTGCATTTGATATAGCGCCTTATCACATCATTGAGATGTCTCAAAGCGCCTCACAGGACAAACTTCTCTTGTAGAAGATAGGCTACCACCCATGTAATGATAATACTGCACGTTTTATAAAACAGCTCACTGAAAAACACTGCAAACATTTAGACTCCTGGTGATGAAAATGTGTTTGAATTCAGCTGCTATTTATCGCCCAAGGCTGATTGAGCTGGCAAATAAGGCTTAAACAGTGTAATGAAAATAATCTTTTTCAGCTCAGACAAACAAGGGCCTCTCGGAGTAATTAATTTGCATAAATTGTGCGTAAATATCAGGAAAGCAAAAGCCAATCTAAAAATCTCCAGCTACAGTTCTGTCTTTTCTGATAACAGTTTCCAACGTGGTTAAAGAAATACAATGGGGTCTGTCACACATTGTAACACAAAACCTCTCTTAGCAATCAGCATATGGTAGACCACTCTGTGAAGACACAAAACTTGAACCCATTGTTTTCTTTCAGTTGCTCACGTATCTGCTGCAGATTACCAGTGTGTGTTATCAGAACACTCTGCCAGAAAATTAATTAAAGTGTTAAGTTTTACTTTTCCTAAGGGGAAGAATTATGAAACAAGAGTTCAAAAGGTAATCTGGGATACAAAAATGGAAAATGTCAAAAACAACTGCGATATAGAGTACGTTTCCTCTCTCCATTGACGAATGGATCAGACAAACACCTTTGGGTTTCTTATTTATGCACCTCAGCAAACATACTTATGCACCTCAGATGTATCAAAGACATTGAAAATAAATAATAATCTTTACATTTGGTAAAGTGATTTTTATATTGTAAGGATGTCTCAAAGAACTTCAGAGTTAACGGTAAATTGGAATACTAATATTAAGAGGATAAATACACAATATTAAGAGGCTAAAAATGGCAGCTGATCAGCGCTTCGGATGTCAGAAGCCAGAAGGAGGCCATTCAGCCCACCAAGTCAAGGAGGGTTTCTGTAATTCTTTAAAGAAATTTAGAGGAGACTAACATTCAAAATTAAGGATGTGTATCTATATGCTCTCAAATGTTACATAAATAAGAGTAAATCTAAACCCAATGAAAGTGAGGAGTGGGATCAAATCACCTGCCCAAATTACTGACAAAAAAAAGAAACTTACCGTGCTGCTTCTGCTTAGGATTGTACATTTTCCACCATCTGAAGATGAGAAACCCATCTTGGATTCTAGAATTAAAATTACAGCAAATTATGGAACACGACCACAATGTAACCTACAAAAAAACATTTATTGCAATCGTTCTATGACACTCAAACATATACAATCAGGTTAAAAGAAATTATGCCACTTCGGTAAATATTTATAATCGACTCCAGGACTATTGTTGTTCTGCCAAACTGCCAGTCAAATATCAAATCCTGGATGAGGGTAACTAACTCAATGGTGACAAAACTGTGGCAACCTGCTCGACTCCCCTCAGCTTTCTCCACCCCCCCCTCTCCTATCCCTTGCATTTAACAACTTGATTTATATAGTGCCCTTCACATGGAGCAGTGCCTCAATACGATGATCCCTGCCTTTTACACATCTGACCCCATTTCCCTCTCATCTCCTGCATGAAATCTATCTCGCCTGCCAAAACTATTTTCCTTCAAAGCTTGTCGACACTTTCTTTCAATGGTATGTCTCTAATTATGAATATTTTAAACCATTAATAGATTTCATTTATTCTGTATTGGATGCCAACTCTGACCTAAAGTTTTTTATGTGCACAAAAGTACATGATCATATTCTACAGTTTCCAAAAAAATGTTGTAAACCCTAATATTTTAGAAACACAAGTCTAGTTAACTAACGTTAGACTACACCAAACCAATTTGCATTAAAATTACCTTCAAAAGCAAAACTACAACATAGTATATTGCAGATTGTAAAGCAATAGTTGGAGGAGAGTATGACATTATATTTGATCTATATGAACACAGTTTCTTCTTTTACAACAGCTCCCAGCTGAGGTCACTAAATGATTGTACAACAGAAATACATGAACACGATTTATCATTTTATACGTTTGCACACTTAAAAAAAGTCCGGAAACAAACTGTCTCATTGTAACTCGGATCCTTTAATTAACATTGTGTCTATTAACAATTAATTCAAATATCAACTCACTTATCAATATAGTTCTTACCTGATGGACAGGTCTTCATTGATGTAATAAATTTCACGAAACATGACCTTTCCGGACAGCACAGAAAATGAAAAAGAACCTGTGGAAAAGATAGAAATAGGTTATATTTTTTTCCTTACACAGTAGAACTAAGAGATTTTTTAAGTGGAATAGAAAGAAATAATGAGTGATATTCCACAGGTCAGTAAATTTAACGGTCTTGATGCCTTTAATGCCTTATTTTTTTTAAATTACAAGAAAATATCACCCCAAGATTTCATTGGCAACTATGTTCAAAAGATACATGACTCATATATAAATAATTTACATCATCTAAAATGGCACATCTTTGTGCTGTGTTGTTTCACAAATATAAGATGATTGTAAACCAGGAGCACTAATTTATGAATTTGTCTTAAAAAAAATCATAATTCTGCTCTCTCAAAACTGCAGTTTCAGTAAAATGGCAGTAGAGACTACACATCAACAACAAGATTCCAATAAATTATGGACATAATTGATTATAATGTGGAGTCCTGTAGCTCAGTGGTTAGAGCACTCGCTTTGCAAGTGAGAGACCTGAGTTCAATTCCAGGCAGAGGGCGAAACCTTGGGCAAGTTTCCTTACTCCACACAGAGCCTAATAATAATCCCTCCAAAACCAAAAACAATAATAAATTGGTCATTTTCAATCTACGACTGTTTGTGGGACATTGCTGTGCGCAATTGGCTGCCGCGTTCGCCCACAAATATACAGTCAATTCACTTTACAGTATGTTCTGTGAAGCGCTTTGGGACGTCCTCCCGACGTGAAAAGCGCTATATCAAATGCAAGGATTATTATTATTATTATAATGTTCCTCAGACCTCTGATTTATGTGGTCATGCTGTGTAGAGGATATTGTTACTCAACAAAAAAGCAGCACTATATAATTTGTGTGCTGCTTACAATTAAATGCAACGTACCAATGTGGATATATCCATTTTTATAAAGTCTGTTGAGAACCAGTGTCAATATCAGTCCTAAGTTACGAGAGTTGTAGTAGGTCAAGTAAATAATCCATCCACATGATAAAATTGTAGCTGTAAAATAAATAAGATTGTAGGATCAATTAAAGCCAGAACAAGCAACAATTTACACTCCGGACGTAAGCATTATGCAATTCAAAAAGCAAATATGTTGCAATCGCATGCAAACCAAATAGAAAGTTATTATACAACCAAGAAAATTTCTTCATTCCATTTTGATTGCACTTTCATGCTTGGAACGAAATCCTGTTTTAGGAACAAAATCAAGCCATGGGTCATTTGGCCTGTCCTATGTCAGGGGTTGAGCTCATAATCCAGTCTGATAATCTGCAGAATTGGGGTGTTGCTGCATTGTCAGAGGGCCCATCTTCAGATGAGATGTTAAAACACAATCCCATTGCCTATTCAGAAGGAGATCTCATCAAACCATTCAAAACGAAAAGGGAGTTTTCGAATAAATTGAGTTATTTTAGGATTCAAAACAGCAACTTCTTCTCATCCCTTCCCTCGCCTTATTCAATGTCCAACGCAAGACTTTCCTCTTTGACTGCACCTTCAGTCATCTTTCCTTCGCGACCCCCCACCCCCACACTAAATCAAACTCCCAGCTCGGGTTCAAATCCTCGACTATCCAGCGTTAATTTCATTATGGTATCAATTATTTATTGTTCCATCACACAGTCCTCAGTATGTGGGGAACTGAGCCTCAATCAATTTCTAACCTCAGCAGAGGTTACGTCAACAGATACACGCTATGTTGTCAAGTGCGTAAGAGCAGTCCGCAAACAGACTTCCTCTTGCATTCGACTTGAGATTGAGACATGCGTAGGTAGATTAGTGCAACGATGGCTGGGAGTTGCCAAATCCAAGTCTGAGCGAGGAATGAAATATACAACAAACATGATTGTGCTCAGAACTTATTCTTTAAAGGCCACAGAAAAAAGAAAATTATAATAGGTCCTTATTATTACAGATCCATTCAAGAGGAAGTTAGACCTTTACATGAGGGGGAGGGAATAGAATTTTTTTTAAATATATATTTATTTATAAATATATTTGGTACAACAGAAATCCAAAACAAACTATCCAAAACAACGTACAACATCTTCTGTTACAATTTTTTTCCCTTTCTCCCGATATAAAATAGTTGTTTACGGTACGTTCCTTCCCCGCGCACAGGTTGTGCACGTGTTTTTTGGGACGCCACCTTTAAAACAGTCGGGAGTGGCCCCGTGGGCACCACATCCATGCGCTTTGAGAGATCTCGAAGATGGTGCTATATCAAATGCAAGTAATATTATTATTGAATTGAGAACCTTCTGATCCAGAGGCAACTAAAGCCAAGGTGACATCTTGGCATTGATTCAATGCTTAACATTCTGTATAAACTAATGTTGAGCAAGCACAAATTGAGCTATAACAGTGTTCCTGACACAGCCTGAATGTCAGGAGCAGCTAATAGTCGTAAACAGGATGTATAAATACAATGTATTGCTTTGGGAGGGAAGTGTATTATATCTTGTCCAAATCCCAGAGACAGAAAGGGAAAAAATGTGCTATGGTTAAGTATTAGTATTGCCTATCAGTTACACCAATAACATTTTGAAGTTAGGTGGTCATTATCCAAAACATTAGCAGTGTGCAACATTCAAGCTACTTGAAGGTTGAATCCCAAACTTCTTGATTTACTAATGTAACGTGAAACAATAAATAATATTTTACAATGAATTTCAAAACTCAAGTCAAATGAATTGCATCAAAAATGTCATCGCCCATTCTATTGGGCTTTGAATGAGAGGTTCTAACCCTTCGAAAAACTGCATCTCAGATGTATCAAATATTTAGTATCATTATATATTTATAGCCACGCAACAAGAGTCTTATGTATCTTATGAAATTATTTCAAAAATGACTGGTACTACCACATGTATTAAATCAATTGCCAATAATTTCTTACATACTATGGTCTCTCTAGGTGCTGTGTATATTTAATCTGCAGTACAAACATCCAATTTATATTCAAAATTAGTAGAAATGTACACCAATAACTTTAAGATTTGGGGATTTTATGGAGTTCAATTGTGTTATATTGAGGCTCCGCTGTTTATTTAGGTCTGGGAAAGATCTCAAGGGGCTTCATACAATTTACTGTAAGGTATAGTACTGTGTATTTTGTATTCAAATGCAGCAGTTAGTATTTGAACAGCAGTGTCACACACAGCCATGAAGACAATGGCTATAAGATTAGAGGGAACCCATACGTTGTCATCATTTGATTAAACCATGAATAATGAACTTATTTGTGCATTAGTTTTTTTTAAGAATTAAAAAAACACCACTAAAGGATTTTCAAATGACTTACCAACAAAGAGCCACACAACATTAGAATCATGTTCAGTAAGAAAACCTTCCAAATCTGTAAACGAGGGGACAAAGCTCCCATTTTCTTTTCGATGATCCATTACTCTTGTTAAGATGGATCACCACAGTCTTACTACCTGGGAGGGAGAAAATAAGAAATAAGAGTTAAACTTTTAAGTTGAAACAGTGTTAGTTACCGTACCAGATCAAAAGCAACGGCAAGTATGCGCAAGAAATAGGTTCCCTTGTCTATCAAATCAACCGTTTTGACCTGCATGTTATTAAAGAGAAAGAGTATTTAAAAGTGGCTGGAATAGAGCCAAAGATGGAGTAGTACAGTAGCATCACAATTGTCCCAACGCTGAACGTGGAGTCCTGTAGCTCAGTGGTTAGAGCACTCGCTTTGCAAGCAAGAGACCTGAGTTCAATTCCAGGCAGAGGGCGAAACCTTGGGCAAGTTTCCTTACTCCACACAGAGCCTAATAATAATCCCTCCAAAACCCAAAACAATAATAAATTGGTCATTTTCAATCTACGACTGTTTGTGGGACATTGCTGTGCGCAATTGGCTGCCGCGTTCGCCCACAAATATACAGTCAATTCACTTTACAGTGTGTTCTGTGAAGCGCTTTGGGACGTCCTCCCGACGTGAAAAGCGCTATATCAAATGCAAGGATTATTATTATTATTATTATTATTACTGAGAACACAACAAATTTTGCGCAAACTATTTTGCACACACACACACAGTTCTGTGTATTCGCCTACAAATAGTCACCACAAGTCAACCTGAGGCCGGTTACGACACAAAGTCATTACAACTAAGAACTCTTCTAAATTCTCCCTTTTAGTCCAGGAAGCAGCTGCTTTTCTACATGAATGCACAGTGAACACAGAAATAAGTGCTGGCTTGTGATCACACCCTTTTCTCGGCAGGTTGGGATTTATCCACCCACGACAGCGGTGTGTAATGGTGTTCTAATGTAAATAAATGTTAGTTGTCGGGAAGAAAAGGTGAGTTTTACCTTGAGATATAATGGTGCTCCAGGTAGAAGCAAGGCCTTTCTATTTTCCTGTCAGAGCTGCGTGGCTTCCTGGTTTAACACACTGCATTTATCTTAGAAACAGACTTCTCTATGCAGAAATTAACATTTTCATTTTGTTTATCACATGTATTAAAACTATTTATTTCATCCCAAAAATTAACATTTATATTACACTGAATTCCCAACTCATACATATCTATATCTCACATCTATTTTCTTTGCATCTCCCATCACCCTTCGTTATTTTGCATCTTTATTTCCAGTAATTTCCTCCTACACTCAGTAGTCAAGGAATGACTGAGTTTGTTACTCAACCACTAAATTTTACTGCAGTCTGTTTCCTTGCCTGGAGTAATAGTGCAGATGGGAAATCGTGCTGAATCATTGAGCCAGTTGGAAGGAACACAATCAACAATACTCAGACTCTAAATAGCTACATCTTAAGGGACATGTCCATATGCTTATCAAAATGCCACTGAGTTGCACCAACTAATTCTTAAAAGTAATTCTCATGCAATTCTTGTGGACTTTTCTTCAAAGTGAAATGTAAATTCTGTAAACCTATGGATTCTGCTAAATGTATTTTCCAAACTATAAATGGTTCCCTTGTTCCGATAATCATCCTTGCATTTGATACAGCGACTTCCGTGTTGGGAAGACGCCTCAAAGTGTTTCACAAGAACCTAGCGACTCTGCAGAGAAGCGAGGCAGCCGATTTACAGCGACATTCCACAAATAGCCATGCAGTGAAGGACGATCTATCTGAAGGATTGTTGGCCAGGACGCTGTGAGAAACTCCCTTCTCTTTTCAACTAGAGCCATGGGATCTTTAATCCTTAGCATCTCCCTAAATAATCAGATGGGACCATGGGTTTACATCTCATTTGAACCTTCAACAACGCAGTGCTCCCCCAGTACTGTATTAGTGTCGTCCTAGAACTTGAGAGTCCACCTTCTGATACAGAGGCCAGAATACTACCGACTGAGCAAGGCTGACACTTCCACACAAGTCTCATTTCCTCCATCTAAATAGCAAATAGCAAAGTATCTGCTCTCAGGCTCCTGCCAATATAATTAAGAAGCTTCCAACTTTTCTTAATCCTTTTCCAAGGTCCTCTCCCTTGTGTAAGCAATTCTTCATAGAGAGAATTGGGAATAGTTCAGAATAAAGGCTATGAACATGCACTCTTCTAATCTGAAGCACTGATATCATACTATTTGGTCATCTTTCACACACCGGTATATGGAGGGTCATATACATTAGGATCCTTTAGCAGTAATGGAAGTAAAACCAAGAATTGACTTTTACAGAAATGAAATGGTAGTGTTTTATTCAACTCCATTGTTGCAAACCTGTTGCAGACTGAAAGATCACAGGGGGTAATTATGAGGCGCTGTAGGAATTAATCGAGACACTGATCTGCTCTTCCCTCAAACGCAAAACTAGATTAGCAGCTTACCTGCGGGCATCCCTTATCTACAGGAAACCAAAAGTAACGTAGCATTGTCTAAGATTTTGCTAAAATTCCATTAAAAAAAAACAACCGGAAACTCTGAACGCCCATCATGCCAGGTTCCCAGAACTAACTCTTTCCTAATATATAAGTACATATGTGAACAAACGAGATCATTGTTAATTCTAGAGTCTCATTAATCCTTCAACATTTTCTTCAGGTATTTACTACCCGAATGTTTACCACTCAGGTAATAAAAACCTGAAGAAAATGTTGGTTGGCATCCCTGCTGAAGAATTAATGAGACTCCAAAATTAGCAATACTGAAACAACAACATGTGAACTCTTCGAGGACATGATGATATCTGCTTTAGACCAGCATCTCATTCAGTGTGAAGTGACCAATGAGAATCAGCAAAAAGACACACTTTGGAAACCTCTCTCAAAGAGAGAACATCGGTCGATGTATTAACTGAAAAAGCGCTTTTTCGGGAAAGAAGAAGGGGGGTTGTGCTGGGGTCTACTGCTTTGAACTTTCGTATTCTAGGCTGATACTCCAAAGTCCAACCAATGTTTTTTTCATCAGTCGGGTATCTGACACACACAGAAGCCCTTCGCCATGCACAACAGTACAGCGCTGGGTTGCACCGCATTGTTGAAGGTGCTGGACAAGTTCCCGTTGACCTATTCAGATGAATGATAACAATCACGTGGCGTTATTCAAACGGACAAGGGGGGGATCCTTCCCCAATAATGTGCTTCAGGCATAACTTGAGGAGAGCACTTTTTAATCTGTCAGTATAACATTTCCCATTTCTATTTCTCAAAGTTATCTGTAGCCTCGGAGCATTAGATTACCAAATTAGTACTAAATTAGGGGCTTCTTTGTGCTGTGAGTCTACACATACTGGAAGCCAGCCCAAATTCATTTAACACAAGCAATAGATCAATAAGACTTTCAACCATTAAACTGGGCTAGATTTCAACACGGATTCTAATCTACTGAGCATTTCTTCCCCCAAATTCTCTTTTTCATGATATTATTTATTGGATTTAATAAATTCAGAGTACAAAACTCAAATTATTAGCAAGAACTGGAATAATAATAATAATAATAATCCTTGCATTTGATATAGCGCTTTTCACGTCGGGAGGACGTCCCAAAGCGCTTCACAGAATATACTGTAAAGTGAGTTGACTGTATATTTGTGGGCGAACGCGGCAGCCAATTGCGCACAGCAATGTCCCACAAACAGTCATAGATTGAAAATGACCAATTTATTATTGTTTTTGGTTTTGGAGGGATTATTATTAGGCGTGTGGAGTAAGGAAACTTGCCCAAGGTTTCGCCCTGCCTGGAATTGAACTCAGGTCTCTCGCTTGCAAAGCGAGTGCTCTAACCACTGAGCTACAGGACTCCGAATACAGCTCCAGCACTGCTAATTCACCTTTCATTCTCCAGGAAAGATATCCTGTTACTGCTGAAACCGATGGGAGTGAGAGGACTGATAATACCTGGATGGTCTTCCACCCAAATAACTATTTACATATCTTTCTGGCTAGGTACAATGATGAATTAGACGAAATGGAGATCATTGGGATCCTTCCAATTCCATATTGCAAAGATAGCTGCAGGTTCCAAGGTTTACAGTTTGAGAATCAGTTAATTTATACAAAATGAATTATCTAAGATACATATCTGCAGAGATAGCTTGTTGTGCTTAAATTTAATAATCCTTGCATTTGATATAGCACCTTATCATGTCTTCAAGACTCAAAGCGCTTCACAGAATATGCTGTAAAGTGAATTGATTGTATATTTTGTGGGCGAAGCGTGGTAGCCAATTGCACACCATCGTAGATTGAATGTCCAAATTATTATTTTTTTAAAAAAATTTGAATAGATTATTATCCCTGCAAAGCAATCTGCCAATCAACTAACAGCCAGGTTCCTACTTACTGCTAAGTGAACCTAGGTGTACGTAGTAAGGAAACTTGCCTACGGTTTTGCCCTGCCTGGAAATTGAACCCAGGTCCTCTCGCTTGCGAGGCGAGTTCTCTTAACCAATAAGCTATAGAACTCCAAATTTGATGAAATAAGATGATGGAATTTATTCATTTGTTTTCCCCACTGCATTGAATGCAATTCTAAAATCTAATGAAATATAGGTGGCAACACAAAAAGATATCTTGTCTGTTAACTAATATTTAACAGAGCCAAAGGCAAACTTGTGTAGTTCCTTTATGAAACCATTTAAAGTTTCAAGCTCCACTACTCATTACTAAAAGAAACCTCTGAGGTGTACTTATTTTGAAGTCATGGCTTATACAGTGGAGCGTGTGTTAAGAAAAATGGCCCATTTCTGATACCATTTCCTATGTTGTGCATACAGCAAACCAGTAAATGAAGTTGACAGTGACCTAACGAACCAGAAGTCAGATATTTTAGAGTGAAAGTTGGCGACTCTGGGAGAAACAAGCGGGTTAGATGCACCTAAGTGCAGTGAATGGAGCCTACATTACAACCACAATATAACCAAATTTGCCCTATAAAGAACCAAGCCTTCGGTCAACCTCTGACCCTACCCTCCCTGCACTCCACACCTCCCGATCCCAACCTCTGGCTCAGGTCTAAATCCCTGAGGTCCTCCCAGGGTGAAAGGCGCTATACAAATGTAATTTGTTGTTGTTATAAGAGGGCTGAACTGTATTTGTAAATTTGATTCTCTCGATATCATCAATTTCTCTTGTCTCTAAACATAGAAAGGTGCCACATTTTTCAATACTAAGAATCGGAAAACTTAGTTATATTGCCATTTGTGCATTTTCAGGCCACCTCCAGGAGGTAGTCTCATATCATTTACAATGTAATTAAACACAGGCTCATTGGGTTTTTTTTAATGCTGGGAGAGTCAAAAGCACTTTCCACTCCTCGATAACAGTATAAATATTATCAGCAGGCAATTTGGCCATTAGATATCCATATTGTTCAATTTCATAAAATAAAAAAGTCTCCCTAGAGGAATAATTCAGATTTTATTCTTGGAAACTAAATCTGAGTGAAAATTAGAAAAAAAAGGAAATGTTTCATCTCAGGGTAGAAAAACTGAGGCACAAAGTTTTTCACATTTATTAATTTCTTAAAGATAAATCAAACAGAAAATAAATTAGAAACTATGAAAAGGTATTTTGGATTTCAGTTCTACAGATTGTGTTTTTTTTAAATAGCATATAAAATAGCATGGTAAATAGGGGGATTTAAACCCTGGCCATTTCACAATAATTTACTCTGAAACACTCTATGACTGGAAGCTTTCTGCACACAGCAATGAGGGCAACACAGCTGAAAGGCAAAGAGATTTGAGACAGAGAAAGGAACCAGGGAAAATGATGATGAATGGATTGGGAATTCTAAGAGAATGGCAAATTCGACAGCTGGTCTTCCCAGGCAGCTGAGATACAACATACAAATATATTGTAACTCTGCAAAATATATTTTGTGGATGTAGACAAATACTATCACTACGGCAACTAGAAGAGGTACACAAACAAATCTAACACAAGGGCCAAGATTTTTAGAGTTCAGATAATCTGAAAGTTTTTACAATCAAGCATTATAGAGAAATTAATAAAACACGAAAATGAAAAACCTTAATCGTTCGCAAAATTACTTGGTGGGGGGGGGGGGGGGAGACAGAGCGAGTAAGTCACAAAAAAAAGAATTAAATCAGCAATAAAATCTGCTAATTCTAATTTTATTTGTTAGAAGAAAAATTTTAATGAAAAAAAGCCTTTTTTTGCATTTAGATCATTCATTTCAGAAAACAATCTGTATTTAGTTTACAAATTTCAGAAAGATTATATCTAAAAAAAATCAAGAATTTAAATCACTTCGTCAATTCACTTTACAGTATATTCTGTGAAGCGCTTTGAGATGTCTCAACGACGTGATAAGGCGCTATATATTGGAGTCCTGTAGCTCAGTGGTTAGAGCACTCGCTTTGCTTTGCAAGTGAGAGACCTGAGTTCAATTCCAGGCAGAGGGCGAAACCTTGGGCAAGTTTCCTTACTCCACACAGAGCCTAATAATAATCCTCCAAAACCAAAAGCAATAATAAATTGGTCATTTTCAATCTACGACTGTTTGTGGGACATTGCTGTGCGCAATTGGCTGCCGCGTTCGCCCACAAATATACAGTCAATTCACTTTACAGTGTGTTCTGTGAAGCGCTTTGGGACGTCCTCCCGACGTGAAAAGCGCTATATCAAATGCAAGGATTATTATTATTATTATTATATCCAATGCAAGGATTATTATTATTACTTACAATATGCAAACTTGAAAGGTCCCAAGATTAGGGGAATAGGAACTGGACAATATCTGTATGGCGATCAAGAAAATTCTTCTCAAACATCCTCCACGTGGACCGCATCAGTGACTTTTAAAAGATAATGTGAAACATGTAATCAAAAAACGATTCTGCACAACTCTACAGAATCTAACAAAGCACCGTTTTACACGTATAAAATTCAAATTATTTTCACAAAACAATTTGGTTACTCTTGAGATAGATGAACCAAATTATTGCAAAGATATGTCTAAAAGCAACAGAGGAGTTGAGAAAATTTACAAAATATTTGGGCACATTCATATCAGAATCATAGCAAAGTGACTATTCATTTCAATACGTGTGGGAGAATGGAATAGAGGGGTATGGGAGACGGGAAAAGGAGAAAGACAGTATCTAGCCAAAGGATAGCCCCTCTGTCAATGCTGCTCCTCTGCATTGCAATATCGAACCTTTGGACGCAAAGACTAGAGCATGACCTCAGCCAAGCCAGTTAAACCCAAGGTAAAGACCTTGGATAAGAAATAATTACAATTTACCTTATCCAATCCTAGCTGTAGAGAAGAAATTGTCTCTTCTATAAAAACATGTTGTTTTACAACAGATAGCACTGGAGACAAGTAAATAAGTTATAGAATTTGTGCAGATGCCAGTGGTAACCTGGCAATTGGATTTCTCTCAAATGAGCATAAATGTGTTTTACTCAGGTCCCATTTCACTACTGCTGGCAAAGCTTTTGCTGGTTTATTACTCAATTTCTGAGCTCAATAATTGATTTGAACTTCTTAGTTTGAATATCAATTGTTTCAATTTTAATTTGCTCACCGTTTTAAAACAGTTGCAGAATTTGGTTTCTAAACTCAATCTATATTAATTCTATATATATATTCATTCTATATATTACAGTCCCGTACAGTACAGTACGTGACATATAAGGAACAGAAGCTGTTTGACGTAACAGGCGCACATACTTTTGGCAAAGTCACTTGAGCTATTCCAGCGAAACCTCAAATATCTAGCACATTCCACTCATCTTCATTAACCTATTATCAGCAAATCATATAGATCAAATGAATTCAGAAAACTTAAAAGTGGTTTCATCTTTAATGGTGTTATTTTACATTCTTTTTTTAAAAAAAGAAGAAAAAGTGATGGGCTTTAATCATTTGAAGTTGGGCTCACCCAAGGTTGAACTCACCTGAGGATCGCCCGAAAACTAGTGGAATTAGCCAACGTTCATTTCCCCGTTGGGGGCCACATCAGGGAGCATTCATTGCATGTCATTCCGGCATCTTACAGGCTGGAAGGATTGTAAAGTTAACAAAAAACAGAAATTCTGAAAGTTTATCGACAATAATGAGATGTCACATATAAATAAGTAAAACGCATCTTAAAATGTTTCTTCGTTTTTCAAAAAAAGCACAAGACACCTAATCTGAAACCGAATCCTCATTATTACGCTACTCAGATGTCAGTCTGTTTCAACTGTTAGCGAAGGTCGGTGGTTCAAGCTCCATTCGAGTTCACAGTCCAGTGCAGTAAAAGGTAATACAGGCACACCTCGCCCATTGCAATATTGCCCGGTTCAATGTGGGCTGATGTACTGTGAACCTACGCTGTATTGAAAGCACAGCACACCTGCAGCTTTCCATACTGACTCACTGGCTTCCTGCAAGCATTGCACAGCAAGGAACATCAGTGGCAATCTTACTACCCAGACATGCTGATCGAAAGCCAATTATAGCACGTCTCGTTACAACATGGGGTCTGAATTTATCAACCTAAACTGCTGAATTATAACAGCGCTGGTCCTTCAGATTAAATGTTCCACCAAGTTTCCATCTGCCAATTAAATTGAGAATTCAGAGGCATCATCAAAAGAAGCATTTCTTCCAATGCCTGGTCAAGAATCTTTCGGATTCAACAAATTACATTTGTATAGCGCCTTTCATGTTGGGAGGATGTCCCAAGGAGCTGGACATCAAGGATTTAAACCTGAGCAGAGGGTTGGGATCAGGAGGGGTAGAGGGCAGGGAAGGTAGGGGTAGGAAGGTGGCCATAGGCATAGTCAAAGGGAAGGGTCATGAGACATGCCTTGAAGAAGGCGAGGGAGCGAGGCGAAGGGAATATGGGATGGCGTTCCAAAGGGTGGGTGTAGAGAGGCTGAAGGCCCAACCACCGACAGTGGGCCAGGCCACTGTGAGGGGGGAGAGGGGGGAGTACATGGAGCAGGCCAGAGCCTGCGGAACAGAGAGAGTGGACAGGTTGATATGGCATTATTAGCAGGTCACAGAGGTAGGAAAAAGCAAGACTGTGGAGGGCTTTGAAGGCAAGGATGAGGATTTTCAACTCTATCCTCTGGGGGATGGGGAGCCAGTGGACTCGGGTAAGGGTGGGAGTGATAGAGTCACGGAGCCTGTTGTGGGAGAGGACATGAGCTACAACGTTCTGGATGATCTACAGCTTGTGGAAGTTGTTGTTGAGGTTCTGAATAGCCATTTGATTATGGAGATTGCAGATATCCTAAAAGCATAATCGTCAAATGGATGAAGAATTCAAACAAGTTCAATCTTGGTCTGCTTAATTCTTGGGGATTAGCCAGAGAAGCATATTTGTGTGGGATATGCATAGTTGATAATTGGCCATTTCACGATCAGGCAGCAAAACAATTAAGATTTCCTTATTTACTTACGGAAATATTTTAGATGGTGATCATTAAATCTCACCAATTTATAACAACTTTCCTTTATATAGCGTGATCACCAATTTAGAACATCAACTTTCATTTATATAGCGGCCTTCACGTGGTGTAGTGTCCCAGAGTGTCTAAATAAGTATAATAATCCTTGCATTTAATATAGCGCCTTATGGTATCATCTCAAAGTGCTTCACACGATTTTACTGTGAAGTGAGTAAACTTGTATATGTAGGTGAATGCGGCAAACAGCAACATCCCACAAACAGCCAACGAAGCTAGTGACCAATCTTATTTTGGGAATTGTTGACCAGGACTGCATACTGTTTATATCTAAAACATGTATAAATATATTGTAGCAGGTGTTGGAGTGTTAGAGAAGCAACAGGGGAAAGTAGACATGGTTGAATCCTGCCAGGTTTGATGCCGGTTGGCTCTGCTTCCCTCCTCTATACCGTAGCCTAAGTGCACTACGGCTAATAAATTAATGTTTCTGCATCTTTAAACATTTCCCAATTTATCTAAAAATGTAGTGTCTCCACAAAGAATAACGGCATTACACAAACCACTGTTTGTGGGACGCTGCTGTGCGCAACTGGCTGCAGTGTTTCGCTCATAAAATACCCACTCAATTCACTTTACAGTGTATTCTGTGAAGTGCTTTGAAATGTCTCGAAGACGTGATAAGATTCTATATCAAAGGTAAGAATTATTATTATTAATACTTGGCGTTACCGGGTGTCAACATAGCTCAGTTGGTTGCACTCTCACCTCCGAGTCGGAAGGTTGTGGGTTCAACCCTACGTCAAGACACTGAAGTCACTGACTGGGTGGATACTCCAATGCAGTGCCCCTGTGATGTGCTGCATTGCTGTCGGGAAATTAGGTTCTTTCTACTTGTTCCGATGGAAGTTAAAGATCCCATGTCACAATTCAGAAAGAGAAGGGAGTTTCTCCCAAATAAAATTGGTCATTAACTTCATAGCGTCCTTCAAGCAGGGTATCGTCTCGGATTTCATCTAGGAATGCCAGATGCAGCCATTAGGACTAAAAAGTGGATCAATATTTAATCTCCTGGCACTAACATCCACCACTTCCATGAATACACATTACATTTTTTTCTTAAAAAAGTAACTGCTTTGTGGTACACATATATCAGTAATCCACACTGCCTGAACATGATATCAAGCAGCAAGGACATCATAGTATGTTTGCATATCCATCATGGTACCAATGTATTCTGTAGTACCACTCACAGTGTACCCCACAATAGAGCGTGTGTGGCATCAGACCTTGATCAATACTGCTTTAACAATAAACTTAACTTATGGCCATGATGGCATATGAGCAACAATACCAACATTAATCTATATAATGCCCTTGCTCTACATGTAAAATAAAGCTATCTACATATGAGAGAGGAAGTTACAGTTCCTGCTGAAGTGAAAACTGAATTTTCATCCCACTTCAAGATCATTATGGAAGAATTATACATTTTAAACAAGATTTGTGAATTGGAGTTGCAAGTTGACAAAACGTTTAAAGTAGAAACTAACTGTATCCACCCATTGTATAACGTCTGAGTGGTGCAAAAGGTTTGTACGTTGCCCTTTCTCTATAACAATCTGGGATTAAATCCGTCAATATTATGGGACACTGTTGCACACAAATTGACTGCTGCATTCACTTATCAAAGACAGTCACTATCGTTTACAGTGTATCCTGTGAAGCACAAGACGCTAACCTCCTGACGTCAAAGATGCTAAATGAAAGGCAAGGATTATCATTTATTTTTGCCCCAAGTTAATGGGATGCAAATCACTTGCGCTTCTTGGTTTCAAAACATCAATGTGAAATGCTTTTTGGCAAATCTCAAGGCAGATCCTTCTTGTTTTCTTTTTGTCAGGCAGGTGTGGGTGTCACATGTGGAAACCCTTCACTGCGCTTCAGAGAATCCAAACCAGACTGAAAGTGTCAAATATGTATGCCACCTGTACATGGACATTTCTGTGTGTCTGGAATGGAATTTCTGCTCTCTCCCTGGAGGAACACATCCTGTTAATCTAATTCTGGAGAGTATTAGAGGCAGGTTGTCAAGAGCCAAGGCTTGGGGACTCCAGAATGTGCGTTGGGATACTGCAGGAGTTCAACCAACTAAAATCACATGGCTCGCATTGGGACCACTGCCTGGCAAGCTTCCCATTGCTTGGTCAGCTAGGACCATCCTTGCAGAGTTAATTGGCACTGAGCAGAATGAGGCAATCTGGCTGGTCTGCCATTGGCAATGTTCTGGATTAGAAACTGTTCTACTCAGACCCCCACAGAGGGTTGACTCGATTCTGATATTCTGTTGCCAAGCACATCACCTCTAGGTCTCAGGTCCAGGGAGACCAAGTTTGCGTTCCCCCCCAAGGGGAGTCACCAGGTGATCATTTGACATCTGACAGCACACGTTTGAGTCCTCATTGGATGGATAGAAAGTACCAGGCACCCTGCAAGCTTCCTAAGCGTTGCTCATCCCTCTGCACTAAGCAATGGTTCTGCCTGCTGGGAGGTGCGGAGCTGGAGCAGCAAGTCCTCTGAGTTGTAAACCTCACAACAAAATACGACCCTAAACTAGTAATCTCACTGACAGAAGCAGCAAGGACAGCTCAAAAGGTGGCCATCAGTACAATAGAGCACTCTTCTGAAATTGAGGCTGGAGCACATACATGAATGAGATAACAACTTGTACTTGTTCAGCTGTCGTTTCACGTAGAAAACCACATGTAGGAAAATCATTTTCATGTAGAAATAGTAACCTGAAATTAATCTGAGTAGTCAATTCAGGACTGAGCAATTGTTGCTCTCAACAAAAAAAAATCACAATAATCAACAATGAATCAAAACTGACCCAATAAATCCAGTATCTACTTTTCTTTATAATTATACTTGCATTTGAAATAGCGCCTTATATCTTCGAGACATCTCAAAGTGCTTCAAAGTGAATTGACTTTATATTTTGTGGGCGAAATGCAGCAGCCAATTGCGCCCCTCGATATCCCACAAACAGTTGTGTATTGAAGTGACCAATTTTTTTTTTTTTAAAAAAGGGATTATTATTCCCTTAAAAGCGATCCTGCAATCGACTGACAACAGGTTTCCTACTTACTGCTGGGTAAACGGAGGTGTGTGGAGTAAGGAAACTTGCCTATCATCACTTTAGATGTATCCAGGACCTATGCCTTATGTTTACAAAACTCCAAAGTGCTGTCAATTAGTCTTGACTGGGTTGGTGTTAGCATTCTGACTCATTACGCTGTGTGAAGAGCACTGTATAAGTGCGACGACAATGTCTCCACATAAATGCGATGCCGACGCCGTCCTTATTGTCGTGTGGCCAAATACAGGGAAACGTTTTACACATAGCAAAGCCGCCAACAAACTGTCCTGCGCTGAATTGTCAGCCAAGGGACGGACCTGGGGTCTGAACCCACAGACTGGGCTGTGATTAGTCAGTGACCATCCCTGGTCTCTTTATCCCGGTTGTACCATCACCTTCAGCACGGGATGTGGATACTGGTAATTAAGTGCACGGTTTTACTGAAAAGCCACACGTGCTTTACAGTAAGTGAGTGTAGGTGCAAGGTTTCTAGACTGGGGCAGGTTCACGCCCAATAGGGGTGTGTGTTTGTTGTTACTGTATGTGATACAAACAGCTGGGGGGGTGGGGGGGGGCAAATTCCATGAGGGCAAAAGGTTTGAAGGTGGATTTCAATACAAAATAAAGTGTGCAGAACATGACTGAGAGGCTGCACCGGCCCCGGACAATACCAGACACAACAATTTGTCGCTGCCTATGTGGTTTGGTGCAAACCAAAGATGGGGGTGGGGTTCGCATGATGTCAAATAACTTTGTTGATTTGGGCTCAAACTGCGCAAACCTGTCGTGACGCTGTCAGATACTCTGCGCTTTTAATAATAGAGCGCCGCTGCTCCACAACTGATACACAAATATACGGTCAATTCACTTTACAGTGTGTCCTGCGAAGCGCTTTGAGACGTCGAGAAGACGTGATGAGGAGCTATAGCAAAGGCAAAGATTATTATTATTATTATATAACCTGGGGAGGGGGGGGGGGGGGGAGGTGGGGGGGTGGGGGCAGGGGGTGGGGGGGGGTGGGGGGGGGTTGTCACCCCAGCCTTGGCCTCTGCTGCTTAATTACACTCTTTTAGGGTCAAGTCTGTGGGGGGAACACCCTCAGCCCCTCCCCACAACCCCACTCCCCCCGTGTCTGCAGCATAACACTCACGGTCTTACCTCAGCTTCATGGTTCCGCTCCAGGAGCCGACAACTCCCCCCGGTCCCGGGCTGTGTCCCCCCCCCGGTCCCTCTCTCTCTGTCCCCCCCCCGGGCCTGGCTCCCCCCCCCCGGTCCCTCTCTCTGTCCCCCCCCCCGGTCCCTCTCTCTCTGTCCCCCCCCGGGCCTGTCCCCCGGTCCCTCTCTCTGTCCCCCCAGCCCCGGGGTCTCGGTTTCTTTCGGGGGAAACGGTATACTCCCTGATCTCGCGATACCTCGCGTGAAGGGCCGCGAGATCTGCCTGACGTCACCTGACACTAGACACGCCCCCCGCGTCACACAGTCACATGGCATCCCCCTCCCTCGCGTCACACAGTCACATGGCATCCCCATCCCCCCAGTCACATGGCACTATCACACAGTCACATGGCACCCCCCCTCCCCCAGTCACATGGCACCGTCCCCCCCCCCCCCCCAGTCACATGGCAATGGGCTCGTGCCGTCACCTGTGGGCCCGTACACAGCCTCGGCGTCAGGTTATTATCGCTCCTCCCCACGTCCGGTCCCTCACCAGCACCGCCTTCTTCTGCCTCCGACACATCGCCCGTCTCCGCCAAACACCGAGTCCTGTAGCTCAGGGGTTAGAGCACTCGCTTTGTGAGTGAGACACCGGGTCCAATCCCCGGGGGGTCAGTCAGGGCGAGACCTCGGGCAGTGTCCTCACTCCACACACAGAGCCCTAATAATATTCCCTCCAAAACCAAACAATAATAAATTGGTCATTTTCAATCTACGACTGTTTGTGGGACATTGCTGTGCGCAATTGGCTGTCGCGTTCGCCCACAAATATACAGTCAATTCACTTTACAGTGTGTTCTGTGAAGCGCTTTGGGACGTCCTCCCGACGTGAAAAGCGCTATATCAAATGCAATGATTATTATTATTATTATTATTATCATCCTCATCAATTGCATACTTTACACATATCACACAGAGTTTTCCCAATGACCTGAACACCACTGCTGCCCTCAGACAAATTTACATTGGGATCGTTCATCGTATTAGACTTTTCAAATGTTGCAACAACTACAATACAATTATTCTTATTTGCCGGGAAGACATCTCAATGCGCTCGACAATTCTGGCAGAGCACCAGAGTGGAGGGTGGGGAACAGGTCAGGCTGAGGATCGGATTAGCACTACTCTTCAAATTGTTCTGAAATATTTCTCTGTGATAAAATACGTAATGCATTTATTACGACAGTTGTCAGGGACCCATTCGTAAACTTTCCGAGCAGAGGAATACCTAATGGCTGATATTAACAAACTCTCTGCCTGGAGTGCGTGGATCAGAATCACCTCTGGTCCTTATTCCACGCGGTGTGAGATGGTTTTTAAACCAGATGGTAAAGGAAATTTCTCTAAATATCTCAGCTGCATCAAGCAGCACCTCAAAGCAGACTTGTTTGTGTGTTAAATGGAATATTGTGGAAGACCCCCGAGTTAATCACAGACTCAAACCGATCTTATGCCCAAAATGCCATGTCCTTGACCTGGGAGAGTAAGCAATTGCTGTACTGTCAACGTGTTCAATTTACTTATTTGAAGCATCGTTTTGAATACGGAGCCTCAGGGCACATTTCACATCTAAATCATACAATCTCCCGTTTCTGAGTCACCGAGGTCATTGTCGAACCCAGTGTAAGAATGCTGGTGGGAACGTAATTCCTTACTGCTGTAATACAATATGGCTAAATGGCTCTATGACCGTAGGCGTCCTGTAGCTCAGTGGTTAGAGCACTCGCTCTGCAAGCGAGAGACCTGGGTTTGATTCCCGGCAGGTCAGGGCGAAACCTTGGGCAAGTTTCCTTACTCCACACGCCTAATAATAATCCCTCAAAAAAAATAACAATGATAAAATTGGTTACTCAATCCACGACTGTGAGTGGGATGCTGCTGTGCGCAATTGGCTGCAGCGCTTTGCCCACAAAATATAGAGTTAATTCACTTTACAGTATATTCTGTGAAGCGCTTTGAGACGTCTTGAAGACATGAAAAGCGCTATATCAAATGCAAGGATTTTTTTTTACTTAAGCACTGTCCAACTAAGACTTGTTCAGCTAAAGATAGATATAGATACAGAGAGCTTATCTAACCCAGTGTAATTTGCTTGATGGACCACCTTCTCATTCACCATAGCTCAATGGTTAGAACACTCGCAAGCGAGAGACCTATTTCCAATTTTCAAAGAAAAGTAAATAAATTGGTCACTCAACCCACGACTGTTAGTGGGACACTGCTGTGCACAATTGGCTGCCGCGTTTTGCCCACAAAATATACAGTCAATTCACTTTACATTGTATCCTGTGAAGCGCTTTCAAACATCTCGAAGACATGATAAGGCTTGATATCAAATGCAAAGATTATTATTATTGTTATAAATGGAATTTGTTGTTGTTGTTCTATGAGTCACGATTTTAAATGGTTTGCTGTGGGACTCACCTGATCACTAGGTAAGTCTTTACAGGTCAATAGTGCCAAAATCTCATTGCTGGCCCGTAGAAGAAGGCTGACATCTCAATATACTCCCAGCTAGAAAAGCAATGGCAGTCAGCACACCCTGAAGCAGCATGACACACAGCAGACTCAAAGCTGAATCTACAAAGTGTCCTCTTTACCCCCAAGCTGTCAGAGATTTATTTCACCTCATCTCTCCTTCCATGTTATGGAAGATGTCACACCAAACATGGCAACGGATCATTATCTGCCATGAAAATGATGGCACTCACACACACCGATCCTCAGGATGTCTAAGTACACTTAAACACTTGTAATCAAGTAATCAGCTGCTGCTGTGATCAGCTCTGGTGTCAAATAAACTGCATTTGCTCTATTATAGTACTACTGCTAAAGACAGGGCTGCTGTTCGCAACAGCACTGCAATATAAATGCAGCATTAGTAATGCCGTCTCCAGCCCTAACACTTTAAAGATTGCATCAATTAAAATTTAGTAGGCAGTGGCTCTTGGATATACATGGAGAACATTTAGACATCAATCCCTCAGTGGAATCACACCTTGTTCTCGTTCCACTCAGACAAACCCAGATGAGAATGAGAGAAGATATAAATAACTAATCTGACAGCTTCAACTAGCAAAGTCTCCCAGGGATTACTGTGATCCGTAATATTTATTAATGACACAGATTATGTTATTTCAGATAGAAGGTTGAAATCTGGGTGATGTCAAGTCATGAAAAGAATGATCTTCTGAGGATTGGGAGTTGAGGAATGGGTGAGCACTTACTGTGTATACCAGTCAAAGGAGAATAAAACAAAATCACTAGAAGATTTCACTAAGATAGAGTTGACATTAATAAGTGAAATTCTGAAGTTGCATTTGCACTGAGTGATATATGTATTCTCAAGGCAATGTTATTTCCAGCTGTGTTCCAGTGAAATTTTTTTTTAAAAAATAAATCAGAATTGCAGGATTATTGGCTGACATCCAACCTGTCGATGTCTATGGACATGTCTCTGGACAGGACATACCCTGCAGAATATTACAAAGGCCTTAACAACAGAACCAGCAAGTTTCAATGCTTCGATAGCTTCAGAGCCCACCGGTATGAAGCTAGTCTTATCAGAATAAAATAATTGCTTGTGACCCGTGTGGAGGTGGGTATAGCCTCCACTGTGGTATCAACATTCTTCGGTTGAGACATTAAACCGAGGTCCCATTTGTCTGTTCAGGTGGACGTTAAAGATCCCATGGCACCTATTTGAAAAGCAAAGGGAATTGTCCTGGCCAGGACTCACCCAATAAAATTAGTCATCCCATAGCTGTCTTTGGGGCACTGTTGTGCGCAAATTGGCTGAAGTGTTTCCCCTCCAAAAAAGTCACTCCACCCTACAATATATGTTGTGAAACGCATTGAGACATTCTCCCGACGTGAAATATGCTCTACCAAAATGTAATATGATATTAAGATTAATAATAAGGATATACACCAAACTCAAAGTGCAAAATGAGATTCTAAAACTGAGATTTGCCTGTCAGTTCTCAGATGGATATTAAAGATCCACGACCCTGCTTAAAAAGAGTCTTTCCTGGGATCCTAGCCAACAAGTCTCTAGATAAATTGACCACTTGTGACCATTTGTGGCATTTTGCTATGCTATGCTATGTCTGCCGTATTTGCCTTCAAAAGCCGTCACTACATTTGACAATAATTATGCGTAGAGTGCTTTGAGAAGTCACGGTGTGATTATACGCATAGAAATGCAAGAGTTTGCTTTCTGAAGCAGATGTAATTACAATAGTCTAAGGTTCTACACACCCCTGAGGCTTAAACCTAATTGTTGTTTGAGACCAATGAACCCGCCTTATGTTCAGAAGATTTTCCCCTTTGTTCTGCAATACACATTTACAATAACCCCTTTGTCTTTGTTATCAGGGTGACTGGAAACAAATGAAGAGCTCTCTGTCACTATTAGAGACACATGTACAGGGTTCGATCTTTTTTTTGTCACATATGTGAAAGAGTACGCACATCTCAAGGTTTCACCTCGAGACAGATTTTTTATTGTAAAAAATTCTTATCTCAAGCCACCTCAAGCAAGATATAAAATAAGTATCTACCCACAGGTTCAACTAACTGCTGACTTAATTTGCTCAACAAATACATTTTCAATTACTGTAGTGGAATTTATTTTACACTGTAAATTGCTACCATTTTTGCTAATCTTCCTGGTTGTGATTCCTTTTCCCTTTTGTTTTGATTCGCTGGACTGTGTCGGTGTGGAGAGAAATCACAGAGAAGATTACAAATTTCGGAACAATTACTTCAATAAAGGTAATCATAAAACAAGTAATAAAATAAATAAAAAGCAGTGCGGAAATGAATACTATTGTCTGATAAGTAAAATTACAGTGAGTCACTGGACTCAAGATTTTATATAGTAACAGAACTCTGCCATCTGTTAGATGCATGTATTGTAGTGTTGTATCCCATTCCAGCTGTCTGATTTTTTATCTACCTATAAATTGCCAGTTTCTTTTATTCTAAGGCTGGCAAACCAGCACCAATTTAAATTCAATGTGTC